AAAAAATACCTGATACTGGAAATTCTTAATCAAAGTACTGCTGTTAATGAATAAAATAACTGACAGTTGAAATTTATCCAATTATTTTTGTTCAAATGGACAATCAAAACTTATTGTAATCGACCCGTATTCCTTGAAACCTTTTTAAGAAATTTTGAAATCTTCTTTTAATTTCTAATAATCCTATTGAAATCTTAAATAGTCATTGAAATCTACTAAAATAACTCTGAAATCTCCTGAAATGTTTTGAAATCTGTTGGAAGATATTGTGATCTTGATTATTTATATGAAATTTGAAATCTTTTTTGAATTGATATTGAAATCTGCAGTTCTGCAGATACATTACAAGAGATTTCAGAAATGTTGTAATCTTCGTACGTTTTTTCCTTAGCGGATCGCCCCTCGTTACAAACTACCAACTTTAGTTACGAAAAACAAATTGGTTGGTAGTAATTCATCTTTTATTTTTTAACAATTTTGTGCTAGTAAAAGTGGTAGAAATTTATTGTTACCAATTCTCTGTTATTTTACAAGAACAAACTACGATTAACTCCTTATTTCAAAAGTTAAAATCACCTAGCTAGTTTGTTAAAATATAAATTTTTGTTCATTCAAAAGGACTTCATCACATACGTCGAACGAACTTTTGTTTATAGACTCACATCAAGCTCCGGTATTTTCGCCTGGGGAACATAACGTGAAACTATTTAAACACAATTAGAAAACACCAAGGATAGATTACCAAAATAGATAGAAATCTTCATCTCCGTCATTCAGATCTCGCATACATATCCATATCATTAAATCGATACTAGTTTATCTAAGATATCCAGGCGGCGAAGCCGAGACACCCACAAAGGAAGTCTCTTGTTCGAAGTTGTCTTTTGGGAGCCATATTTGGGGCTAATGTTAATTAAAAAAGCGTATCGCCTTCCACTTAAATGAATCCGAGGAAGCTTTTAGCTAGCGATTGTTTTTTCCCAGCGCCTTAATGCTCTCAAGCTGGTGAATATTTTTCTGGTCTTCGGTTGCGGCTCTTAGGTTCAAAAAAACAAAGTATTCTTTAAAGAAATACTAAAAATTAAAAAAATTACACGGTTACAGGGTGTAACTACGAATCTGAATATACGAATCTGAAATTATTTTTTTTATAATCATATAAATAGTTATAATTAATTTTTAACAGCACTTCCTGTTTCGAGGTTCACGAAATTAGCGCGATAAGTTTTATTAGTGCACTATCAGCGTTGCCACTTGTTACCATTTTAAAACAACTGTGGAAAATAATTTAATAAAAACAGGTTGCTTTTAGATGGCTTAGGAACATGTCATTTTATACTCACCATATTTTTTTGGTACCTATCAATGTGGACAAAGCGCAAAACATTAAAAAACATTCCATTATTTAAAAAAATGTATAATTTATTAAATGTTAACTAATATTGGTACGTAGATAAGTTATTAATCGTAAATAAAAGTATTTTGTATTTTAAGATAATTATTGTTGCCGTTTTTTTTAAGCAGAGTCCGTATTTATTTCGTGAGTGAAAATTTCTCGCACGAATGCGAGGTTTTCGCCTTGTCTAAATCTATAAATACCGAATAAGAATATGTTATAACATTTACAACTTTTTTGTTTCATTTGCGGGTCCTAAAGATATTTCAATAAAGAGACAAAACGTCGACGTTCAGAAAATACTAACAATGTTGTAATTTAAAATGTAGTTTTACGCGAGCTAAGTGTTTTTTCTAGCGGAATTAAACTCGTATTCACTAACAAACTAACTTTAATTGGGTTTTCGACTGTCTGCAGTGATATCGAGATTGCGAATTTTTGGCAGATAAAAAAGTAAACAATTCGAAAGTTGTTTTTCTTCAATGAACGAAACAATAAATCCAAAGCCAATATTATGTTTTTTTTGTTTTACCGAAAGACGATACTTTCTTCTATTCAGTGAAAAACATGTAGAAATTTAGATTTAGGATATTTTTAACGCTCTATATAAGGTGCTTTTGAAAATAATTCTATAATTTTCTATTATATTTTATACGTAACGCAACAAAATTGAAAACCGATAACTTTTTGTACCTCATCAAAATTGTAAATTGTGAATATATGAATAAATAAAATTGAATGAATTTAACTACCTATGTTGTTGTTGTTGCCTGTTTTTTCTCCTGTGTTAGAATAAAAACTGAAATAAACATGAACAACTTCAGAACACGTTTGAAAAAAAAAAATAGATAAAAAAATAAGATAATGGAGCTGACACTGCTTTGAGTGGGAAGATAAACGTTACATGGCTTCATATTTTTTTAAATTTGTTTGTGAACAATTTGATTAATAACTTCCTGTTTTAACACTTGACACTTCATTGTCAGGCGATTATATTATATTTAATTTATACTTAAGGCTTAAGGAGACCAATGCAAACAGAACCAAAGACTTTAAACTTTGTTGGATACCCAGTCGAAGAAATAAAGAAAAAAAGAGACCGTAATGTAAAAACCAGAGCGTTGAAATCGTCAAAGGTTACTTTAAATATACAATGAATGCAAATAGTCAATTAGACTTCAGACGATTTTCTGTAAACCTCGAGGTTATCAAAATATTATTTAATTCGTCTTACATTATTTCGGGAACGATAGTGAACAACGTATAAATCCAATCAGGTTGTAAAAACACATTTAAGCATGTTTAAATAGAGCCCAATTTATGTCTTAACGTATGTTTTCTCTTGTCATAGAAAAATAAATAAAAATTTAGTGTAATGTAATTCTCGATGAGATAATGTGAAGGTATAATTAAAAAAATATATTGTGCGGACCATCACAACTTTTCAACTGTTAGATGTTAGATGTTAGATCAGAAATCAGCGTCAATTTGATGTTTTTCGAAAACAAAAATTGTACCTACATGTTTATTACGACTTTCTCTTATATTAACATCAAACAAAGGTGTTAACGAATGCTTATTTAAATACAAAATTAATTGAGCACACACTTAGCTGTTGATTTTCTAGTGTATTACACGCACAGAAACGTAAGGAAAATATTTAAATTAAGCAAGAAATATTTCAATTTAAAACAGTACCCAAGCAGACAAATAGGTACCTACTCAGTTTATATGATTTTAATCTCGTGGCATCTAATTAGGCACTTTTAGAAACATCTGGTAGCTCGTTGCCCGATTGATTCTTAAATCTAGATTGTAAAATCGGAAGAATGCGATAAACTCTGTATACAAAAAGTGTAGCGTCTTACATGGAAAAAAATAGTTTCGTGGTCTGGAAACCGTGTTGAGAACAGGTTTGTCAAAATAGAGCAGAACTTTGAATAACGCATGCAAATATGTTTTCCTACCTCATCTCATCTGTTGTAAAATATACCTGCATCAACTCAACTACACACAGCACAACACTCGCATTTTCAAAACACCGCACTAAAACTAACGTTGATTTATAGGTTATGTAGCAAAGGGCTCGATTGTTTGCGCGCTGTGGCGTGCAGACAGAATACCTACTTGATTTTATCCCGAAATCTCAGGTTGTCGACTCAACTGAAATATACTGTTTTTCTAATATTTGTGGTTAAGATTTGTGTTTTTACCTATACCTTTATATACTTATACACATAATAACAATAATAATAGAAGGTTATTTTATCCATCACCAATATTTTTTGTCATAAATATATTATTTTTTACAGCTAACAAGCAGAGATATAAAATATGTAGGTATGTTAGTACATATTTATGAAAATTAGTAATTTTTAATCATTCTTGTAATTTACGAATTGCTGATTTAAAAAAACTGTGGCACGATCCTTTTTATTAATGACATTATTATTTGACATTTTGTTTAGTCCATCATTGTCCAATGTATTTGTTTGCATTCAATTAATATTCAAATAGGTAATCCTCTGTTTTGACATTTTGCCAAGTTATGGAGGATTGTTTGTATTCATGACTTCATGTATTAAATTTGTATGTATAGTGAATATTTCCGCGTACTTCCATTTTTAACAAAATGAGGAGTAATATGATCTTTCCTATTTACTTTTCTGCATAGTACATCAAATTTTGTATCACTTATTTTTCATAAGAGTCCGAAGCTGACAAATATGGCCAATAAAGATAAAATTAAATACTGTTACTTTCAATTCAACATTAATTAGTTATTAAGATGTTTTTAAATTTAGGTATATAAACATTGCTAGCGAAAATGAGCAATTTTTTTAATGAATCGAAATTATTTTCAATTATAATTACACTATTTTGGAGTTCCAAATAACATAGAAGTGGTGTTAGTTGAATATTTATAATTTTAAAGCATACTTTTTAGGCCAATCGTACAATATTTCTAAATCTAAATGAGTCTTTTTATATTTTTTCTGCTTTAAAATAACAAGAGACCTGAAATAGACCCTTGAGGTGCATTATTTTTAATTGTTACTTCACTGGAAAATACATACTGCTCATTTTGCTTTAATTTAACTACCTGCTTATGATTAGAGAAATATAATTTTTTATTTAATTTAGCTAAAAATAAATTGTGATCAAAAGAATCAAGCGTATTGCTTTGGGACGACAGTACAAAAAATATTAAATAGTATCAAAAATTTTAATGAACTGATTTACTGATCTTACGTTTTTTTTTAATAAATAAACTAATATAATGTAATATGCTGCAAAAATATTAAGGAATGTATTATTGACATACAGACATATACGCTTTTCATGCCATACTTTCTGGCCGCAGCTCCGTTATTATTAGAGGCAGGTCTATCACACTTTATATTATTGTAATGTCTGCTATACTGGTATAACAAATTTTGTAAGTTTCTTACAATATTTATTTTTGCAAAATGACTATTTATAACGAAAAAGCGGTTTTTTATTGTGTTAGTTTCAAACATGCTCTTCGGTTTAACCTACTTTTTCCATGACTTTTTTTGACGAGTATGACAATGACGACAAAGAAAAACGAAAAAAATCCTACCTTGGTCTGAAACAACCTCCTGAACGCATCCCTGGTATATCTGGGTTCCTTGAACACAATTTCATGGCACTTTTTTAGCTGGGCCTGCCTGAGCCTCTCCCTCAGATTCTCCTCCTCCATGGTGGACATAGGCACAAGGGGCTTCGCAAGACGCTCATCAACTCCCGGCGTCCCGTTCTGAGCGCTACTGAGCGTCGCGGCGCCCGCCTCGGCCTTCTGGACGTCACCGGAAACCGTGGTCGGATTCGACGAGCTTTTGTTTACGTCTGTCATTTCATTGGTTTTGTTTTTCTCGTCGACGGTCTCTTGTTTCGCGAGGCTGTCCCTGCGGGGTGCCACAGGGGTCGATCCCGGGGTCTCTTCGGGGATGGGGGGCACGTTGGTGGGGACTAGGGGTTGTTCGAGGGACATTTTCGGTGGTTTAAGGCATATGATGTCACTTTGCGCGCGGTGTTAGTGTGTTGTGTTGTCTTATCACTGTTTCGCACTTGTGGTCATTCTTGGTTAGTGAAGTTTTTTATAATTTTTCTAAAAAATAGCGCTGCAACTCGTTTCAATTTTAGAACAGTACAAAATTGAAAAATTTGTCCCACGGAAAGTCTATTCACTTATTGCAATATCTGGAAAATAATGGAGAGTAAGTTAAACTAAGAAACTTATTTTTCTAATTATATTTTTTCAATTTTTTTTATATTTTTGCAGAACGTAATTAATAAATCTTCCTCTATAGAGTGTTTTGTTCAGACATCCTCAGTTTGAAGTCTCGAAAAGCGTAACAGATATATAAGATACTCATTTTATTAGATTGTTACAAAATAATCAAAATATCACAAATAAATAATTATAGGCAATATCTAAATAATTATATAAGTTCTGTAAAAAACATGTTTTATACATAAATTAGACTAATTTGAGTACAAATGGCATTATTCTTCAACAGAACAATTTGAAAGTATTTAAGATCAAAGTTTATTAAAACTCTCAGAATTTATTTTAGATCATAATATAGGCTTTGGGAACTTTTTCTATATTAAGTCGTTGTTTTAAAATTCTATAGATGGGAGACGAATTGGTGAATAAAGTGACTTTTCTTTTGGGGTTATTTAAAAAACTATTCATCACAAAAATAATAGATTTATGTAGTAACATTTATGCAAATTTCCCAACATTTAATTGAATGTATGGGTAAATGCATAATTATGAAACTGCAATATAATTTATTTTTATTGACATAATTTTTGTGAATATGTATATTATTAAACAAATATTGTAAAATAAGTACATATCTTCAGGACTATCACAGTTATTGTGATTACTTCCATTGAAACCATAATTTTTATGATTTAAAGCTAAGAAAAATCAGATTTTTCATTAAAAAAATTGAAAATTAGGTTATAATTTGCCATCAAACGGAAAGTTGAACAAAATAAAGTAAGTGTAGCAGAGTATTGTAACCACCGCAACTTAATATGAAAAAAGTTCCAAGCGCATTTAATTCAAAATAAGTTTTGACGGTGGACAATAATTTTTGTTCTTAAGGAAACATTTTTTCAGGTTGAAATATGCGGGAATTCAGCGATTTTTCGGAAATTGAGATGGTCATATTTTTTGGAGTTTAATTTTTTAGCTCACAGAGACAACCTTCGTGACGAAAAAATGTCGAAAGAAATTTGTGAAATAAGAAAAGTGTTGGTATATTCGCAAATTATAATTTGTATGTTTTTTATATTTTTATTTGATATTATTTTATTTTTCAAATTTTACAAAACTTGGGAGAAAAATTCAAACTTGGTGATAATTACGAAATTCGCTTCGTTTTCAAAAAAATTCCACTGTAATTTTCACCAGCTGCCATTGGTTCGTCCATCATCTACAGTATGTTCCATTATTGTGTGCAGAAAAGAAAAAACTTGAACTGTAACTAGAAAATAGTTCAAGTAACAAAAGTTATTTAGTGCCGATGAGCGCTTTTGCCCAGGTATAGGGGGTGAAAAATAAAATATTGAAAATAACCCCAGGAATCGATAAAGCAATCAATTTTAAGCAAAAAGTAACTTATGAACATTTTTCCATAAGTCAACATTTTCTGAGTTATTAGTGATTGAAAATGTACATTTTTTATTAGAAAAATACGTTTTTCAGTAGTTTTCCTCGAATAACTCGGAAAATAGACATTCTCTGAAAAAAAAACATCCCAAAGAAAATGAATCTTATAGAAAGATAAAAAGATTGAGTTGTTTTCATTTATATAGGTGCAATAGGTGCTGAGATACGGCTGGTTGAAGATATTTTCATTTCTGCCAGAAACTAAATTGGAAACATTTAACGGAAAATAACTAAAAAAAATCTATTTTTCAAGAAATATGCACAGAACATTTTTTAAAGTACTTTAAAAAATCTTTAAAATGAACTTGACTTTCGTTAGCATAAAAATTAACAGTTATGAGTTATGATCAAAATAAATTGTTAATTCGCTTTTTCGGGATAAAAATTAGTACAAAAACTGATACATTTTTCACGAAATTTAAAATTAAAGGTAATCCTTCTACAATTTATATTTTTTATGTGCTAACAATATATTATACAAGTTTAAGCGGTTTAGAATGCATATTTTTGAAAATAACTTTAAAAATAAAAAGAATACGAAAAGTATTCAAGAGTTCAAAAGTTTATATTTTTTTCGCAGAATATTTTGTTGAATAAAAGCTTGCAGTTGAGAGCGAAGGTCATGTTTTTGAAACCCTCAAATATATCAAAAATAACGCGTTAAAAATATTCTATTTTACAGTACTTTTAGTTGTCGAAATTTTCCGTAAAATCGTTTTTGGCTCGTTTTAATAGCTTTAAAATTAAGGAAGTTATCGTTAAAAAACCAAAGGTACCTTACCGTTTCAGTTTTCGTAGCATATCAATATTTTGGTTATCCACAACTTTGGAGCATTCATAGGTATAGGAAAATTTGAAATTATGACTTTCTGCATGAAAAAATATTGAGAAATAATTATTTTGAATATTATATTGCATAAATTAAAGTAAATCGCGAGAAAGTTATTACGAAAAAAAAAATAATTTTTGCGTTGTTTATTGGATTATTATATTTTGTTATTGGGGTGGATTTTAAGGGTTAAAACAAAGCACAAATGAACAAATTATGAATTCTATTATAAACAGGTAAAAGAATTTAATGTTTAATGTTTGTACCATCAAATCATTGTTTAAAGGTTGAATTATTGTAATAAATTATTTATAACACCATAAACTATTGAAAAGATTTCTGTCTATAAAAATATTTTAAGGTTAAAGAAACTATTAATTTTATATTTTTATCATTAAGGGTAGTTTTTAAGGGTTGAAACTTTATAAAAATACCGTAAATTATAACCCACGATATAAAACAATATTTATTCTATACATTAAGATATGATTTTAGTTTATATAACACCTATTTTTATTATTTTTATATTTATTCAGTTTTTAGCATAGGGGTGGTTTTCATCCCATAAAAATATGAAGCGCATATCAAGCATATAGAACTTTTCATCTACATTTTCCTCTTCGTTCCCTTGACTATATGAGAAAATGTAACTCTTTATAAAAACTCGTATTCAAATTTTTTTAAATATTGCTACTTGATTTTCTACACGCGGTGATAGATTTTTTGAAAAATTTTCAAGTGACCACAACCATAAGTATCCAAATCTTTTTAAATATGGAAGAGTGTCACTAACACTATGAGATATTAGAAAATCCAAGGTCGTAAATTTGAAATAGAATAGAATAACACTGCAGAACAGAATCGTTGGACACACTGTATGTTGTTATGAATAGTAATGGATTTGACTCAATGCACTACACAGATTTTTTTACAGAACTTCGATATGAGATTTTCGAGACCAGAGCTGGACCTGAACATACAAAATTATTAATTTTTTTTTATCACTTTCGATTTATCCACGAGCACTCTTTCACTCGGAGAATCCCTTCAAGAACGAACCAAAAGGACGCGGCATGCTTTCCTTCGTTCACGGGGGGTGAATTTTCGCCCGTTCTACGCCTGCGTAAGTAACGGTAAAACCACTAGAAAAAAAACTACGACTGGATTTACCACTGCGCGTCTAGCTCTTCAATTCTCAATCGGCGATGGACTGACGTCGCGGGAGGCTGGTCTTCGGCGCCGTTCTCTTGTCTCCACGGGGTGGGAAGCGGCGGCGACACTCGCACCACTTGCCACCTAGAGGACGGCGCTGCCAGATTGGTGAGGCTGCTGTGATTTGCGTGGTCCTCCAAGGTTCCGCACGGAGTGGTCTTGGTGAGCCCATTCGCCTTAAAGCGGACGAGAGGTAAACGGGTAGTCACGTGGGTTATTTCTGCTTAATTGCAAAAATGTTAAAAATACCTATTTTATCTGAGTTTTTTAATTATATCTTGGAACCTATGCATTTTGGAAGAATATTGAAGAGGAAAAAAGATTTAGAATTGAATTTTGCACAATACACTGTAAGTTATAAATGTTTAAATTTAGTACCGATGTTGCAAAATAGCAATAATTGATGAAAAGAAGGCAAAATAATCAAGTTTTTTGGATAATTTTTTTTAATATTTGAATTGCTCCGAGGGCATTTTAATTTTGATAAAAAAAAACTTTAGAGTATAATGAAACAACACACCAAAGTTCATTAAAATCGGTTCGATAGTTTTCGCAAAATAATTTGTTGAAAAAAATTTTTCGAATTTTCAAAATGTTGCACACCCTCAAATAAAGCATCTAGATACTTGAAAATTTTTTCACATACAAAAGACCGCTCAACCTTTCAAATGGTTTTTGAAAAATTGAAATCGGTTGATAAGGACGGCAACAGTAAATTTTTAAAGGTAACACCCTTTTTTTATTTTTAAACAATTAGATCACATTCATTAATTTGCAATTTAGTTTTTTTCAAAAATTATAATTTTAAAGTATTCGGAAAGGCGCTTCTTTTAAAAAAAAAGTTAAATTCCGTTTATTGGTTCTCGAGACATAAGCGGTCAAAGTTTATCGACATTTACCGTTAATTTATAAATGATTTGGCAATAATCTTTGATCCAGTGGCTTCGTTTTTTCGAGTTCTAAGCTGGGAAAAATTTTCATATCCATAAGTTATCGGCAACATAGATAAATCAGCGGAAAAGCTGTCGCTCGCACGCGCGAAAAGTTTCTCAAAACACGAAAAGTGGGGGAGGGGGCTTTCGCTCCGAGACTGAATTCGGAGGTTCAAAATGCGAAGGTACGAAAAAAAACTGCATTATCTCGTCTTCTAATGGACCAATTTCGATCTTTTTTCTTCATCCGATGTTTCGCGAGCCAAGGAATTCGAATATCGTAATGCCAACTGTCTAATTTGCACATATTTTGTTATAAACAAAGTTTATTATTTATGCATTCAATATACTGTATATTTTACCCCGTGCTATTTCATTTTTTCAATGAAAAGAATTGTTTACGTATATATTTCAACACTCTGAATATGAATGTATTTACATAGTTATAATTATTACAATTATTTAAATATTTTTTGTTTAAATATATAAAAAAAAATTATTTGGAAATGAATTTTTCGTTAAATACAGAAAAAATTAAGAAAAAATAGTACTTTAAAATTATAATTAAAAAAAAAATAAACTGTAAATTGATAAATGTAATCTAATTGTTTAAAAATAAAAAAAGAGTGTTTAAAAATTTACTGTGGCGGTCCTAATAGACCGATTTCAATTGTTCAAAAACCATTTGAAAGGTTGAGCGGTCTTTTCTATGTGAAAAAATTTTCAAGTATCTAGATGCTTTATTTGAGGCTGTCCAACATTTAGAAAATTCGAAAAAAAATTTTCAAAAAATTATTTTGCGAAAACTATCCAACCGGTTTTAATGAAATTTGGTGTGTTGTTTTATTATACTCTAAAGTTTTTTTTTACCAATTAGAATGCCCTCGGAGCAATTAAAATATTTTAAAAAAATTATCAAACTTGATTATTTTGCCTTTTTTTTCATCAATTATTGCTATTTTGCAACATCGGTAATACATTTAAACATTTTAAACTTACAGTATATTGTATAAAATTCAATTCTAAAACTTTTTTTCATCTTCAATATTCTTCCAAAATGCATAGGTTCTAAGATATGTAAGTAAAAAACTAAGATAAATAGGTGTTTTTACAAATTTTTTAAACATTTTTGCAATTTTGAAAATGTTTCGGACCTCGCTCAGATCTAGGGATCTACAATTTTATTATGTGAGTTGTTCTGAAGGTAATCCAGAAAAAAATTGCTTGCCCTTCTCACATCCACCTCAAAACAGATCCCTAGTTTAGAGTCTAGAGCACCAACAGAAAGTGTACTCTGTGATTATTGATAGTAATAGACAATTGTGGAACAAGATTGAAGATGCTGCTTAGAATTTGCAGGATAAAGGAATACTAAGAGGAGTGAATTAATTTACATATTACAGAAAATGGTAGTCATATTGAACAATTCTTATTAGAACACAATTATTTTGTTTCTGTTATCAAATAAATTACTTTTGAAATGATTGAATTATTTTATTATCACGTTAGTAATGATCTAATAAAAAATTAATTATTCCAAAACTATTACAAATACAAAAATTTTAAAAGATGGGAAAATTTTTAACAAACCCTTCATCTTTAAAACAAAAATAGAGGCTGTGGCATGACCCCCGACAAAATTATGACCACATGGATTTTGTCCGACGATGTTAGTGACAAGTGACAAGACAGTTTGACCCTGATAGATACCAAGAGGGTCCGTCTAATTGTTGCCATTGCCCACAGTTTTAGGAAAATGCGTTCCTTGCACAGAAAAGGCAGAACAGGGAAAAATATTTATATTATGTATAAAACCGAATAAATTTTGTTTGCGTGGTGGACCTAACTTTCCCGTACTTGAAATTAAATTGTAAGTAAGAGACGAGTCGGTTTTATGGTAATTTTACCTAATGGGGCTTATTAAGTGGAGTAAAGTTATATAAATGGACTGGCCATGAAACTATCATCTTCACTTCTTTATGCAAATGTTATTCATTAACTAAATAGTACTGCCGACCTAAATTTTAACACTAACTTTCCATTGGTCACATTTCGAAAGGATAGATGTTTATGAGTCAAAAATAATATCTTTTATGCCAGATTAAACACCGGGTACATCAGATACACGTGAATTTTCTATAATAGTCTATATATTTTATTGTTTTTATTTGTGTATAAAGTTCGTAGATTAAAGCTGATGATTATATGAGTTAGATGACTTAAATAAAAGTCATTATCGTAATTTCTGATGTAAACTAAACTGATGTGCTTTTAACTCGAAGTTATATGTATAAATAAAATATAAATTTTATGCAAACGTTAAATTTAATGTGTGTATACAAACATTAAGTTTAATACGTATTTCAAAATATAACATACAGGACGTTGTCACATTCCACCGACAAAGTTCTACAAGTGATTCTATTTGTTGCGTCAGTTTTGATCCCTCTTTTGAGAAAAGAAACTTATTTCTCTTATTTTTAATTTAAAACCGTTTATCTGGACTATCCTTACTGAGTGTACATATGTAGAAAAAAATTGAATGTGACCCTGGTCAATTCACTGAAGAAGTACTGTTTTATTAGTAATCAATAATCATATAATACAAGACATAATACGAATTTACATGTTCCATTCGCTAGAATTAGAATAACGTCCAACTCTCCCGACTGTTTAGGTCCTAGGCTATTTAATAAGTTACCTAACCAATTAAAACTGCTGAAAAGTGAATATTTGTTTAGGAAAGCTTTAAAGCAGTTTTTAATGGAAAATGTTTTTATTCCATATTGGAATTTTTACCTATTTTGTCTTAGTTTGTTGACTATTCCTATACATATTATGTCTCTGAGGAAAATAAATTATTATTATTTTAGTAACATACAACAAAAACTATTTGAATTAAATTGATGCTAATACGAGTAGTCCAAAAGCGAGAGGCCAAAAAATTGTTTGAATTTACTTATTATAAGCCTAGTTTTTTGATATTTGTTTGTGACAGTAGTTGTGTACACAAAGATACTGTGGTCAGTCAAGCGAGACTGAGAACACGTGCTTCAGGTACACTATCAAAGTTGTCGCTAGCTTTTGGACTAGTAAGGGGGATGAAGCGTGCCGGGAACGAAAATCCATTGGCATGTCTGCGTAAAAGGCAACAAGATATAGAAAATATTAAAAAAAGATAATAAAACATAACATCTAATATTTTTTACGGTTTGCTATAACCGGCACTTTGATCCATTTTAATTATTACAGCATTTTAAAACGTTCCAGTTGTGTTTTTTTAATTTATAAATTTATTATAGCAATGGAATTAGACCCCTCGTCTACGCTTATGCTATGACGTTTCTCAGGACTGATAAATCAAGTCCGTTTACACCCACTAAAAAAGCATTTCCCTATTCCCTACCAAGTGCAAAAGACAGAGATAGACTATAGATCGACGTTCAGTGTAACTCGGTCTCTAGACGATTATAGATTCTATCGATGTGCGTAGCGAGCGGCACAAAGATAAATAATATTGAACCGTATAAAATTCATTTTATATTTTATACGCATTACGGTAATAGTGTTTTTATATTATGTCTTAGTCACTCTTTATAATTTCGACCGCGGAGTATAGCGAATTAATGAAATTAATTTACTAAGGCTGAAAATCATTTTACAAATTCTATATTACATATAAATAAAAGTTATGTCAACGACTTACCGCAATATACTCTTACAGGATACCATTATGAAAAAAACATTGAAAAATGTATGCTCTAAAAGAATTGTATTAGATATTCAATATATAGAATATATGAGAATTAAATTATTACTTGAATTATAAAATATATCTTTGAAATCATGAAAATAAAATTCATTCTATACATAAATAATAAATGTTCAATAAATTTTTTTCACAAATTTGTCAGATTTTTCAATATTTCTTTCATAGTGATAGGCCGTTACAATTTTATTTAATTAAAATAAATAAATATATGGTTTATTCAATTTAATTAAGATGTATAGGTATTATTAGTATTACTATAAATTACATTTTAAAATAAAATTTGTAAATAGTTCGTTGAATAATAATAAGAATTCAAACAATTTTTTTGCCTCTGGCTCTCCGTCTATAATACAATACCGACCGATCCTCAGTTCGAATGTGCAAAAAAAAACAAATATTCTAGATTTTTATTGTATCTATAAATTTATTTTGAATTGGTATATAAAGGACAACATAATTCAAAATCCTTTTAAGAAGAAAATTTTATAAATAAAATATAAATTTTATGCAAATATTAAATTTCATTGAATGATATATTTCAAAATTCGACAAAGATCTTGCCATGTTCCACCGACAAAGTTTTACAAGTAGTTATATGACCAAAAATGAGAAACCAATACTTTAGCTCTCCGTTTTTTACGACGATATTGATCATTCTTTTCAGAATAGACCACTTATGTACCTCCTTACTTTCACTCTAAATTTTTAATTGTAAATGTAACTTGAAGCCTGATCACATTTTGTGAGGTTTATAAACATTTCCCTGAAGTAAAACTGTAATAATATAATTAATTATTATTATTTCATATAAATTGTTTCTCATTTTTCATAAAAGAATCACCTGTACAATTTAGTAGTCGAAATAATTATAACGCGGTGTAAATATTACTGTTTCACATCATTTAGGTTTTGATCAAAATGTTTCTTATGCAACACAATATACAACACATTGTTTTACTTGTTGCAACATCATTTATTATAAAAATGATAGTGGACAATTCGAACACTTTTGCATAGTTTATCTTGTAAGTCTAGAAACGACTATATTTTTATTTCCTATTAGTTAATAAAATAATAAATACATACGTTATGATTCTTAGATATTTTTATTGTATATTACATTATATATAAAATATTTTTAAGCCGGTATGAAGTTATGGCTTAAGTTTGCTGGTTATCCACTGAACGTAACTGTCAACTTTAGTGTATACCCCGGGCCATCTGTCCATACCGCAGCGTGTTGGTCCGAAGGACACCACCCCGATAACGTACCAGTTGAATTCTTTGTTCTCATCCATAAACAGTCTCATTAATGGTCCGCCACTGTCGCCGCTGCAGGAATCTTTCCCCCTTTCGCCACCCGCGCATATCTGGGCATTCGCCAGTTCCACACCGGCGTTTCCATAAGACCTTACACAATCTGTGTTGGGCTTAAAAGGTACCTGGAAACGGAAACAAACATGAAATAATAACTATTTCGGTATGTATCATTGTTGAATTTATGTCATTTTGGACAAAAATAGCTACAGCTAGAGAAAGAAAAAAGATTAAGGAAATTTAAAAAAATCGTAACGTCTTATACGAATTTAATAGACAATTTACTCTGCTGTTAAGGCGTTTGAATGGGACAAAATGTAGACATATGCGAAAATACCGAATCAGACTACACAATCTGAGAAACACACCGGGTTAAGGAGGTATATCGGGGTCCGAGGGAAGTGAGGAGCGCAGGGGGGTCCTATGCTTTTCTTATGGGACTAAAACCCGCTGCCAATTTGAAAAAAATAAATTGAAATTATTTGCGATAAACATTAACTACACTGTAGGAAAGCGCCGATAGTCTATTACAAGTTACGTGAGAGCGATAAAGTAAGACATAGAAATACATGCGATAGAGAAGGATGGCTATAATGAAGGCTTCTCTTTGTCAACGCCCATTTCGCCCTTCCACAAATAAGAAGTGGATCTTATCTGTGGAAGGGCGAAACGGGCAGTGACAAAGAGAATAGCCATCCTTCTCTATCGCATGGATTTCTATGTCTTACTTTATCGCTCTCACGTAACTTGTAATAGACCATCGGCGCTTTCTGACTCTGTATGTAGCAAATAAATCTACTCATATGCACATAGCATACATATTGACTAATTAACAACATAAAAATATCATATTTAAGTAGTTTTAAATTATATTTAATGAACGCATAAAGACTATGTAGATGTGGCAACAGCGCTAATAATTAACTAGCAGTTGTACACACTGCGAACCTACAAACAGACCTCGAACATCGGAGATATTGCGCGTCAAATTCGGGTAAAGATGCGTACGCGTTCAAAAATGTATTGTGTGTATACTATGTACAATATAATTATTATATATAGCAAATATATCGTATTATCCTCGCGAAGATTTGCATCCTTTATTTAAAATCCGTAAATCATGTGAACTGGTAAAACAACGAGAAAATAATTATGTTAATTTAGTTCTAAAGAAATGAAATGACACTCGCGCCCATCTCTCGTCCAAGTCGAAGAAAATGTTGGATGCAATTTAGAAGGTTCTGTGATAGAAATTACATTATTACTCACTGTTCGTGTTTTTAATCTCTATTTTAGTAATGTTACAAAAGTTTTGCAACTATAACTAATTTTTTAGATATAAAGTTTGCTGAGAAATATTTATGTTCCTTTATTACGTACAAATGCTTTTATCTCAAGTATTACTAATTATATTAATCAAGTAAAGAAAACTTTATGTAACCCTAAATATTGCTGGGTAATGATTCCGATGTTTTTATAAACCATTAAATATATTAAAAGGATTTATCAACTGTATTTTTTGTTCCAATAAATATACCACAGCTTCCTAGTCTTTTTAATTAATCTAGTTTTTAAAAACATTACAAAAAATCATCTGTTGTGGATAATTCATTGTTGATAACAATGTACATGGGATTTAGGAAAAATGTATATGTTTGAAATCAATTTCGTTTCTATCAAGTTTTTCAAATGTATTCCCTCCTTGCTGTCAGCTGATTGCGACGTTGCCACATTAATTCTCAAGTCAGACAGAAATGCAATTATTGGTTTCTGTTTCTAATTAATACAGCTGTACTATGTTCAAAACTTACATTAGTTTTACATCAAAAATAAGATAATACTATATTATCTATGGAAAAGTTTTGTTTCACAATTTCTAAATTTTTTTCTCAGATATGGGCAAAAAAAGAGCCGCACCGTCCATCTTCGCCATATAAACCTATGTTAAAATGAACAAATTTCAACAACAATATCTCAAAATCTAGATTAAAAAAAAATTACAAAAAAATATGACGCACAGAGGGAGCACTGGGTAATACGCTATATAAATTTCAAGTACATCTGTGCATTTGCGTAAACCCGATATACCTCCTTAAAAGAACATTTAATTAAAGGATAATCAAAGGAGACCGCGAATATTTTATTAAACGGTTAAAGAGATGCATTAAACTCATAAACCACCACGGACATCTACAAATTTTGACCCCATTGTAAATCGTCATTCTATACTCTAGGTTGCTTCACTCTACTATTGTAATAAGTGTAATTCTTCACGAAACACTCTGTATAAATGCTTACCGCTAGTTTCAGTTTGACAGAACTTTCTGACTTATTCTCCGTTTTGCCCCAACCAGCTACAACCAATTTTTCACCAACTAAATCTGTTTTCTGAATGTATTCTGTCACTGGTAAGCAGATGGGCTTAACTGAACCTGAAAAATATGGTAGTAAGTAACTAAAATTTTTTCTGTACGGGATTGAATCAATCGAATGAGGTAAAAACCCAGTTACCATAAGTACTATGTACAATACTTTATTCACAATCGAGAAGTATTTTTAAAATATTTCATTCTTAAAAATTACCCTTTATAAGTGTTACGGTCTATAATTTTACATTTAACGAAATCTACCTCCCTGTCGTCAAATACCGAGAGATCCAGAATGATTGATGCTGACGTCACACGTAAATGTTACCAAAGATATTAAAATTGACTTCCATTTGATCAAAATTACTTTCCGTTTTCTTAGATTTCCGACCGACACGATCTGTCAATTCAGAAACGTCCGTAATCTATTTGTATTACTTGCCACGGTTATATACAAAAATCCATTAAGAAGTATACTTACTATTATTTATTTTCTTGACATTGTGAGAAAAAAAAACTGAAAACGGCTGATCTGTTCAAAAATACGTACTTGTAAACTGGACGTCACTGGACAGTCTCAAGAGACCAATGTCGTGGTACTGGTTGGCGTCATATGGGTCATAACCCTCGTGAACGATTCGTTCTTCCACTGAAACATCTACTGGAGATGGAGTGCAAAATTGTTTAATGCCAGGAATATCGGTGCAGTCAGGATTGGTATCTGTGTTATGTTCTCCTAGACGTACGCTTATCCTGAAATAAAACAATTGCCGATTTACAAGAGGATGTAGCTTTTTTAAACCATGTACTTCTATTTGGAAAAACTTACAATTTCCAAGATTTCAGAATATCTCCTTTCATGCAATGGGCAGCTGTAAGCACATATCTCTTGCTTATCAAAGCTCCTCCGCAGTAGAAACCGCGTTTTCCATCGTCCACTGAAAGAGAATAAAGTTTCAAGTAGTACAAGACAACAACTGTGGCACTTTGTCGACGTTTGGTTTTTATTATATCTTCAGTAATCCATACAGGGTGTTAAAAAAAGAGTGTAAAATATTTAAGGAGGTAATAGTATGAACCAAAATAAGCAGAAAAGTCTCAATAAACATGGGTCCGCAAAGTAACGGTTGCGGAGATATGGAATGTTTTATGTTTTTTAGCCCCTTTTTTTATTTTGCAAAAACGTTGTGTATTTTCTTATAATAGTTGGTTGATGTTTAGTGAAATAAACAGTACGTATTTGACAGTTGTTCTCAGTGCACAAGTTTTCTTTCGCTATGGCTGGTTACTCTAACGCAGAATTAACAGACATGCATTTCATGTATGGTCGTGCTAATGGGAACGCCACCGAAGCGCGACGTCTTTATGTTGACGCTTATCCAAATCGCCAGATTCCTTCACAACGCATGTTTGGAAGAATTCACCAAAGATTGCGTGATACCGGTTCCTTGAGCAAACAGTGCCATTTATCCGGAAGACCAAGGTCGGTATCCACTCCTAGAGCAGAAGAAGAAATTCTAGCACTGGTAGAGCAGAATCCAGGTACGAGTGTGCGGAGAATATCAGCCGAGGTAGGAATTAGTGGTCCTCTTGTTTGGAGAATCCTTCACGAGCAACTGCTTTATCCATACCATGTGCAACGAGTACAGGCCTTAAATCCAATAAATGATCATCAAGCACGTTTGGTTTTTTGCCGCTGGTTTCTACGTCATGATGCTGAAGACCCTCGTTTTCTTGCAAACATTCTTTTTACTGATGAGGCCGGGTTCACAAGAAATGGAGTGTTTAATTTTCACAATACGCATATTTGGGCCGACGAAAATCCTCATGCTCTAATAGAATCTGGACATCAGGCACGTTTTTCATTAAACATTTGGATGGGTATTGTAGGTGACAGGTTTCTAGGTCCTGTTGTTTTACCAAACCGATTAACAGGCGCTGCTTACCTCAACTTTCTGCAGAACACACTGTATGAGTTTTTGGAAGACATTCCTTTGAATCAGAGGCAACAAATGTGGTTCCAGCATGATGGTGCTCCAGCTCATTTTTCCATGGCCGTTAGAGAGCATTTACACCAAACTTTTCCACATAGATGGGTAGGAAGGGCCGGACCTGTTTTATGGCCTCCAAGATCGCCTGATCTGAACCCTCTAGATTTCTTTGTTTGGGGATATTTGAAGACATTAGTGTATGGTACTCCTGTAAATAGCCTGGAAGAGCTGCAGCTACGGATTAATCAAAAGTGTCAAGAAATCCAAACCAAGGAGGGTGTTTTCGAAAGAGTTCGAATATCGTTGAGACGAAGATGTCGTGCCTGCTTGGAAATGGACGGAGGGCACTTTGAACATCTTCTGTAACTTTGTTTTTTGTTTGTTAAAAGCTTCCTTTGTCGGTTTATTCCTAATAAAATAAAATGTTTGAAAAACGAATAGTGGTCCATATCTCCGCAACCGTTACTTTGCGGACCCATGTTTATTAAGACTTTTCTGCTTATTTTGGTTCATACTATTACCTCCTGAAATATTTTACACTCTTTTTTTAACACCCTGTATATTGGGTTTTATAAAGAAAAAAATATACAATTGTACTAACACCAATCTTTTCGATCTTAAAGTCGAAGGTCGTTATAAAACCCAACAGCTAGATTCCTGAAAATGTAATTAAAAGTGTAATAGTGTTTTTTTTTAATATAACTGCATTGTTCATTGTTCAACTATTAACGTCCACGAAAGCCTGCAATCCGAATTTCTGTCTTCATTGCGTTATCGATCAAATTTCCGACATTTAATAATTGATAAGTAAATAAATCACACCATCTTGGTATTCTATCAAGGCCATCCAAGGATATTCATTTAAATCAGCTTCTGTTCCTCCATAAATTTTATCCGGGGTGCCAACCCCGCAAATCTCAGCGGAAGGCAGAAGGTTACTGCTTACTGGCTTCACTAGAAAACAAAATATTGTTAAATAAAAACTATTCTGTCGTGAAGACCTTATGCGGGAAGAAGCAGTGAATGGATGATATTAATTTACCTTCAAAGGGGCAACACATCTTTGGCAGACTTCCGTCAGAACCGCAATTGGAACGTCTCAAATATTCCGCGTCTTCCGCCTTTATTGGTTTGTTTCGCAAGATGGACAAGATGGTAGGACACTGGGATACCGACTTGCATGCCCCTTGTTCTCTTCGGGACGTCTGACAAAAGTCGATGTCTTCTGCAAGAGATTTTATACTAACATAGGTAACTTTCTGACTCTTCGTCCATAGGTCGGGAAATATATAGTTGGACGCGACTTTTTGTTTCGGCAAGCTGAATTTATCACTATAGATGCTAAATATTATGTACAATAACATATTAATTTCCACAGTCATAAACATGTGGGGAAGATTGTTTACAGGCTGGTTAATTGTATAATTTTTACGTAAATTCACGTTTTTCGCTTATAACTTTTTTCCGTTCATTTCCACGAGAAAACAGTAAAATTCTTTTTTTTTTCGTTTTCAAAAGACCTACAAAACTAGCCCTCGAGCGTAAAAAAACATTGATTAGATCAAAAGTTATAAACAGAAGTTTATTTATGTCTTTTGAATTAAACATTTATAAACTGCGTTATTATTACCAGAACGTTTTGGCATCTCATCCTCTCATTCCTTATCACTGTCTATTAATTCACACGAAATCTGGAATCGATAAGTTTAATAGTTTACAAGTTATGACCTTATAAACAAATTAATTAATTATTATTAGTCTGGCCGACCCTGAGGAAATAACAAAATTTCCAGGTTGCAAATTTGAAATTAAAAAAATATATATATAGATTTAAATGTATTATTATGAAATCTACCATGAAAAAAATCAGTGCGATTGTGGAAGATCCTTGGGATCGTCCAGACTAATAATTAGTTAATTTGTTTATAAGGCCATAACTTGTAAACTATTCAACTTACCGATTCCAGATTTCGTGTGAGTTATTAGACAGTGATAAGGAATGGATGCGACGCCAAAACGTTCTGGTAATAATAACGCAGTTTATGAATGTTTAATTTTAAGTTTAATTAAAAAATGTTTAATTTAAAAGTCATAAATAAATTTCGAGTACATAGAAATTGTGAATGTGAATGGTGACTAGAGACGAAACTTATAGAAACAAATTCAAAACATTTTTTCTAAAAAATCTTTTCACATGAAATCAAATAATGAATATGGTCAAATTTTTTTTTTTTGGATAATCATTTATTACGAGCTGTTTACTGGATATTGCAGGGGTAATTATATGCCAGCTAGGCATATCTTGCCTGTTATATCTTTTGTCTACCAAGATTTCTGGCACCGTAGAACATTGACTTCATATGGGAAGATTTTATAGAAATATTTTTGAATTTGTTTGAATTACCTTAACACCATTTAGACAAGGCGAAATCGGCGGCTTTGTATAAAAAAATTAGTGGACTCGATTTTTTGCATAATCACCTCCGTGAGATGTCTGAATGAGGATCTAAATGTTACCGGCCGGTAACCTGGTTACAATTTTTTTAAACTAATTTTTTTTAAACAAATTGCAAAAATAACTTGTTTTGCTCCGGAAAAAGAGGTTATTTAGGTATTTTGGGGTATTCTAAACAGATAAAATTAAAGTTATACTCGAATTTCCAGGAATTAATACAGTTATTTACATATTTTTTAAATTATTATTATGATTAAAATAAGTTACTGAAAGCTTATCAGTAGAAAAACCAGAGCAACAAAACAATTCCATTTCTAAAAAGATCTCTCTCTAATTACTAATAACAGCATTAATATTCATAATCATTAGACCTAACATGAACCTGATTTGGATTTCCCCCTCACTTAAAAAAAATATTAATAATTGGGCGCTGCATACAAATGTTCTAAAATTATTGAGAATTACTTGAAACCATTTAAATGATAACGAAATTTATATTTAGTTTTTCCACTGCGATATATTTTTTATGATGAGAAGATAATGAAAAGGGCGACACAAAAAAATTGGATTTAAAATTTGGCACTTTATGCTTGCATAAAAAATAAGATATTCCATGTAATATTTTCAAGTTGACCTTGAAACTTCAAGTCAAAGTCAAATCCAAGGTCACCAGACATTACTTATTATTATTAAATTTATTCTACTAGTTTCCAGCATAGCGTTGTTTAAAGAGAACTTGCAGCTAGCTTTCTAAGTTATTGATTTATTAACAAAGTTAGTCCGCTCGAAAGTTATCGAGAAAAATCGTTTCACATCCACATCAAAAGACGTCGTAAGAATACCTGTGTCACCACCTGCCGATAGTTGCGATCTAGCTGAAGTTTCCTCCAAAGGACAACAAAGTTTTGGGATGTCTTCATCAGAGCTACACCGGGAGCGTCGTAAGTAGTCCGCATCCTCCGGCTTTATGGGTCTCCTCTGGACGAGGGCTAGCAGTGCTTGGCAATTAGATATGCTTTTGCATTCCCCCTTTCCACCCCTGGGAGTCTGACATGAAGCGCCGGCCTCTAAAACACACAGGAGACGGTTTCAATTGAAAGAAATAGAAAACGTGGAAATGCAATAACATTAACAGATTCATTCCAGAGGAAAACTGCTGATGTTGTTAGTTAAGGGCAGCTGACAGCTTAGCTTAGGTTACGGCTAGTCTAATTTGTTTGTTTGATCATTAAAGCGGACAAAGACGCATTTAAGAAAGTTAAAACAGGTAATATTAAGTGTTTAAAATTCTAATTAAAACACCTTTTACTATTTTTTATTCAGCCATTTCATGAGCCGAATGTTAAAATGTAACAACTTAAAACAGCAACAGAATTACGCCGCGAATAATACGCACGAATTGAAAACTATTATAGGATGTGTTCTGTATGAAATTCTGTCTTTACATTTATTTTAGCTTTCAGTTAATGTATACAGGGTGGTCCGAATTTTATGCAGGAAACTTCGAGGGTAGATAGATCTCTTTAAAGTAATATGTGTTTGCCTTATAAACATTGGTCTGGAACAGCCCCGTTTTATAGATACAAGGTGTTGAAGTTGTTAAAAAAAATTGATTTTTTGTTTATAGCTCCGGAATCTATTAACCGATCTCAATAAAATTTAGTACAGATAATCTATGATAGTAGACCTTTACATTCCCTAAAATATGAGCTTTAAAGGTACAACCAGTGGTGTACAACTGGGCAGGGGTCATCTCCTTTTTCACAAAAAAATGTTTACAAGTCATTGTAACGGATTTATATTCGAATGCACAAAATACGTAAAAAATGTAATTTGAATTTTTTCCCTAAGATTCGCCGTTTTCAAGTTATTCATACCAATACAATCCCCTTTTGCAGACACTTCTAACTATAATATTACAAGAATATTTATGTTTTTGCTTAAAAGTAAGTGGAATTTGTAAGCACATCAACAAAATTCATTACACTCGTTTCCACACCACCTGTGAGGTAGAGTTCCTTACGTGTTTTAGTTTCCCCTGGAAGCCTAACCCACAATCTTTACAAATAAGAACAACTTATATCAAAATAATAATAAATGTACATTTACCAAAGACGAGGGGTAGTGAACTTTCATAATCTGCATATTTGGTCACAAGAAAATCCTCATAAAATTCGGACAAGGTCTTTTCAACACGAATTTTCTGTGAAAGTGTGGCTCGGAATAATTCGCAATAAAGTTTGTGGATCTAAATTCCCAGTCATTTTTAAACTTTCTAGAAAACTATCTATTTGAAGTATTAGAGGATGTTGCATTAAATATATGACAAAATAGCTGGATACAATGGATGGTGCTCCTGCGCATTCTGGGAGAATACGGAGAGTAATATAAGAATGGCTAATGAAAATTATATGGGGCGATGGATAGGTAGAAGACCAAATGCCAATGTCAACCATAATGGTACAGAGGGTCCAGTGTCTTGGCCAGCCAGATTGCCATATCTAAACCGCCTGAAAAGTAAAGTTTATTCTACTCCAACAAATACACGACCACAACTAGTGCAACGAATAAAAGACGACATGATATTAGCTTCAATTAATTTCATTAATAGATGGACAACGGCGAATCTTAGGAAAACAATTCAAGTTAAGTTTTCACGTATTTTATGCATTAGAATATAAATCAGTTACAATAGCTTGTAAAAAATGCAGTGGCGTAGTCTGCTCACTGTAACATTTTTAAGAAAACGAAATCCAAACTAAAATAACTTTGTACAAAACATATGGATTTTCTCAAAACCATTTCGTTTAATAACACTATAAAATATCAGTTGTAAAGGTCGAAAGTTATATTTATAAAATGTCAGATACGGAACTTGAAATTTTCCTACTAAAATCGTTAAATGTACAAATCAACAAAGTTATTAAGCAAAATAACCTTTCGGACGTGAAAACAAACATTTTGCAGATACTTGCCTCCACAACATAGGAAGAGTAAAGCCAAAACTTGCACTACAACTAAGAAGCTTTTCGCAGCTTCCATTATTTGATTTCGAGAGATCACAAATGGACGATTCTAACCGCTAACAATGGACGAATGTACGTGGAGGCTCGACAAATAAGAAGAGCTTTATGTTAATTAGATAAGACGACAAGAAATGTAATAAATAATATGATTATTAGGCACGCAGGCGCATAAGTCCCAGTTTTACTTGAGGCGATTTTTGTCAATATGTAGAAAGATAAGTGATATAGTTATTAATAATTTGAAATTCCAATTTTTAATAAAGGTCAAATAACATTATTGATTAATTCGCATCGTTCTAAAAATTTTCTATAAATCCGATCAAATTTTCGATGTTTAAGTGTGCAAAAATAATAATAATATATTATTGTTGTTCTAATATCATCCTTGCCAAAAACTAACACGTAAAAAATTGTCACTGTCGAAAGATATTTCTACATTTTACTTAGGATTCATTTTTCAAGTAAGTATATTATTAACAAATATACCAAAAATTGGATGAAAATAAGACTATTTAGCCTAACTTACCTATATACAAAAGTACACGCCTACTGAGATATAGCCTTCTAAATATAGAATAGATATAACCTATTTTTTTCAAATAATTTGAAAACTATTTTTCTTAGAAACTTCAAATTTGGCACACTTATTTTTTAAATATAGAATTTGGAGAGAATACATATACAGGATGTTCTCTTTCTAGTGCCTGTGCGTGACTGGCTATCCCGTAACTTTTTTGTGTGTATGCCAATGACGACAGAATTTATATTTTTTAAAATAAGCACTATTTTAGAAGATTTTTTGCTCTTACAAAATTTCGATATCGTTTATGGATTTCGAGTAAAATTCGCATTTTTTTATACATTAAATATAGGCAAAAATTCCGATTTATAAAAAATAATTTATAACTGCAGCCTCAAAGCAGGGAATAATAATGAAAAAACGTCACATTAAAAAAATAACTACACATTTTTGGTAGTCAACATTAACATTTTAAATAAACTGATATTTGTAATCACATTAAAATAATATTACAGTAAATGCTCAAAGTTACTTCCTTGTTCTTAAACGCAAACATTAGTTCTTCGAAAATTATAAATTTTCCAATAATTATGCATTACCTCTCATAACATTAATTCCATGTTGTATTCTTTCCCATATTCGTTTTCTGTATTTACTGAAAAGTTATTTTAAACTGTGGTCCTCAACGCTCCCCAAATGAAATAATTACATGGGTTTAAGTCCGGGGATCGAGGTGGCCATTTTAAAGGGGCATTATTTCCTCTACCTATCCACCTGTTAGACCTTTAATAACCTGTAATACCTACATGTACCCTGTAATACCTGTAACCTGTAATAACTGGTCTTTTAATACTCTATTAAAGGAGCTTTTTGTAAGCCAACCTCTGCCGCTAAACGCCTTTTATTTACTTGAGGAATTTCTTCGACCCTCTCCCAAATTTGTTCCTCCAGCTGAGTAATTCCGGCATTATCCACGGTTTAATGTTACAGGTGAAAAACGTCCTGGTACCCAAAGGCGTTTCTCCGCATTAACAAATGTTTTGTGATTTGGAAATCTTTCAGCATATGTTTGCACAGTAGCACAACAATTTCCTTCACAATAACCCAAAACTACTAACATATCAGTTTGTTCAGCAAAAGTATAAATTGCAGTAAAAAACAAAGTAAGCTAAAATTAAATCACAGCTAGCTTGACACAGAACCTTTTAATTCTTGTTATGAATTTGTTTCTGTCTTATATGGCACCTCGTACTAAAGTGTTATATTTATCTTAAACTGATTTTATATTATTTAATGTGTAAAAATGCCAATTTTACTCGAAATCCATAAACGGTATCAAAATTTTGTATGAGGCAAAAAACTTCTAAAATAGTGCTTGTTTTTAAAAATATAAATTCTGTCGTCATTGGCGTACATACAAAAAAGTTACGGGATAGCCAGTGGCACACAGGCTCTAGAAAGAGAACACCCTGTATATGTATTCTCACCAAATTCTATATTTACATTGCCCTTATATAAAAAAATAAGTGTACCAAATTTGAAGTTTCTAAGAAAAACAGTTTTCTAATTATTTGCAAAAAACTAGGTTATCTGTTCGATATTTAGAAGGTTATATCTCAGTAGGCGTGCACTTTTGTATATAAAAAAATATAAAATAATAATAATCTTTATTTAAAAATAGGAAACATCCTAATATCCAAAAATTTTTGTTGTCAACAATTTTGACTCCATATAACTTTTTATAATGCAATATAAAATTAAACTAAATAAGCTACATTCCAGTCAAAAATTATACCGGAGAACAGGGTGAAAACAAACTTACATTACTAATAAATCGACTTAACATACTCTTAACATTTTCTTTTTAAATTCCCTCAATGACACAACATTCCTGACATCACTTGGCAATCTGTTGTACTGATCAAGATCTTTATATAACAACGTATTTCTGGTCTGACTTAAGGCATGCCTTGGTATATACAAATTATTATTAAATCGTGTATTAATACTGATGAACCTCATTCGCATAAACTATATACCTCTGAAGGTAACGAGGGACCAAGCCATTAATTATTTTAAAAGCATATATCATAGCCATAAACAGCAATCTATTCCTAACACAGATCCACTGCAAAGATGACAACATAATTCGTATAGAGGTATGTCTGTTACTTCTGATAATAATTCTCATTCCTCTGTTTTGTAATTTTTGTAGAGCTCCAATTTTATTGAGATCTAATGAATACAACAAACTAGCACAGTAATCAAAATGTGGCTGGATTTATTGTATGTTACACAGTTATTCTTGATGCCATAGAAAGATACTGGGATACCCTTGAGAAAAAGTGTAACTTCTTAATTATTTTCTTTTGAATATACGAAAAGTGTGCATTAAATTGTAGATTATTATCTATCATAAACATCAAGTATTTTATTTCAGTCACAATATTAATTATATTATCATCTATCTTTAAATGTATTGTCTTTATTAATATTTCTGTACATAAATGAAGTTGTAATAATCATTGCTTTAGTTTTATCGATATTCAATTTAAGTTTATTATGTTTTAAATATTTAGTAGTGTTAGTCAGTGCTAAATTCATCCTATTTATAGCTGTGTCCAAACAATTACTGGTAACTGACAGCAAGGTGTCGTCTGCAAACAAATTTAAGAAAACCTCATTCTGCAAATCCTGAATGTCATTAATATACATTAAAAACAATAACGGTCCCAAGACACTACCTTGGGGCACACCAAGCTATTAGTTTTTGCCGAGGACACTTTGTCCCTTATTTTAGTAACCCGACACCTGTCAGTCAGATAATCCCTGAACCACTCTAATACCTTTCCCTCTATTCCAAATTTGTTAAGTTTTAATAGTAACATTGATCTATCTATGGTCTAAAAAACTGCCATATCCAAATTCCTTTTCAATTCAGTGATCGTCAATTGTATTGCAGATTCACAGGAATGTTTAGCACGAAAACCCGATTGATTAGTAAAAAGTAAATTATTCTCATTTACACACCCATATAGTTGTTAATATACCACCATTTCCAAAAGTTTTTCGCAACTTGGCAAAGTATTAACAGGTCTAAATTCCCAGGACTTGATGGTGCCACTAACCTTTTCAATTGGAATAATTGTACTAGTTTTCAAATCACTTGGAAACTTGCCAGATTCAAGAGAGCAATTTATGAGATGCAGCCAGACATGCCACACTACTTCAAATGAAGATTTAATAACTCTACTGTTTAGTACGTCCATGGTAGAACCTTTACTGTTCAATTCTCCCACCAATTTACCCAATTCTCGAAAATTAAGCATTTTAAAATATAGGTAAGTTAGGCTAAATAGTTGTGTTGGTCGCAAAGACATATACTGCCGATACGATTGGAGAGCGCTCATTTCATTTTCTTCCATAATAGTAAAAAAAATTTGGTATTCCAGTTTCTGTATCGTTAATTTTCACTGCAACACCGATTCCTTTGTCATCTATATCATCTATAGAGAGCTTTTCCAACTCATCTCTTCTTAATCCTCCAAAAACACCCATTACTAGAATTTACAACAAAAACCTATTAAGTACGTGCAATAATATAGCCAATTATTTCCTATATTACCTTTTCCAAAAATATTGCCGGAATATTATCCATTCTGCCTTTTCAATATGTCTCCTCAGAATCAAACATCAAACCATCAATTATTAAATTTAAAATAAATATAAAATCAGATGTCAAAGTAAAAAATAAAACGTTATGTGCATCACGGGAGATATTAGAATGATTATGCCCTTAGACGACTTGCTTTCCTCGGGTCTAAACGGTCCTAGGAAGCAACCTGCCGCCTTGGTATATAAATAACTATTTTGGTGTAAAATAAGGTTTATTGTACCTTTGTAAGTTCCTCAGTATATGGTAAATATTAGAACCACGTGTTTATTATATTTAAAAATATGTACCTGTAAAGACGTCTGCTGCGAGTCCTAAGAGAACAATATCGCGATACCGATTGATATCATTTGGATCATAACATCTGTTCTTCTATCTGGGAAGGATAACAAAATTTCCGATCGCCAATTTCGATGCAATCAGGAATAGAAAGAAAGAAATCTTTGTTTGTGACTGTACTGTACATCAATCACAGAGACATATTCCGGTTTTCCTTAAATAAAACAAAGTTATTTCTACTAAGAGTTGTATTTCTATTAGTATTATCCATATAAATAAGTTTAGTTTATTTTAATAATTATTATTAGAATAATTATTTGGAACCTATCCATGATAACAAACAAACAGACAGATGTAATGATGTGATGTTATATAAAGTAAGGTACCTTTGCTAAAAGGTTTTTGAAATGCTTCTTTTATCCTGTATATTAAATTATTACTTTATAACGCTACAACTCTAGATCAGAGGTGTTGGTCAATTTATTTAAAAACATCTTCGGAAATACCAGTTGTGAAGATTAAGCACAATCTGTTCCCAGAATTTGACGAAGCATGTGCCTAAATATAAATATATGTAAGGTCATAATTATTATAAAATAATTTTTAGACATGGGGTTTGAAATTTATGTATATTTTCTTAGAACATCTAAAAAATACATACGTTATATAAAGTAGATAAAGATTGGTTATATTATGTCTATTTAAAAATATGAAGCAGAGATATTTTTCCGAAAACAGTTATCAGCAACAAGTTTTTACATTTATACATCTTAGAGACAAGCACAAATAAATACTTACCTCCATAACACATACTATATTGAACCAAAACTTGCATTACAATCAGTGAGCTTCCATCATTTGATTTATATGTAGATCACAAATGCTGTTTGGATTCTTTTTATCTTGGGACACAGGTTTTATCAGTTTGATCACTGCAATGGCGTACAATTATTTTTTTGTCCCAATCAACAGTGTAGTACATGTTACACGAGATTCAGATCTATCCCCAGCAACTTTAGAACCAAAAACAATAACCGAAGTGAATATAAGGGCGCGAATTCAGGAATCAGTAGGAATTATTATTAAAATTGCAAGAGGCTCTGAGGATCTGTATTCAAATTTTACTAAGATTTTTTGCTTTTGTAAATTTAATTTGAGACATTGCAATATTTCTTACGAAGAAGGATTTTTGGTATCTCTGTGCATTGAAATTGTAGCTTTGCCGGTAGTGACAGTATTTCTAGTGTTAGTTCTATCGATAACACATCTCCGCGGAAAAAAATTCATTGTGTTAAATACTAGACCACCATACCCATACATTTTTGGGGTCACTGAATCCGAGTGTTTTTATGGTAATACAATTTTTTAACTAGTCTACCACACCTTCAGTTTTTCCCCCATTAGTGGAGTCAAGATAGATTTTGACTTCGCGAAAATTACGTGAAGAGAGAACTTTTTATTATTCGCTTTGTAAAGTTGTCAGAAACAACATATAAAAAGTTACCAACTGTAGAGTGTACGCTAAATTATTTATTTAACAAATTAGTTGCAAAATTACAGTTTTTGCAAAATATATAAAAAATATATAATTAAAAAAAAATTAACTGCGCCATTCGAAAGAATAGGAAATTTTACATAAAAAATGTAAATAAAGTTTTTTTCTAAAATGCGAATTGAGGGCTGTAGATTTTTTTTTCTAACGTACGAAAAATGAAACGGACCCCAAGTATAGCTCCCGAAGTGCGCGCGGCCCCGAGCGCGCTACACTAAATTTGTTATAACTTTTGATCTAATTGATCAAATCGACCTCACAAAAATTTAAATGAAAGAAAAGTCATCCGGCTATCAAAATTTTATGTCTTTAAACTTGGGAAAAAAAATGTAGTACGTATACAAAGTTACGTCATTCTATAATTTTGTACAATAATAATAAAATAGCTGTCATTATTTTAATTTTTCAAATAAATATCTGTAACTTTCACAGATTACTCTTCAAATGACGATTGAAACAATGAGCGATATGGAAAAAATCTTAGAAATTTAATTTGAAAAATATTGATCCCAACATATTCAATAATTTTAAAAAATCACAAATTTGACTTTTTAAGCCAAATTTTATAGATCAAAAACTATAGTTGTAAATGTGATATTGAAACTTTTTAAAGCTTAAAATCTCTACTTTAAGATGGTGCATTTTATTTTTCTTAAAAAATTGAAATGATAGTTGAAAAAACGAAAAATAACAAAAAATTAAAATATTTCATGAAAAATCCATGTATTGTTAAATAAAGTTTAATTTTTTTTTTGTTTAATAAACCATCAACGAATTAAGTTAAGACCTTAAAGAAAGTAAATCCAGCGAAAAATATTTTTTTTATTTAATAGTAATAAGTGGAAAATTGTTATAACAGCAAAAAATTACGTTTTTTGATTAATTGATTTAATATTCATTTTTAAAACTTATATTCTGTATCTGAAATTGTGAATATAAATTGTCTTATTGCTGTAGACATAGATATGAGTCTAATATATATACAGGGTGATCCATTAACGGTATCGAGCGGTTGTATATAGAAAACTAGACGGGCTACGATTATGGGGTAAAAAATCTATCAACACATACGACCAAAAGAAATTGATTTAAAATATTTTCAAGTTTGTAACTTCACAGCTAGGGGGCGCAACTGCTATAGTGTTACAGAAAATTGTCGGTTTTTCGAAATTTCGCTTATATAACCTAAGTTGCAAGTACATTTTTTAGTCGGCCATATTGGATCAGCCATTTTGAATTTTCATTTTCCGACATCATATTCTTGTTTAGCGACCTCAAAAACCCCTATTTTACAAATATAAGCGAGTTTGATTTAAAATCGATAATTGTTAAATAAATTGTTTAAAATAGTCGGCCATATTGGATCAGCCATTTTGAATTTTCATTTTCCGACTTCATATTCTTGTTCAGCTACATCGAAAACCCGTATATTGTCAATTTGAAAGAATTCGATTTAAAATTCAGTGAATTATTTTAAATGTTCTTAAAAAAACTATTTATTATTGTTTAAACAATTAAGAAACCATAAGTTTATAACTTTTTTCTAATACTTATCTCCAAGTAATTTCAAAAGGTTTTAGGAAAATCCATGCTTCCCATAATTATTTCGAAATAATGCATAATTTTAAGCTATCTTATTAATCTTATCTAATTATATGAAATTTGACGGAATTTCAAAAGGTTAAAAAGAAGGGAAACAAGTCAAACACTTTATGAGATGAGTCTTGAAGCCACGAAAGACTTTTAATTTTCTTAATAAACTTATAAAAACATCTATGTCAATCAATATCACAACATTCGTTCTCCATAAGATTTACAACCCAAAAAATGGCATTCTAGTTTCGGTGGCGTTATGGCCTGAGCTTGCTGACTATCCACGGTACATAATTGGCTACTCTGGTGTAGACACCTGGCCATTCCTCCATACCACACGGCGATGGTCCGAACGATACAACCCCAACAGAGTACCAGCCGATGTCTCCAGTGGCACTTGGAGCGATTCTCATTAGAGGACCTCCGCTGTCTCCCCTACAGGAATCTTTCCCTTTTTCCCCACCGGCGCAGAGTTGGGCGCCGCTCAGGTTTACTCCAGCTCGCCTGTAAGTATTCACGCAGTCTGCATTGGGCTTGACAGGTACCTGGAAGAGAAATAAATATGTGCTATATTCGTACTCCAAAATTAGAGGTCAGTAAAGTCGTAAATAAGAAATTTTTGTGTGTTCTCTGCACAGAAATTGTAATGTGTTGTTCATTTCGCATAGTGTTCCGATATTGTGTACAAAGAGAGATGACTCCCACTTCCCATTTGGCCAGTCTCCTGTAAATACATTACTTACATCTAGTTTTAGCTTGACAGGACTTTCTGATCTGTTTTCCGTCTTTCCCCAACCAGCTACTATCATTTTTTTCCCCACCAAGTCTGGCGTCTGATCAAATTCTGTGGTCGGTAAGCATATAGGTGTGACAGATTCTGAAAACAAAAATTTATAATTATATAGTCATATATGGGTCAATTTTTGATGACTTGACGTTTTAGTACAGTCATTGAAGCTTTTCACCTCCGAATTCTTTGAAACTGAACCGATCGACTTGAACTTTGGCAGATAGTTAGAGAAAAGGTCAATGAATATCAGTGACATAGCGCCGATTGACATTTCCACCCTGTTGGGGTTTGACAACCCTTCTCGGGGGTGGACATTTTTTTTCAAAAATAACGCCGGAAACTATTTGAACAATTTCTTTCGAAAAATTAATAGCTTTTAGTTATTCGCGATTGAAAACTTGGAATTGTGAGTGAAAAAAAAAACACTTTTTCAAAGCATTTTTCGCGAATAACTCAAAAACTACGCATTTTATTAAAAAAAGTGTAATGAACAAAAATGTAACTTATAAATAAACAAAGAAAATCGTTTTTTAAAAAGTGTTGTACGTCCTATACAAAGCGAAACATGGTTAGTGGAAGGGGACTTATTTTGGGGGCAATACTCGAATCGATATCAAATAACGGAAAAATTATTAATTTTACGTGTAACGCTCCAGGAGTTTTTTATAGTACTCAAAAAGAGTCAATACAGGGGTAGTTTTTAGGGGTTGAAAGAGAAAAATTATTTTATTAGCTATGAGGTAACTTTTATTTTAAATAATTGCACGATTTAATAATTCCAAATCTTTAAAAAGTAATTTTTATCATTATTTTTTGCATAGGGGTAGTTTTAAGGGTTAAATAAAGGGTCGAAAAGAAGAAGAAAAAAAAATATCATAAAACATGTTCGAGAACATGGAACATTATTTAATATTTGTGCTTGAACAAGATTTGTATCGATAAAATGGTTAAAACTTAATTTTTTCAATTTTTTTCACTTAGGAGTAGTTTTTAACCCTAAAAAACAAAAAGCGTCAATCGACTTTTGAACTAGAGCCTAAGATGAGCCTTATTCTAAATTTTCATGCAAATCCATGCAGTTTAAAAGAATTCGGGAGGTTACAGCTGATTTTCATCTTCAATGACTGTAATATTTGATATTATTCAATCTCGGTCCATACAATTTTGCTGTTTATTAAATTTTGTTACATTTTACAAAAAAAGTTGTCAAGAAATTAAATTATCACAATTTAGATCCCCTTTTACTGGCAACATTTCGTTACATTAGAAACAATTTAAAATAGTAGTGATGCTTCTGAGCATTTAGTACCTGAAAATTTAACCTCTCTCGCTAGCCTCAAGAGACCCACGTCGTGGTACTGGTTGACGTCTTCCGGGACGTAACTCTCGTGAGCTATGCGTTCTTCTACAAGAACATTTATAGGAGGAGGGGCGCAAACCTTCTGACCATGCACCACTTCGCAATCAACATCGGTGTCAGTGTTATGCTCCCCAAGACGGACACTAACTCTAAATTGAAACAGAAATTACAATATTTTACAAAACCGTTCTGAATATCGCACATATATAAACAAAAAATACTAACAAACGTTTTAATAAGGGTCATTTCGCAGGAATTACACTTACAGTTTCCAAGACCTCGGTAAATCTTTCCCCTTGATACAATGGGCGGCGGTTAGTATGTACCTCTTGCTTATCAACACCCCTCCGCAGTAGAAGCCGCGCTTTCCGTTTTCTGAAAAGGTAAGGCAAAATTAAAAAAACTTTTCTACGTTGCTGAATACTCAATGCTCAAAGCACAATATTTTTGCATAAAGCTGTTGATATTTCAAAATATGCTACGTTAATTCCTTAAGAGGACGCAAAGTGAAAACAAGAATCTTTACCAGAGAACACACGTACAAGTTTTTAAATATTTTTTCCGATGAAACCTATTTTGATTTTACAGAAGTTGTTCGTATCACACTTATGATTTTATAGACGTTTCGGCATAAACTTCTCTTTTCTCAAAATCAACTTATGGAATTATTTCCTACCTCTTTCGTATTCCACCAACGCCATCCAGGGGTATTCGTTCAAGTCAGCTTCCTTTCCTCCGTAAATCCTCTCCTTGCTTTCAACTCCACAAATGTCAGTTGAAGGCAAAAGGTTGCTGGTTACTGGCCTCGCTGCAAAAGAAACAGTAAAAAATAATATTAGTTAGTTTGGAAAAAGTATGATATCAATGTTATATACAATGCAATGGAGTGATCTAAAAATTTAATATCACTTCTTGTGTATACATTTTAATAATAACGAGCGTTCAAATAAAAACGTGGTCGAAGTTGACTCTGACACATTGGACGTAGGGAGTAGCTTATAGCGACCAACTTAACCTCATTTCTCAAAGAACTGTATAGCAGCTGTCGGTTTCATTAACGTTAATGACTATATAACTTTATTTTAAAGAATAATCGTGATAACAATAACAAACAATTAAAGGAGCTGCAGAAAGTGTCCCCCTCCTTGTTATAACAATAAATTAAAGCAGCTGCTGAAAGTGTCCCCCTCCTTGTTCCAAGCACTTTTCACACCTGTTCCTCAAAGAATTAAAGACATTTTCTAAGATGCTCGGGGTATTGTTAATTTCACGAATCTTGTCTATAAGTCGAGCCTGCAGATGGTTTAAATCAGGAATAGGCAGTTCAAAAATAGTGTTTTTAAGGTAAGGCCACAAAAAGAAATCACACGGCGTAATATCACATGACCTCGGTGGAAATTCATGTTCAGCATTGAGACTTATTAGTCGATTTTGGAAAACTTCCCTCAACATATTCATCGTCTCGCCTGCCGTATGTGCCCTTGCGCCATCTTGTTGAAAGTAAAAGTTTGTAATTTCGTTTTCTTCCAGCTGGTTAACAAAAGGAGCGATAATTTCTTCTCTATACCTTTGCGCAGTAAGAGTACCATTAAAAAAAATAGGTCCATAAATCCTCCTTCGATTGAGAGCACACCAAACTCCAATTTTTTGAGCGTGTAGAGGGCCCTCGACAAAAAAGTTATCTGGTTTTTCAGAAGACCACATTCTCATATTCTGTGAGTTTACGTAACCACTTAAATGAAACCAGGCTTCATCAGAAAAAAAGGTGATATTATGAAGTTCACCGTAGTTGTTTAAAAACCATTCACAAAATACAGCCCGTCGCGGAAAATCAACTTCATGAAGTTCTTGCTGACAAGTTAAACGATAGGAGAACAAACGCAAATCTTTTTTTAACACTGTGTGGCAGGTACCGACTGATACTCCCACCATTTGTGATAAAACACGTACAGAAGTTGTTGGCGCATTTTCCATTATTTGTTAGACATTTTCTTTTAATTCTTCAGTCCGCTTTTTAGGTCGGCCGCTTCCTTCTTTTCTTGTTACACCATTTTAAACGCTTTTTAAAACCTAAATATTCAAATTGATAGCGGCGATATAGCGCTTTGACAGATGACGTTTAAGTTCATTTGCTATACGCTACGCCCTACGTCCAAATTTTCAGAACCAACTTGACCACGTTTTTATTTGAACGCTCGTTATAAAGGATGGCTATACAGGCTGTTACAAATTCGCTTCTCACTACAGGGATCTCAGAAACGGTAAGAGTTACGAAGTAGCTTAAATGGGGCAAAGTTGCGTAATCAGGGGACCAACAATATGCCTCTAAAAAATCAAAGCTAACATGATTAGTTTTCGAAATATTTGAAAAAAAAACCGAAATTTTGGAAATCCGTTTTTGTTCCATTTCAGCCTTGCTTGAGGTGATATTTGAAAAACGAAGAACACTTTCTCATGGCCACTTTTTGCCCTCTATCGAATGGCATAATCAATTTTTATATGTAATGTTTCGTCTCTCCAGGACCATCATCAACTTCATTTTTTTAAATACGACCCTGGAAATTTTATACCCCAAACTGTACGTTTGGGGTACTCAGACGTTTTGTCTCGAAAAATTCATCTTCAGTGTATTCGTTCCAAATTTATCTAAATTTCGTATTTAGATTTCTTTGTTTATTGAATTATCGTACACTGTAAGTGTCGTTAGACCCTGTGAAATCCATCAAGTTATTTAAACTATTACCACCACGCGCTACAATGGACATTTATTATTATTAACTATTACCATCACTTGGTCATACATAACTCAATAAGTTGTTGCGTCAAAATTAAAACATTGTTACAATTTTAATTTTATTATGACAAATGAATTCTTAAATTGTATATGAACAACCAAAACGCCAACTGAATATTATTCTTTAAAAAATTTCAGTAAATGTTCAAAACATGTTCGTTTTGGCAAAGGTCAAAAATGAAGATCAGCATAATATTATCGGAATTTATTATATCTGTAACTGCGACTGTGAAAGAGCATGTCAAATGTATTTGTATGAATATCCTGAAAAAAATAGATCGGAATTTGTTTGAATTTTGAGCACTCGAGAAGCCTAGAAATAACTATGGACACGGGAATAAAAGTTTAATCTTATGTTTTAATGCGTGGTGGTAATAGTCTGAATAACTAGAAGGATTTCACAGGGTTTAACGACACTTACTTATAGTGTACGATAATTCAATAAACAAAGAAATCTAAATAAAAAATTTAGATTTTGGAACGAATACACTGAAGATGAATTTTTCGAGACAAAACGTCTGAATCTGGTTAGGGCTGAGGCAGTACAGTATTGAGGGTCATGAAAGCTTGCAAAAAATGTAATGAAATATCCAGGGTCGTATTTAAAAAAAATGAAGTTGATGATGGTCCTGGAGAGACGAAACGTTACATATAAAAATTGATTATGCCATTCGATAGAGGGCAAAAAGTGGCCTTGAGAAAGTGTTCTTCGTTTTTCAATATCTCCTCAAACAAGGCTGAAAGTAAACAAAAACGTTTTTTTTTTAATATTTCAAAAACTAATAATGTTACCCTTAATTTTTTTAGAGGCATAATGTTGGTCCCCTGATTACGCAACTTTGCCCCCATTTAAGCTACTTCGTACCTCTTACCGTTTCCGAGATCCCTGTAGTGAGAAGCGAATTTGTAACAACCTGTATATTTACGAACTCGCTCGTATTCTAATTACAGACATTAATCATTAATTAGGCAAGTGGGTAACAGTCAAAATAGTAATTAGTATATAATTATTTCTTTGAAATGAGTGAATTATAAAAGAAAAGAAATAGGACTAATTGCGTTTTAGTATCCCAAACTATAATTATGGACATTTCCTCAGCAGTTATTAAATAATTGTTATAACTCATATTCTCTTTATTATCTAGTTCTAAAATTATTATGAAGTAAATACTATTCAGTCTTCAGCTAAAGACGTGTACTTGCGTGGAAGACATTTTATTGTGTAAAAATGTAAGAATATTATTCTCATCCATAGCGAAATTCTAGTGGAAGGTTTAGAGGAAATCTGAAATCTCTTAATCTCTCTTCAAACTTGGTACTAGCACTACCACAAGCAATCTACAGGTAAAATTTCAACTAAACCGTTGGAAAATTCAAGAAACAAAGCAGTTTTCATTGGAAATATGTAAAAAAATTCTCCAAATGTTTTTATAGTTCCTAACTATGACACCAATGGTCAGCTTTTGTTCAAGTTTTACATGTGGTGTACCAAGTGTACCAAGTTTGAAATCTAAATTTTATATATGGTTCTTGAATAACTGATCAAAAACCGAGTTTCACTTTCATCTTTGAAGCCTTGAGTCTAAACAGTTATTTTTATCCTTTTTTTCTTTATTTTGACAACAGTCAATCCAGAAAGATGTTGCTAACACTCTTCTTATTCTATCTGACTTCAGATGGTGCTCTACGAGATAGTCAACGCCATAGAAGTGCCCAAGAACATGCTCATCGTCAGCGGAGTCTGGCCCCACGACGGTCCAACCTTCTGGTACCGACTGCGCAAACTCATGAGCTACGGAGGGACTATGCTATTGTTAGCCCTAATGTTCCTGGAAGTGGTAGTTTCCATCTCGAATATCCTCAACTTGTCCTACGTAATCCCGCTCAGTTTCGAGTACTTCTCCTACGCGGTAAGACTGATGGTGTTCCGCTTGGAAAAGGTGAACGTGCGCAGACTTTCAGAGAGGTTGAAAGATCCCCTGTTGAATTCCTATGGAGAAGAGCACAACGAGTTTGTGAAGAGCGCCATCGCCAGAACTAACCGTATAGCAACTGTTTTCAAAGTGAACTGTTTACTAACCACATCGTTTTTGGCACTGACACCGTTCATTGCAGACGCTATGTTTCCCATACCGTTTTCCTTCTTTCAAGAGGGCTCCATGTGGTACGTCGTATATTTGGTACAGGTCAACGGTTTGGCGGTTGGTAAGTCGTGATAAAGCGAAGAACACACACTGTGGTTCTTAAAACTGGAGTAAAAATGTGTGAGCCGAAGTTTTGTCCTTGCATTTGTTGTAACCACGATCTCTTACCAAGTTAAAAGTTTTATGAGCGTTTGCAGTAGTATAGCGTTGAACTACATAATGTAAAAATGAAAAACAATTATGCAAAGTAATGCACGAAAAGGACAGCGGTTCTACTAAACAAAAGTTCTTGTGCAACTCTGTTTTTAAAAACAAACTTTCTCAGAACGCGGTCTTGAACCATTTGAACTTTGATAATTCACTAGTTTTCAAATCACGTGCTTATAGGCCAAGCATATAAAATTTTTATTCGAAAAAATTCCTATCCGCGAGATTATTATAAAATTGTCTAAAGGAACATAAAACAAGACATCTCTCATCTCGTGAGTCAAAAACTTTTCTGTTTAAACAAATAAGTGAGGAAAACAGTTTTTTCACTTTGCACGGAAAACCGTCAATTTTAGCGAAAAGTAACGCTCAGACAGCTTGTAGGGAGTAAAGTTATCTACAAAATGAGACTTGTTAAATTAAAATCGGTTAATAAACAAAAAAGTTATTGCAAAAAAACAAGAAAAGTGCCCTTTTTTTAATTTGTTTATAACTATCGCATTTATTGTTAAAATTTTATAAAATCTATGGCACGTTGAGAGTTTTGTCATACTTCAAAAGTGTGCCAAAAATGGGCGCTGTAGATGCAATAGAATAGCCCCGAACCCCAGAAAAAATGCATCTTTTATGCTTATTTTTTCTTAATTTACAAAAATGTCACAAACATTATTGTCCAACGAAATATTAATTAAAATTTCAATTTCGGAATTATTTTACTATTATTAAATAAATAAATGAAGCTATCGTTCATTTTAAAAGTTATTTTTTTACATATTAAGCCAAAGTAAACTTACTTTTACAATATTTAGTTATTTAATTACGATTTAAATGTAAAATTGAAGTAAAAATTCACAAATTATTTTCAAATTATTATTTATTGTTAAAAGATTTAAAAAAGAATAAAAAGCATTTGAATTTATTGCAAAATTAAAAAATATTAATAAAAATAATGCGGTCGATAAAATTACAATTTTAACTTCTTGAAATTTTAATATATAAAGTTTTTTTATTATATTTATTACTAACTTTATACAAATATATTTTTGCAACAAAGTTAATTACAAAAAAAATTAATTTTTTTTTTATTTTTATGAAAAATAACTTTAAATGAACGATAGCTTCATTTATTTATTTAATAATAGTAAAATAATTCCGAAATTGATATTTTAATTAATATTTCGTTTAACAATAATTTTTGTGACATTTTTGTAAATTAAAAAAAATTCAGTATAAAAGATGATTTTTTTCTGGGGATCAGGGCTATTCTACTAATTCGTGAATATGTTCATTGTTATTTTTTCGTGGAGCTACCCCAGTTAAAAAAAAGAAGTTTCTACGAAGAATAGAACCCGAGATATTGCAAAATTTTACAGCGCGCATCAATTTGAACTTTATTTTCCGTCTTAATGTTTATAAACAATTGCGCTACGATTAAAAAAAAATTATTATCTTGGCTCCTGTTGGTCGTAGAGGGTGCTTTTTAAAAAATTTGTATTTTTTTTGCCAGCTATCCATTGTATCTATTTTTGGTGAGGTAGCATAAATAGCAACAATTTTATTCAAATTGTTTATAATCGAAAAACGCACGTTTTATTAATGCACAATTTGAGAATGTTAATGTCAAAAAACGGTGATATCTTTTAATAGGTCGCTTAATTACGTCTTTAAGATTACAATGACCCTTGCAGAATCATGTTTGGTTGAAAATTAACGCCTGTACAGAGGCTTAAAGTTCATAGCTCCAAAAGCCTCCGTTATAAACAAATTGAATTGTGCGAAAACTATTGCACCAACAACGCCCACTTTTGGCACACTTTTAAAGTATTACAAAACCCTCAACTTGTCATGGGTTCTATAAAATTTTAACAATAAGTGCGATAGTTATAAACAAATTAAAAAATGGGCACTTTTCTGGTTTTTCTGCAATAACTTTTTTGTTTATTAACCGATTTTAATTTAACAAGTCTCATTTTGTAGATAATTTTATTCCCTACAAGCTGTCTGAGAGTCACTTTTCGCTAAAATTGATGGTTTTCCCTGCAAAGTGAAAAAACAGTTTTCCTCACATATTTGTTTAAATAGAAAAGTTAGCTAATAAAATTTTTTGACTCACGAGATGAAAGATGTTTTGTATTATGTTCCTTTAGACAATTTTACAATAATATCGCGGATAGGAATTTTTTCGAGTTTCTCTTTTTTTTTTCGCTAATATTCCTGGTCTATTAGTAAAGTCGAGCCAGTAAGTAAAAGCAACTTTGTTAGTTATTTTTTTTTATTGTGAAAACGTCGAATAATACAAAATTTTGGTTTATTATGCTAACGACCAAAAGATTTGTTAAATACTTAAAACAATAGTAAGGATACGATTGACCTACAAAATATTTCTTCCTTTCAGGATGCATCCAATATTTGAATAATGACATTTTGTTTCAATTATTTGAAATTTCCCACGCCCATTAATGATTTTAGTCGTTGCTTCATTGTCCATAGACACTGTTAAGCATTTTAATGCATTTCTCAATATTGTAGAGATGTTTTTATAAGTTTATTAGCGACGGCGACGTGGATATTATTAACCTTAACGATGGCCTTGAAAATGATTAAATATCTAGTCACTATTGAACCTAATAATTGTAAGTGTACACCTAGAGAGAATCTATACACAGGGTGGCCAAATGAAAACGAAACAGAGCCATTTTCAGGAACTGCGTAAAGATTGTAGAAAAACGCTCAGACCCGTCGATTTTAGATTAAAGGGGGTCATTCTTTGCTGGTATTTTTGACTCCGTCACTTTCACCCCCAAGCAAGGGTAAGCATCACCTCAAAACATTTAAATGGCATTGGGGGTTGCGTAATATTTCTTTTGAAAGCTCTTACAATTCTCTTTACATCAGATTTTAAATTTTATAATTCCGGCCAATACTTTGAAAAAAATTTACATTTTAAAATTTAAATTATGTTTAGTTGCTTACTTACTAATGTTCAAACTGATGAACGCCCGCTTCCATACAAGAATAAAGATTTTGTTCGAAACGTTCGCGCACATTCCGAAGCATTTCCGGAGTGATTCGACGACATTCGTCGACGATTCTTTGACGCAAATCTTCCAGCGATGCTGGCTGTGTTTTATAGATTTTACTTTTTAGGTATCCCCACAAAAAGAAATCAAGGGGCGATAAATCCGGTGATCGTGGAGGCCACTCAATGTTGCCTCTTCTCCCAATCCAATTCCATAGAAAACGTTGGTCCAAATACTGACGGACAATTAACGCATAATGCGAAGGAGCACCGTCCTGTTGAAAAATCAAATGATCTTCATCATATTCTGGAACATTTTCAATAATATCAGTCAAGGCAGGGTCAATAGCGTCTTCCAGTAATTGCAAATACATTTGGCCAGTCAAATTACCAGGTAGAAAAAAAGGACCCACCAGCCGGTCACCGAAAATTCCGGCCCATACATTTAATTTTTCCGGTTGCTATGTATGCACCTCGTGAAAAACTCTTGAGTTTGTATCGGACCAATAGCGGCAGTTGTGACGACTTACCGACCCGTTAAAAAAAACTGCATTAATCGGAAAAACAGATGTAAAAAAGGAACTGTGGATCGATCCCTGCTCGCTCACTCATTATTTCGCAAAATTGCAAACGGCGGTCATAATCATCCTCATGAAGTTCGTGGACTAAATGTATTTTGTATGGATGGAATTTATTCTTCTTCAAAATGGTTTGTATGCTAGTTCGATTGATCCCAGACACAGATGCCAGCTGCCTCGTACTTAATGTAGGATCAAGATGAACTTGTCTCAAAACTGCAACTTCACTAGCTTCATTAACTATAGGTTTTTTTTCAATTTCTCGTTTTTTATTGGCTACGTTCCCTGTCTCTTGAAATTTTTTTACTAACTAACATGTCGATCTTGATGTTGTTCATTAAATACCTGAGCTGTTCTATTCGCACATTTATTGTTCATAAAGTAAAGCGAAACGATATCTACCCTTTCCGCAATGGAATAAACCATAGTGTTTAATTTTCAAAAACACAATTAAATAAACTACCAACCAACGCTTCCAAATAGTACTAGAAAATAATTTGAAATCCACTAATTTTACGTTCATTGTGTGTGTATAGCATTTATCTCTGTTTTTTACAATTGTGTTTTTTTTACGCGTTTTTCTACAATCTTGACGCAGTACCTGAAAATGGCTCTGTTTCGTTTTCATTTGGCCACCCTGTATTATACTTCTGGAAACATATATCCATAGAAATTATTATACAGGGTATTGCAATGTTCCACCGATAAAATTCTACAGGTGATTCTTTGTCCAAAAATAAGAAAAGGTGTATATTTTTCAGGTATTTGGAATAATGCAGGGTTGGACACTTTGAACATAGGATATATGGGAGTAGCTTTGGCAGAACTTGACATCTTGATATATAACATCGAACATTCTGCAGAAGCTAGCGCTTCCGGCGTCACAAAGTCAAAGTCTGATGTTGACGAATATTTGTTTACCTGTTACAAACATCACAACAAAATAATGGAGTAAGATAGAGGAAAAACTAATAAAATTTGTATCGAAAACTGTTGTGTTTCAGGTTTATTAAGAATATCGAAGCTGTGTGCACAAAAAGCATCTTGGTTCACTACGTCAGTAGCATAGTAGTTATCTGCAACTCTGGATTCCATTTAATTATGGTATGTTGTCTGGATAAGTTGTGATAAATAACAACCATATGCTTGTTGACAACTATTTTTATGAAAAATTACCTAGAATTCGTCGAAATGAAACTAAGATCATCCTTATTCATAAGTCCAAGAAATACAAAATATATCAAAGCCAAACCATCATATAAATATTCCACATCCTCCCAGAGACTTATCACGCTTCACGCAATATTTACATAAACCGCGTCCACCTAGTGCGCGTAAGCCCAATATCTAGGTTAATAAAAGATATAACTTAATTTTTTTTTTCTACAGAGTTGCTTACTTCCCGAGCTGCACAAAATGAAAATATATTTGCAGTAGTAGTTTAGGTATAAAAAAGCACGCCTGTCCTAGAATTAGGTCAAGTGATTCAACTTACGCTGCTGCCAAGTTGTGAAAAAATTCCCCAATATTATGACATTTTAAAAAAGTTTATGTTTCGCCCTTATAATACCCAACTTTTTTGTTCATTTAAGCTTAATCTACCTTAAGCTGAAGTAATGGCTGTCGAACTACTAACACGGTGCATAAAATTCAATGTTAAAATGTAAATAGTGGCAAGAGAGATCAATAATAATTATTTTGTAAACAAATTATAGTAAATACAAACGTATTTCATAACACTGTATGTATTTAATTCAACAATAAGGTTATCCAAGCAATTAATATTGCTGATAGAACTGAAGTATAATAAATAAATACATCTTTCTACGAGGTTGTACACATTTTGTATATTCTAATCTTATTTGCAGACTCCATTGTTTTCTGGACAATTCATCATTCTAATCGTATTCTTTTCCGCTATTATGATAGAACTAGCAATGTACTGTTGGATTGGAAATGAGATTATTTTAAAGGTACTTTGTTATCAGATCATTTTAGAGGTGAACTAAGATTCGTTTTCTTTATAGAGCCTTCAGATTGGCGACGCCTGCTATATGTCGAAGTGGTACGAATTTAGCCCACGGACTAACAAAATTCTGTTTCTGATAATGGAACGTTCAAAGAGACCTCTCACAATCAGCGCATATAAATTTTCGGTGTTGTCTATGTCTGCGTACTTAAAAGTAAGTATTTCTAATAGATTTGGACGAAGAGAATTGTAGAATCTATTTATTTTTTAGATAATACAGTGCTCTTACTCGTACTTTACAGTATTGAGAAGGGTGTATATGAAAGACTAATCTTAAATGATACATTAGAAAAACTCATAAATCAACAGAGAATCACCACACTTAGAGTAAAATTAGATTTTCATGTTGCACGAAGCAAAATAAATGTTTGAATTGCTTATGTGTATTTACTGAGAAAAACTGATATACCAGATTGTCTTTTAGTAGTTTGGCGATTAATGTCAAGATCGTGGTGGCCTTGGTTTTGCTCTAATACCCAGGAATCAATTGTCTGAGCCAAAGTTTTGCTTAGTTCTTCGCTTAGAGTTAGAGTATTGGTTTTCGACCAATAACCATGGCTTTACATCATGGAATCAGTGGTTCCAAAAATGTTTTTTCGTATTATTGCGGTGTCAGTAGGTATTAAGATATAAACACTATATTGTATCCACTGTAGGAAACTGAAATATATTACAGCAGGAAGTGAGTGAATTGGTTTTTCTATAGCATACAGGACTATTAGTTATAATGTATTTAGAAATGAAACATATATGAAATGAATGACGTAAAAACGGAAATGAGAAATCGATATTTCCATCAATTAACGAGAATGGAATATAACGATAACGATTTAATCTAAATATGCTAATAATTAATTTAAATCAACATCCTAAAATTTAGATATTGTCCGGAATTATTCATTTGTGGCTTTTTTGTAACTTTTTTATTTATTTGAGAATCTCTGTCGCATTGCAATAGTTTTGTATATATATTCATAGGGTTAAAAATACCCAATAAAAACAAATTTTAAAATTAGTTATAATCAGTGGTTCAAAAAAAATAAATAGTAGAGTCCTAGGACAGTTTGGGCAGCGTATAACATAAAAACGGATCATGACTTACCTTCAGCGAGAGGTACAGAGCCAGAGGAAGATTCTACTTGATTAGAACCTCCCAAAGGGCAACAAACCTTCGGCAAGTTGCCGTCGAAACCGCACTGGGACCTTTTTAGGTAATCCGCATCTTCCGCCTTTATGGGTCTGTGCTGAAGGATGGACAACAGGACTTTGCAGTCGGATATTTTTTTACACTCTCCTTGTGCCCCTCTGGGAGTCTGACAATAATCGTTAATTTCTGGAACAAATGTGAGGTTATAGAAACAAAAAAAAACAATAAATTGAAGAAATTGGTGCAGGAACAACCAAATCCTTATGAGTGCCGTTAATTAATATTAAAAAAAAAAACAAACAATGATAATAAACGAGGGAGATGCTGCAGGATTCCAATTTCAATGTTATATCTAGAGCAGAACTGCATTAAAATATCTCAATAAATTAAATAATTACGTGTATATTAAACAAGCATTGAACCAGAAACGTCCATTAATTAATTGTGAAAAAGTACTTCTTTTTGCAACAAAATCTTCGTCGAACAATTAAAACTATAGAACTATTATCTCAAATACGATCTCTAATTCAGCATTGAGTGACATTTGTCACAAAACAAATAACCTTTTATGATGGAATAATCAAATATTAACAAGTGTATAGTGTAGTTTTTCTGGCAGTAAATTTAATAATCTTACATACATTTGAACACTAATATATTCTATTACTCACGTGGTCTACAAGAGAATACAAATAATAGTTAGTTAATAAAAATGGGTATTCCCCACGACTGCGTTAAAAATGATTTTTAATATGTTTATGAAGTAATCAGCATCTCTCTGAATTCATTAGCATAAATAGAATACGCTTTAAAGAAAATATAGTTGCTGAATTGTATTTGTTTAATTAATGTCTTTTTAATATTTTAAGGTATTTTTTTAAAACCCATATAAACTAATTAAAACAAAGGTATTTGGTATAATGCTGAGATTTGTGAAAGCAAAATATAAAATTTACAAGCTGTACATTTGTATTTTTAAGAAATGTTATTCTATTTTAATACAAATCAAGTTAATGTAATAATACCAATACGTTTATTTTATAGATTTTAACAGACTAGAAACAATTTAACAAAAATAATACAAAATTAAGATGTATTATATTTTTAAAATGTATAAATAATACCTAATAAACATATGAAGGGTACAGGCAAAGAAGGGGGATAGTCACTATTTTTGCGAAAATGAGTTTTTTGTGCCATCTGTTGGAGCCTATCCAGTAATTTTACTATAATTTTTATCCAGGCAAAGAAAGAGTACAGTCAGAAGTTATACGCTAATTACAGATTGCCATACAGGCTAAAAAGGGGGGGAGTGTCCACGCGGTACAGTGCAAGAAGGTGGAGAGTCAGTTATGTAGCTTTAGCTTTTGGTACATTTATTCTAACCGTTTGACGTAGAAGAGGCAGATCAACATTATTTCCTAAAATGGACATCTTTTTTAACGCTTCGTTATAAACGTCAATGTCTTTTCCCATTAATACCAATTCGAGAATTAAAAGTAGTTAAAGAGCACCCTAGTCTGGTGTATCACAGATCAACATTCAATGGTCACTGGTCAAACAATGTTCTTGTGGATCGCAAATTCCGGAAAAGCAGTACTATTCAAAAGAACGAATTTGAGCTGCTGGAATTTTTATATTCAGGTAAACACAATGACATTTTCTCCAAGTTTTATTATAAACTCCTTGAGTTTTAGGGTTACTGCCAATTTCGGAAGAAAAGTATAATAATTTAATGGATTTAAAGAACTTTTGTGGTCCAGAAGCAAGCGAATACTTTACAAACTTACCTCATGTGTAATGAATAAACTTAATGTACTAGCAATGGATCTGTTTTTTGAACTAAAGTATTAAATAAAATGTTTTCATACTTAATAAAATGTTTTCATACTTTTTTGTTCACGAATTTGCATTTTTTTACTGTTGATGATGTGTGACTAGTTTGTGACGCTCCCCCTTCTTTACCAGTACATTTGGTAGTCATCTAGATAAATCTTTATTTTTTCTGCAGATATAAGAAAGAATTGTTTAAAAACTTAAACTTCTGCAAAAAAAAAATTGTAAGAAAACATCGGCTTAAAGTAGAAGCCTGTGCAACTTTTCAATGTTCAATTACAAAAGATTTAGATGTTCAAATTGTTCTGGTGAAAATTTTACAAATTATGACTATCCCCCTTCTTTGCCTGTACCCTTCATATCGATTCCTATTAAACTGAGTGTTAAAGTTTATCGAAGTATTCGATCACCAAAGAAAATAATATGCGTGCTTGGTTAAGATTGATTGTGACAGCAATTAATGTAATTATCAATATTTTGTTTATTATTATCATAAACAAAATGTATTTACGTAATGCATATATTAAAACCTTATCAATGGGAAAACCAAAGTAGTTATTAATCGTTAATTATTATTACAAAAGAAATATATCTCCTGTGATCATACAGGGTATATTAATAAGTTTAGACAAACTTTAACGACAGATTCCTTGACATTAAAATGTTTCCATAAACATGTGTCCGGATATACAGGGTGTTCGAATTAATGAGAGCTAAAACAATCACATTGAGAAAAGCAGACAAATACAAAATACAAAAAACATGTTTCGAAAATTTATCTGTTTTCGTCTTCTAAGTTTATGACTTTCTTTTAATTTTTTTGTTACAGATAAAACAGTTATTAATCTGCGAAATATGCAACTATGAATTAAATAATGCTTTAACACCAAAAAAACATTCCTAAATTTGACAATAAAATCAATAAAACAAAGTACACAAAAATTGCCATTAAACTAGGTTAATGAATACAGAATTAGATCTAAAATTGACCTCGAGAAAAACTATGTGATTATAAATAATTTTTCATTTGAAGAAAAATCTATAATGTATATAAATTTTGCGTGTTGATAAATACAGGGTGATTATTATGTACTTGCACAAACTTTAAAGGGTGAACCTTTGACTAATTTTAAGAAAAAAATGTCATATGAACATAGATTCGCAATGGCTTGGTTATGAGATATAGAGCGTCCAAAAAAAAATTTGTCGCATGGCAATACAATCAATAAAAGATATTATTAATACTCCCAAAAAATAAAATTTGTAGAGCATTATATACATTTTCAGATAATGAGAAAAAAAAATTGCATCTGCCTCCTTCATGGTTTATCAAAAATCCATAAACGTGATGTTCTTTCAAGACTAATAGTTCCACCAGTTTTTGTAATAAATTGGCAAAATACTTATTGAAAATGATTAAATATTCTGATTCTTACATTAAAAATAGTAAACATCTATTCGAAAAATCTTTAAATAATTTCAATAGTTACTAGTCATTTAAATGTAAGTTTCGATGTGATTAGTCTATTCGCTAAAGTACCAGTAGATATAACGTTGAATATTATTGAATATAAATTAGAAAATGATAAGAAGTTGATAGACATAACTAACTCATATATAAATATGTACAACTTTGTGTATAAAAATTACGTATTTCCTTTTTCACGCATAATTAGATATAGAACAACTGAAGTAGTTCTAAAACTGTTACTATAAGTAATACACACGCTTGTCTTTATGAAAAATAATTTCTAATGGTTTCTTAGTAACCTGATATTGCAAACTTTATTGCAAGAGTTCCCCTTGATTATTTACCAAAACTGCGGTATTTCTCTAAGCTCCCTTGTGGTCAAAACTGGCAACTATTCGAAGGTCGATATCATCATATATTTTTTAAACTTCACAAAGGACAATCAGTGTCTTCAACTACGTCCGGCTCTATTACGCACATGTTTTAAAAATCAAGAAAAGCAGTAACACAACAAAACTAAATTGTTGGTTCAAACGCATTTTGATCAAGGTTTCTCACGCGAATAAAACAGGTTCCTTTATGGGCGAACATCTTACTTTAAAACTGAAATACTTACGCCCGCTGCACAAAACTACCACCCCCAAAACATGCACTAGGGCCAGAAGAGCCTTTTCCGGGCCCATTGTTCACTTGAAGACAATCACAAACAAACAGGTCCGAGCATCGGCAACAGTGGTACGCGCGTGTGTATCGACTGGCGGTGTTAAATGTCGCCGTCGTCGATTTGTTGATGACCCATGATCTCAGACAGACTTGTTGGATATACGGACAGCCTTGGAAATACCAGAGCCCGAGCGCGTTTACGCTCGGTGGAAATCACCGACCAATTAGTTCTGGCAGAGCTAATAGGATTTTTATAGGTTTGATAGTTTCCTGGCGAAGACTGGAACTGGTCTTCGATGGAGCGTGTTTATTTAGTCATTGGAACATGGATAAAGAGCAAAAAATGAACTGGAAAATGTGGGGATAGTAGTAGTAAAAAAAACGTGAAAATAATTTTATTCCCAATACCAGTGGCTAATACTTAAAATTTTGCAAGGTAGAAAATTTTAAATATAGTCCAGTCACTGCAATCTCTTTGCTATTAAAATAGCAAAGAGATTGATTTTTTAGGTGGTATAGAACCCGAGTTATGACTTCCAGGAGTTGAAGTCAATTTCGAAAATAGCTATAATCGCCTTTTTTCAACATATTTCAGAAACTAACAAAGTTATAAAAAAAATGATAGAATAAGAAATTGTAGGTTTTTTCTTACTGAACAATTTGCGTTTTTTTTTTAATTTTTGTAGGACAAAATTTGACTGAGTTATGAGCGTTAGAAGCTCAAAACTAAGCTCCAAAACTTATTTTCCTGACCCCTTTTAGCTTACAAATCTAAAAAACAAAGGGCTCAAAAAACCTGCAAACCACAGAACTTAAAGTGCTTTAAATTCCTTTGAGATTGGAGATTGGGATTGGATTGGAAATTGACGATGAGTATGACGATGAGGATGACGACGAGGATGACGACGAGGATGACGATGATGACGAAGATGACGACGATGACGAAGATGACGACGATGACGACGATGATGACGATGATGAAGATGATGACGTTGTTGTCGATGATGAAGATGATGACGATGAAGATGATGACGATGAAGATGGCGATGGCGATGACGATGACGATGGCGATGAAGAAGGCGATGACGATGACGAAGACGATGGCGATGAGAACGATGAGGAGGACGATGATGATGAGGAGGACGATGAGGATGACGATGACGATGATGATGACGATGACGATGACGGTAATGACGATGACGATGATAATGGCGATGGCGATGGCGATGACGATGATGCTGGCGTTGACGATGACGATGTCGATGACGAAGACCACGGTGAGGAGGTCGTCATCGTACCAAAATTGGAAATCGACGCACAATTCTAAAAACATTAATTTCAAGTGAATTAATATAAAATAAATAATTAATTAGGTAAATTCATAGTTTTAAATCTAACTTGATTTATTTTATTTAAAATTTTAACACAAATGTAATTTCCAAACAAAAGATAAGTTTCATATAACTCTTCAATTAAATGTACAAAACAAAGCAATTAGAATTTCTAAATTCTAATATAATCTAATAAAAATATAAGGTATCGAACGAGATGAATATAGAGCTGTAAACAGGTTATTTCCTCTAGAATAAAAGTAAATTACATTTCACAACCGAAAAATAAGTTTTTTCATAGGTCTATGGTTCATTAATCATCAAAATTGATCCGTGGGCAACAACTTAATTCTTGTTTACCGAGTTTTCAAATGTAGATTTTATAGTTAGTTTAACATTGGCACAATATGGACTCTTTGAAGCTTTACTTTCTGTTAATATGCGTTTCTGCAATTTACGGTGGTAAGATGATATTTCTCAGTATATGTAGACTGACTCTATACATGAATTTGATCAAATGTTTGTTACTATAATAAACTACGTTGGGAAACTATGGACATATTTTCTTACCAACAAATTAAAGAAAAGAAAAACAAAAGCCTGCTTCAGGCACTCTTGGCAACCACTACGTTTTAGATAAAAGATTTATGTTCATCTTCGACTACTTTTAAAACTATTATAGAAAAAAAATTACTAACAAACATCTTAAAATAAAGTAGGTAAATTATCAAAAATAAAATAAAAAACTTATTTTTGAATGCCCACGACTGGAGATTAATAATTTCATACTAAAATTAGGATTCATGTCATAAAAGGTGTTTTTCTGAGTATTTTGATATAACGACAGTCAAGGCCAGACACCTGTTCAGTTTTCTTTTCTCACTTTCTTTATCAGAGCAGTACAAAGCGAGTTACAACCAGGCGAATGTCGAAGTTAACTTTTATTTGTAGTAAGTGAAACTAAGGACGATCCCCGCTGGAGCAAATTACCAGAAGAGTGCGGCAAGACGAGGTACAACAAAAAGTCATCTCGAATCATTGGTGGGAGCGCAGCCAAGCTCGGTCAGTTTCCGTGGATAGCAAGGCTGGGCATTCACTCACATCCAATGAGACCCATATCATTTTTCTGTGGTGGTACCATAATTTCTAGGTATTACGTCATATCCGCTGCACACTGTGAGGAGAAAACTACCCTGTGAGTGCTAATAATATTTTATGTAACAGGATGCTCTAAGCAATTCTTTTCAGGGTAAGAGTGGGAGAGAACATCGTATCCTCTGTTATAGACTGCGATAACTCGAGGGTCTGTAGTCCTCCTCATCAGGACATTCTGGTAAAAAGGCACATATTTGCGGACTTCTGTGCGACAACATTTTACAATGATCTGTCTATAATAGAACTGGAGAGACCTATTCAATTTAATGGTAATTCATTAGAATCCAAAAAAAAAACGTTCCCATTGATATTTTCAGTTGTCTTAGGTCTGCCTCCGACATTGAAAAAAACTTTGTGCTATTTCCAAAACAACTAACAAGACTCTTTATCATCTAGATAGTAACATTTTCTATTTTGTTAGAGTTTGTCCAACCAGCTTGTCTTCCTCGCCATACCGTAACTCTCGATCAACTCCTTAACCAGCCTGTACAAATATCAGGATGGGGTACGATGTCTTCCATAAGAGAGATGCTTCCGGACAACTTGATGTACATCAATAATGCTGTGATCGAGCGCGATGAATGTAACGTTGTGTCTAGAACTGAAGTGCTGGAATCCCAAATCTGCGCGGGAGTTCGTGGTTTAGTAAGAGGTAGGTAAAATTTTAAAACTACGGACATTTCCAAATTCTAAGGATAACACGGGTTTTCGATAAAAAAAAAAGTGCTGTTATTTTAATGTAAGATACGCCGGAACATAAGGAATGTTGTAGTCTTGAGGGCGATGAAAGTGAGCAAAATTTATTATTATTTATATTTACTTATACTTTGTTGGACCAGTTATTCTATTAAATATATATATTTTTGCCTCTTATTTGTAAATATATCAAATTAATATACTCACCTCTTGCATTAGCAGCTTAATTCAAACTCGTCTGCAATATACTAGTTCTCCTATAACTAATAAACTCTAACAATAGCAGAAGAAAGAAAAGAGAACAAAAAACCAAAGAACAAGTTTATAAATTCTTTTGAATTTTATTGGCGCCCGACGACTAAACAAAACGGGGATATTTCAGAGCAATAAAACAGTCTGGACAGAGTAAAAGTAGTAAAAGGCACTCACCAGACAAAAAAGCTCTTCAAAATTTACCTTCAGTGGAAGGAGAGTCCACCATCTGCAAACCTACGACCCTACATTGAATCACACCGATTAAATCAAAAATCAAAAAGAATGCACAATAAAAGAGTTTTATATTTTATTTTATATATTTTTACGGCACTGATTTTATGAATACCGACCACCATTCGAGGACACTTTCCACTAATATATCTGAGAAATAATCGACGTTCTACCAATCCAGGTGGATGTAAAGTAACATATTTTCCAAAAAAAAAGATAATTAGGCCAAGCAAATTAAATTTTGACTCGAAAAAAGTCCTATCCGCGAGATTATTGTAAAATTGTCTATAGGAACATAATACAAGACATCTCTCATCTCGTGAATCAAGAACTTTTATTAGCTAACTTTTCAGTTTAAACAAATAAGTGAGGAAAACAGTTTTTTGACTTTGCAGGGAAAACCATCAATTTTAGCGAAAAGTGACTCTCAGACAGCTTGTAGGGAATAAAATTATCTACAAATTGAGACTTGTTAAATTAAAATTGGTTAATAAACAAAAAAGTTATTGCAAAAAAAAACAAGGAAAGTACCCATTTTTTAACTTGTTCATAATTATCGCATTTATTGTTAAAATTTTATAAAACCTATGACAAGTTGAGGGCAAGTTGAAGACAAGTTTTTCATACTTTAAAAGTGTGCCAAAAGTGGGCGCTGTAGGTGTAATAGTTTTCGCACAATTCTATTACTTTATAACGGAGGCTCCAAAAGTTATTAACTTTAAGCCTCTGTACAGGCGTTAATTTTCAACCAAACATGATTCTGAAAGCGTCATTGTAATCTTAAAGTCGTAATTAAGCGACCTATTAAAAAATATCACCGTTTTTTTGACAATAACATTCTCAAATTGTGCATTAAAAAACCGTGCGTTTTTCGCTTATAAACAATTTGAATAAAATTGTTGCTATTTATGCTACCTCACCGAAAATAGATGCAATGGATAGCTGGCAAGAAATACAAATTTAAAACCAAAAAGTACCCTCTACGACCAACAGGAGCCAAGATAAGATTTTTTTTTTAAACGAGACGCACGGCTTCTATTCATCTTAAAAACTTATTTTTTTTAAAATGGCGTAGCTCGACGAAAAAATAACAATGCCCATATTTACGAATTCGTAGAATAGACCTGAACCCCAGAAAAAATGCATTTTCTTTACTTATTTTTTTTTTAATTTACAAAAATGTCAGAAAAATTATTATTAAACGAAATATTAATTAAAATTTCGATTTCGGAGTTATTTTACTATTATTAAATAAATAAATGAAGCTATCGTTCATTTAAAAAGTTATTTTTTTACATATTAAGCCAATGTAAATTTATTATTTCAATATTTTGTTAGCTATTTAATTACGATTTAAATGTAAAATTAAAGTAAACATTCACAAATTATTTTTAAATTATTATATCTCATAAAAATAGAAAAAATTTTAAAGTTTAGATTATTGTATTATATTGCATTATATCTATTACTGAAAATGGTTGTGATTAATATTTTTTGAATTAATTTTGATTATGTTGCAAAGATTCGTATGATACGGATGAAGAAATTGATATGGAATCAAATTCACCGCCTTTCAAGAAGTTAAAATTGTAATTTTACCGACCGCATTATTTTTATTAATATTTTCTAATATTGAGAATTTTACAATAAATTCAAATGCTTTTTATTCTTTTTTAAATCTTTTAACAATAAATAATAATTTGAAAATAATTTGGAATTTTTACTTTAATTTTACATTTAAATCGTAATTAAATAACTAAATATTGTAAAAGTAAGTTTACTTTGACTTAATATAAAAAAAAATAACTTTTTAAATGAACGATAGCATCATTTATATATTTAATAATAGTAAAATAATTTCGAAATGGAAATTTTTATTAATATTTCGTTTAACAATAATTTTTGTGACATTTTTGTAAATAAAAACAAATTAAGTATAAAAGATACATTTTTTCTGGCGTTCAGGGCTATTCTACGAATTCGTAAATATGCGCATTGTTATTTTTTCGTCGAGCTACCCCAGTTTAAAAAAAAATAAGTTTCTAAGATGAATAGAAGCCGAAATATTGCAAAATTTACAGCGCGCATCAATTTGAACTAGGAATTAACTTTTCTCGCGCGCGCGACTCGCTTGGACGAGCTTCCCCCACCATCACGCCGCCGGCCGCCGGACAGTTTACTTAGCGAGTACCTTCTCTTTAAAGGGCTCGTGAGTCGTTAATTTTCCACATTTTTCAATGCAATTCAGGGGAAGTCGTAGTTTACGTCGTAAACAATTATAAACAATTGCGCTACGATTTTTTTTAAAAAAATTCTTATCTTGGCTCCTGTTGGTCGTAGAGGGTGCTTTTTTTTATTTTAAAACTGTATTTTTTTGCCAGCTATCCATAGCATCTGTTTTCGGTGAGGTAGCATAAATAGCAACAATTTTATTCAATTTGTTTATAAGCGAAATACGCACGGTTTTTTAATGCAGAATTTGAGAATGTTAATGTCAAAATAACGGTGATATTTTTTAATAGGTCGCTTAATTGCGTCTTTAAGATTACAATGACGCTTTCAGAATCATGTTTGGTTGAAAATTAACGCCTGTATTAGAGGCTTAAAGTTCATAACTTTTGGAGCCTCCGTTATAAACAAATAGAATTGTGCGAAAACTATTGCACCTACAGCGCCCACTTTTGTCACAGTTTTGAATTATGACAAAACCCTCATTTTGTCATAGGTTTTATAAAATTTTAACAATAAATGCGATGGTTATAATCAAATTAAAAAATGGGCACTTTTCTTGTTTTTTTGCAATAACTTTTTTGTTTATTAACCGATTTTAATTTAACAAGTTTCATTTTGTAGATAATTTTACTCCCTACAAGCTGTCTGAGAGTCACTTTTCGCTAAAATTGATGGTTTTCCCTGCAAAGTGAAAAAACTGTTTTCCTCACTTATTTGTTTAAATAGAAAAGTTNTTAACCAGTCTCATTTTGTAGATAATTTTACTCCCTATAAGCTGTCTGAGAGTCACTTTTCGCTAAAATTGATGGTTTTCCCTGCAAAGTGAAAAAACTGTTTTCCTCACTTATTTGTTTAAATACAAAAGTTAGCTAATAAAAGTTTTTGACTCACGAGACGAGAGATGTCTTGTATTATCTTTAGACAATTTTACAATAATCTCGCGGATAGGACTTTTTTCGAGTTTCTCTTTTATTTTCGCTAATTTTCCTGGTGTAAATTGTCTTCCAGCACAGTAAAAGAACGTGATTTTAGGAATTCATCAAAACGGCATGCTTTTCGGTGCATATCCCTCATTTTGTCTTTTTTTTTAGGAAATGGCAGTTGCTTTGGAGACTCTGGGGGGCCGTTAACAAAGTATTTGCCATTGAAAGGAGAGGATCGGGGACACTTAATAGGAGTTGTCTCGAACGGATATGCGATATGTGAATTTGGCCCTACACTTTACACCAATGTTTCACACTACATGGACTGGATTTTGGATAATATTAAATATAAGTAATTATCAAACAAATTGAGTCTTTCTCCAGATAAACACATTGTTTTCAGACCAACTTTATTTTATTTAAAAAAAATATATTTCCCCCTGGCACAATGATCCATAAGAATATTAAGAACGTTTGCAAAAGCAATTCATTTTCTAAAAACATTGATTTGCTATGTTTAAAGGTGTTGATCGAGACAGCTCATACCTTTACTATAGGTTGTGTACATACAAAATATCGAGCTCTAGATGAATACACAAAAAGAAGGATCACAGTAAATAGTAATATTTTGGGTTAAAAAAATAGGTATAAGATTTCAAACGAAAATAAAATATACAGGGTGATTCAGACATAATATCATTAATTTTAATAACAGATAGAGAAAAATGAGTATAATACGATGGCGTGATTAAAAAAAAATTAAATGCATATTTAAGCAGAAAAAAATATTTTCAAATCATTATTTAACACACTTTTCAGGCTGTTACTGACCGGCTGACGTCAGTCGGTTATTCACAATTTGCGCACGGCTACGATATGAACAACGCGCCCTAGATGCAACGTTGCCATATTTATATATTTTCGCTCATATAAAGACAATAAATAAACGGTTTGCTCACGTCAGCCAATAATAATTTAAAATGCTCTAAATAATTTTTTTTAATTATGCAATCAACATATTAAATTGTTATTGTTGCCCAGCAAGAACCTCGAGGAGGTCTGAGCATGCCTTGCAAAAAATCAGTTTTTATTAACATCTTCATGTTAATTTAAATTAAAATTAGTAACACAGTCGTTAACAATAATAAAATTACTTAACTCAATTTTATAGATTTAATTATGCATTGGTTAGGCAACACAATTTTAACACTAAAATTATATCTATCACTTTACAACCTCGTTAAATTTATATAATTTCTCATGTATTATAAGACAACTAAAAAATTGTTGTTCTAATATGATTTAACAAAAACATGTAAATAGGTTATTTCCATTGGAATAAAAGTCAATTACATTTTACAATCGAAAAATCATTTTTTTGATAGCTTTCGGTTCATTAATCATCAAAATTGAATCGTGGGCAAACAATTGAATTCTTGTTTAATAAAGTATTCGAATGTAGACTTTGCAGTTATTGTTAGTTTAACATCGGCCCAACATGGACTATTTTAAGCATTACTTTCTGTTAGTATGCGTTTCTGCTATTTATGGTGGTAAGATGAAATTTATCAGAATATTCAGAATTACTACTTCATGCAATTTATGTCATAAAATAGCATGAATTTGACAAAATGTTTGTTACTGTGATAAACTAACAATAAGTTAATTTCATTTCAAACAACTACTATAAAAAAAGGGCAGTAGTCTTGGATGAAAATAAACTTTGAAATGTTACGGAACCCCAAAATATTATGTGTTGCTTTTTTGCGATACTTTTTAAGATATTGTTATGAAATAGAGTGGCTATTTTTAGGATAGCCTTACTAACAAAAAAGAATGACCTCTGTAATTATAGATGGAAAATATATGATCCTCGGCTACTTTAGATTCCCTCTATAAATAATTTCATTAAATAATATCTTAAAAAGTAACAGAGTCATTTGAACATTAATCTGTGAAAGTTACAGATATTTTAAAAATTGAAAGAATTACAGCTGTTTTATTATTATGTACAAAATTATAGAATGACGTAACTTTGTATACGTACTACATTTTTTTTCTCAAGTTTAAAGACAAAATTTTGATAGCCGGATGACTTTTCTTTCATTTAAATTTTTGTGAGGTCGATTTGATCAATTAGATCAAAAGTTACAAATTTACGTGTTTTTTCACTTTTTTACTAAAGTGAAAAAACACCTAAATTTGCTTCGCGTCACTTCTTTCGAGTTATTTTTTTGATATTATTCGACGTACCTACTATTCCCCGTCATAAAGCGCAATAAAAAGTCTACTAACAGTGTTTTCAGGTTCTATGATCTAATTCAACTGGAATATAGGTTTCGGACACATATCATACTTATAAGATTTATTTTGTTTACTGATTAACAGTCAAAACAGATGTCATTTATTAAACCAGTAGCTTAGCTTTCTTGTCTCATTTTCTTTATCAGAGAACTTAACTTTTATTTGTAGTAACTAGAGGTGAAACTAAGGACGATCCCCGCTGGAGCAACTTGCCAGAAGACTGCGGCAAGACGAGGTACGACAAAAAGTCAGCTCGAATCATTGCTGGGAGCAAAGCCAAGCTCGGTCAGTTTCCGTGGATAGCAAGGCTGGGCATTCGATTGCCGTCAATTGACCGCATAATATTTTTCTGCGGTGGCACACTAATTTCAAGGTACTACGTCATCTCGGCTGCACATTGCGAGGAAAAAACTACCCTGTGAGTACTAATAATATTCTATGTAACAGGATGCATAGAATTGCAATTCGTTTCAGGGTACGAGTGGGCGAGAACGTTGTATCTACTGATAAAGACTGCGACAGTTCGAATGTTTGCAGTCCTTCTCATCAGGATATTGCAGTGAAAAGGCACATATTTGCAGACTTCTGTCGATCCACAGTTGTTAACGACCTCTCCCTAATAGAGCTAGCGACTCCGGCTAAATTTAATGGTAATTTCGTTAAGTTAAAATAAAAGAAAAGTTTTTAGTGGCATATAAACAGAAATACAACCCCAAAATTTCGCGATTTCATATTAAACCGTTTTGAAGTTACGCAATAAAAACTGTTTCTTGAGTAAGGGGTAACTCAAGGGGCTGTATCTCCCTTAGGGGCCGCCACTGACAAAAACTCCACTGAGGTTTTCATCGACATGTTTTACATACTCTCCAATTTTGAGTACTTATTCTGTTAACACCCTGTATAAATAATTTCGTAAGGCATTATCAGAATATACAGGGTGATTCATTAACAATGGGAAAATCGGGCGCAAACATGTCTTATCCGAAAGTTGATAGTTTCGGAAATACTGGGTGTTGAAAGTTAAAATTTTAAATCGTTTTTTGCGATTATTCTGAAAATATGTAGGTTAGAAACTTGAAAATTTGTGAAACTATATTTTTTTAGACGACGAATAAGATGCGCGTTGTAATTTCAGCATCAACTATCAACTTTCGGATAAGGCATGTTTGCGCCAATGGTCACCATTTCACGTGTAGTATCTTCAGCTTTCGACTTTCCCATTGTTAATGAATCACCCTGTACAAAAAAAAACTTCCAATAAGACCACGTCATCTATATAGTAATATTCCGGCTTTTGTTAGAGTTTGTCCAACCAGCTTGTCTTCCTCGCCATACCATACCACTCGACCAGCTTCTTGGCGAAAGCATGGATATGGCAGGATGGGGTACGATCAGATCCGCCATAATTACTCCTCCGGACAACCTGATGTACGTCAGAAATGCAGTGATTGAACGCGAAGAATGTCGAATTTTGACTACAAGCAAATTGGACGAGACCCAAATCTGCGCGGGAGTTCGTGGTTTAGTAAGAGGTGAGTAAAATAATAATAATAATCGTAATGTGTTCGCTGTCAGCAAGTAGGTAGAGGGGATAGTCAAACATTTGCGAGCGCTAGTAGCGTCAACTTAGTGAACTTAGATCGGAAATTTAAAAATCTTCTGCATAAGAATATTTCTAAATGGGAGACACAAGTTGTATCAAAGATTATAAAATTACAATTACGGTTACAACAGTGGCTGTGTATTTTACAAATTCCCTAAAGCTATTCATAAACTGGGTTAACGACAAAAATGGATTGCAATTAGAAAAAAGTAAGTAAATATAACCTTCAATTTTAAAATAGACATTGATTGAAAATGTAAGTTGTGATACGTGGATCAAAATTAATGTTTAAAATCTATCTAGATAATAATTAAAATTTTATGTTGTTGTAGGTAGAGCATTTAATCATGGGCCAGGATGGTTACCTAAAAAAAGTCATGTAATTTGTAGTAGTCATTTGATCACAGTTTGATTGAAATAATCATTTTTCCAAGACTAGAAAAATAAATAAATAAATAACATTGCTATTTAGACCATATTTTTAATCATTTCTGTATTTATTGCAAGTATAATTAAATTTTGGAGGGAAAATTTTCCTATTCTAATAATCGCAGTCAACATAATCACAAAATGAAGTGCAAAATCTTAAAAATAATAATTATAATGAATAAAATTGTTTACTTACTGATATTATTCATAGATTACGATCTAATAACTTCTTGTTACTTTAATTAAATAAAAAGTATTATCTATCACTTGTATTTGGCATATACACTTTCAGTCACTATGTCACTTTAAATTTCCGACAGAAGTTGTAACTATAAAACCGCTAGGTGGCGATACCAGCGAAGCTCACAGCGAGCGAAATATTTGAAAAACCGTGAATAAAATTTTAAAATTATTCAAAGAAACCTTTGCGCCAAAGAGACCAATCGACACACAACAAATAGCTATAACAAACTCTATATATTTTTAAATCGCCGCTCAAACTCTATCAAATGACATTATTAGATCGTCTCCATGGTAACATATGTCAAAATTGGTATAGTCAACTGTTTTTGTTCAAATGGCACACTATATATTTTTTTATCAATTCTGGAAGATATTTTCTTTCTGCGTTTAGCTATATAAGGAAGTCTATAGTTTCATTAGAAATATTGTTAGAAAAACAGCAAAAAAGGTGAGCCCTACTTTCAGTAGCTTTATTCTGGGAAATGATAGCCAGCTGCGGAAACAACAAAATTTTGACGTTCCTATAATGGTTTGTCAAAATAATTGACATTTTGTACCTACCTATTCTATCTATAATTAATTATAACATGAATGTAACCAAGAAAAACTAAGGTATGATTTCAATTTATAGAGAGTGCTAAAAGAATGCTAAAGTTGGCAAGTATTTATACCAACATCGTTTTCCGCAGAGACAACTTCAGTCAGATAAAATTTTAGGAAAGTAAAATAGGAATTTGGGGGCAGATGGAAGTTTTCAAAAGAAAAGAAGAGTTTTTAAACCCAGAAGGGCAAGAGATGAAGAACATTCCATAAAGGTGTTAAATGGCCTGCTAGATCTCCTGATCTCACTCCTATAGATTTCTTTTCTTGGTCGTACCCAAAAAAGAAGTTTACTTTAAATAACGTTGACGACCTTAAAAACAAAATAAGAGCAGAATGGCGAAGATTAAATGAAGAAACAGTAGAATGTGTTTGTAGAGAAGGAGTGATAAACAGAGTTATTCTGTGTTTGGAAGCAAATGGAGGTCATTTTAAACATTTGAAATAAGTATTGTTACTTATACAAAAAAATTTGGGAATAGATGCGGCATGAGAAATGGAGTCAATATTGTAAAAAAAAATTTTGTAAAATCCTTATAGTTCCTAAGAGCAAAATTATTGAAGTTATAGCACATTAAACCACTACATAGCTGGACAACTGTAGTCTCTAGCGTAATTCGCAATACGCGTGGAGAGCCATATGACTCCTAATACTGAAATCCGTCTTTACGGTAGTTTTTACCTGTTATCTGTGTTATTTACATCAGTTTTTTAGTAGTTAGTGTCAAAAATGGCTTGCGTTTATAGCAACTCAGAGTTGATGGATATCGTTTTAATTTATGGTGAAGCAAGACAACACTTGTATTACGGTGAAGTATTTGTGTTATGGTGAAGCAAAATATCATTTGTGTTAGTTCGTAGAAAGTGAGTAAGATGGACCCAAATGTGTTTACACGTGAGTGAATAAAATTTTGAACAATTGCTGTTGCAGCATCGGGTATGTCAAATGATTTTATTATTTAAAAACACAAATTAATGTTATTAATTAATAACGGCAAAAGCAGTTGAATTTGCCCATATAAAATAGGTGCGATAAAATTCTATTTACATATTTCTTTCCTTGCGAAAGTTTTTGTCCATTTTTTCACACCGCCATGACGGTCGCATTGTGCGAGGTCAGGTTTTACAGTTGACCAGTTTCCAGTGTCGTGCAGAAGTGTATTTTTAAATCAATTTTGAACTGACCTTTTTGATTTTTTCTTTACAAAATTGTATTTGTAAGGGTCCCCTGTACATCCAGAATTTTTTTTTGGATAAGTTCTGAATCACCCTGTATATTTCCTGGCCTATTTGCGATAAAAGTATCGCAGAATTTTTATTCCTGAAACATCGGAAAACTGAATATGAGTTAACGACAAATAGTTTAGTAAATAGCAAAGTTCCTGTATAGCTAAGCCGTTAAACGGAACACGTTGTATATTGGTAATGAAAAACAGGCAATAACCATTTTTTTTTTTTTAGCAAATGGCACTTGTTATGGGGACTCTGGTGGACCGGCAACAAGGTATATGCCACTAAACGGAGAGGATCGAGCACACATAGTAGGAGTTATTTCAGCTGGATATCCAATATGTGAATACGGCCCTAAAATCTATACCAATGTTTCACACTACATTGACTGGATTTTAGACAACATTAATAAGAAGTAATTATTAATCAGATTAATCTTTTTCCAGATAAATAAATACTTTGTCTTCAGTCAAGGATTATTTTATTTTCAAAAAGGTTTAAGTATGCAAATGCAATTAAGTTTCTGAAAACATTGTTTAAAGGTTTGACAGAAACAGTCTTTACGTAAAGGAAAAAATATACATATATTAAAAATTTTCAGAATTGTTGATCATAATTGATATAGAAAATAAGAGTACCTATAGTTTGTCACAGCAAATTGTATTTGAAAAGCTATATTTAATTTGATTACAGATTGGTTAATTGCTATAGGATGGTTTCTGTATATCGTTGAAAATGTTTGGTTCCAAAAGTAATGCATGGATATAGGAAGAAAATAGTACGGTTTTGAAATAAAACACAAGCATTACAAGTTTAGTCAACAAACGAATTTGAAAAACTCAAGTTCAAGATGATTTCAACTTCTTATGTCTATATAACAGCAACATTTTGCAACTAGCAAGTACCAATAAAAAGAAATTTTGACAGCGTATTGATATCTTTAAATTTTTCAAGCAAATCTGTTTCATCTCAGTATTATTTTTGAGAAATTTTTATAAAGAATTTTAAATAAAAACACCACTGTGGCAAAATGTTTTTGTATTTTAATAAACTAATTGCTACTACGAACATAAAGATAGATGTAAGTTATAGAATTCGATACAGTTTTGTTTCAATTTTACTGTATTTTAAAAGATAACCACACCTTAGTTGCGCCATCTATTTATAGGAAGCTCAAATAAACTTCATACTGGCTGTCCTTTTATTTAGTAAATGCGTTGATTGAAATATTGTTCTACTAGATGGTGACTCTCTTAATGGAATTATCTGTTACGCGCGTTGAGAGTACAATTAAGGATGAGGATTTTCGTAGATCTAATATATTAGATCTATGGAGATTTAATAACAGAACCAAACCGTTGCGGATACATTTTCACATGAACTTTTTGTCTTAAAATTAGTCAAAAATCCACCCTTTAAAGTTTGTACAAGTACTTAATGAACATTCTGTATAAGAGGAAGGGTTATAAAAAGATGAGTTATTTAAACAAGAAGTTTTCTGTATTCAGCATTCATAGTCTAGTACAAGGTTCCGTAAATAACTGAACAGTGCAAAACGCGAGTCAGCTGTGAAGGCCACCGACCCCGTACCGGCTCTATTAGACTCTGCACTTGCCCTAAGCCTAATTATTAGCTCTCGCGGTTTTACACTATTTTAAAGGTTATCTCATCAAATGATATCAATGTTCTTCAGAAATGTAGATATGAAATAATATCTAAATCCAGATTGATATTGAAGGAAACAACTACTCTATGGACTACATACTTCAACTAGTATCATAAATAATAAATAACACTGGTAAATGGTAAATACAGAAGTTGTAGATTTCTGTTGCGGTTTCTCCATAGGGTCTTTTGGTCAATGACTTCCCACATACCTGTAAACTGTAATAAAAAAATTGTTCAATGAACCTATTAGAAACTGGCAAAAATTTATATGTATATATCTTTAAGACTGTTTTTTGTAGTTTTACTGGAAAAATTGGTAGAAAAAAATCAGATTATTTGTGTAATCAGTGCCATTTTCCAATGTTATTAAAAAATGTATTAATTTTTGAAAGACATTCAATATATTGACTAATATGTGGATATGCATATGTTACTAATTATAAAACTAATTTGTTAAGTCATTATTTTTGCTTTTAAGTAAAATATATACAGTAATAAATAAATAAAAACACTCACTAATCGCCCATTGAACTTTAAACTTTAAACATTATTTAATTGACCTAATTTGGATCAACTACTGTAGAAAGGAACATTGCGAAGGTACACATTTTTAAGGAGGTCGTTCTTGGAGTAACTTTATTTCGTTATCAGCTTCTTTGTTCAAAGAAATAAATAGCATAGTCGTTAACAGCAATAAAATTACTTAACTCAATTTTACAGATTTATTTATGATCGAGGCAGGCAATAACTTTGACGGATTTTTTTTTATATGAGTCATAAAAATATATGTCAATACTATATGATTGATTAAAAATGTAAAACTTGTTACTGAGAGTAAATTGAATTATCATTTAAAAGCCTTTGATATTTATTTTGTCAGATATTAAAAATATTAATTCAGTGACAACCTGTTGAGTTTTATACCAAACAGGATGATCAATTTTATTATATGCATTCTGTCAGCCCTCGTTTCTACTGTACAAGGTAAGAAATAGTTATTTACCAGTCGAGGACGATTTTGCGCCCGAGCGGACAAGGACTGGCAATAGAGTCCGAAACTGGTAAATTATATTTAACTGCTGCGTGGTGTATAACATTTTATCTGCTCCCACAGTTCTTCATAGTTCATAAAATAGAGATTAGGTTTTAATTTTTTGACATTTCTTAATCAATTCATTTTGATATTATTCGAAATCTTGCAAAGTCGCCTTGTTTGTTTGGATTTTGTCGTTTCTAATGTGTTTATAAACAAAGCTACGTAAAAGTTGCAATTTTGCTGGTTTTGAATTATTATTTCAAAATGAGTGATTTTCAAATGGAAAGTGCAGTAAATGCTACCTGCGAATTTGTATTTTCCGAGAAGCCGGTACGGACGAACGCATATAGATATTTCAAAGAATAGCGCCAGAACGAAAATACTGGTGTTTCTGAAATGTCACTGCTGGCATATTTCATGGAGAAGTAAAGAACTTTAAAGTTACCGGCGAGTTTGTGGAGTGAATGCTCAATGATTAAGTCAACTATTTTCATAGAGGAGAACGTGGATATATGAAAATACCCCTAGCTGAGAGCATTTTTGAAACGTAAGAATGACGGCTATACATCTAAAAAGTCAAATGTTTTTACAAGAGAACAAGTCAGCAATAGTGACGGTCTTAGGCATTGCAGGAGCGTGCCGTTCTGATGAGTTATGCAAACTTACTTTGGACGTCAATTTTAAAAATTTCGATGACATTATTGTAGTTACAATTCCAGATTTTAAAAATGGTATAACACGTACGTTTACAATTACTTCCCGTCTGGGTTCTGTTTCTCACCTAGAAATTCTCAAGAAATATATCAAGATTAGATTGAAAATGAAAACTGAAATTTCACGCTTTCTTATTAGCTATCAAGCAGATAGATGTTACAACCAACTAGTCGGCAAGAATACCCTTTCTATGATTCCTAATAAGATTGCACAGTTTTTAAAGCTAGAACATCCTGAAACATATACAGGTCATTCATTCCGAAGAACATCGGCAACGTTACTGGCTAATACAGAATTTGACGTACATATTAGCAATCAATAGACAGATAATATTGAGCATCCGGTGACTGAAATGGAGCGGTCAAATTATTTTGAGAGAAATGTGACAATTAGTAAACGCCAGGGGAATAATTATCGAGATTTTATTCTGTTTATTTGTTCATAAAATATATATTTATAACTCGAAATCGCTTTTTTTCCATAGGGAGGTAAGTTACCTCACTTACCTCCCGTTGTTCATAGCAACTTCCACTTCTACGGTAAAATACACTTACCTCATTAAAAACAATGTATTAGTCTATTTACTATAGTGGGAGCAGATAACATATTTATTCAAAACCTATCGCAAAATGCCGCAGTTTCAGTTCTATTATGCAAAAAGGACTGTTCAGTTAACTACGACTAGAACAAAAAATTTCATTCATAGTGATTTTATTTATAAATTGACTACATTGTTTTAACGATATAACTACGTATTTTTGAAAATTTGTTTTTTCAGTAGAACAAACTCAAATTAATCAATTACTTAAAAATCCATATTTTTTACTTTTCTTTAGTTAATATTAAAAATATTTCGAAGTAATTTTTACATTTTCAATTGGTTTCTGTACTTGCTGTCAGTCGATTTTATTAGTACCGTTATTGCAATATTCAACATATTTTAAAACTTCCGATTTTATAAAACAAAAACTGGTAAATTTGTTATAAATAGAGCTGTCAGAATTGGCCGCGCACCAAAGGCGTGCGGATCATCAACACTAAATAAAGTGAACAATGATTATAACATTTATGTTATTCTATTGCCATTGGTTCCACAATCTGGATGGGATTCGTTATAAATCGCATCATCAGGTATGTTTCTACCCCTTGTTTAAGTGAAACTTATTCGCGGCGGTTATAAAATACCTTAATCTGAAGTGAACGACCGTTCGACATCTACTGATGTAATATTTTCACAATTGAATAGTCTACTTCCAAGCTGGTCCGACATGGTTATTTCCACTCGGAGTTGTATGTATTACAATAGGAATGAAAGTTTTATTATTTACTTATGTCAAATGGTAGGTTACATGCAGTCAGGTATGAAGATTAAATCAAACATATATTGAGTCTTCTGGTTTTCGCCAGTTTTTTATACGTGTGTTGTGCACTACTTAATACTTATTACTTTATGTTTATTAATATTTATTTTAAACGTTTTTAAACATATACAGGTTCGGAAAGCCCCCATGGTTCATCGGCCGTCACTAGATTTACAAACAGAGGTATCTACTAGCTACTGTCAAAAGTTTTCTTTGTTACGTGTTGTGCTGCCCTCTGTTAACACATTGTATTAACATATCGGAATACCGGAGTCGGAATTGTATAAGTAGTGACATCTATTAAAGAAAAGTCAAACGACGAAAACAAAGATGACCACCGGTCGCTGAATTACAAGTGGAAGTGGATCTTATTTATGGAAGGGCGAAACGGGCGGTGACTATGAGACGCCTTCATTATAGCCATCCCTCTCTATCGCATGGATTTCTATTACTTACTTTATCACTCTCACGTAACAGCCGATGAACCATGGGGACTTTCCGAACCTCTATACGTACGTATATACTGAATTATTATTACATTTAAACGAAGGGAGCAGCTTAAATAGATATTTTTAGAACTCATTATTTTCCTTTACTTTCAAAAAATTATTTTCTATTCCAAAGAAATATATGTTTCGTTTTCCACCTGAATAGTTTTTATATATTAATAATTTTTAATAATTTTACAGCTACTTACTTGTAATATTTGTTTTTTTTTTTAAGTCAGTATAATGCGAATTATTTGTTGTTTTTGGCACCAACTACACTCGACATAATTACGGGCAATTATGCATCAAAAGACAACTAAAATCGCAAAACAAAATCGTTCGATTGCAAGGAAATTGGCGGCTAAACTGACAGCTAGGCAGCACGCCAATGGCTAGCGGACGGATTGTGACAGCTCTACTTATAAATATCGAACATCTATGACCACAGTTTTAAGGGGCAGACCTATTTCCATTTGGTACTTCGCTTAAGATGGTGATGGTGACGATGACGACATACAAAGTTTTTTTTTACCTTAGGCGACTATACCAACAGTTCTGGCTGGAAATATCTCCCAGAGGACTGCGGTAGGTCGAAGTATGACAACATATCGACGCGAATCATTAAAGGGGACCAAGCCAGGTTAGGGGAGTTTCCCTGGATGGCTAGACTGGGAAGGTACTATCCAGACGGCGAACTGTTTTTTTTCTGCGGAGCGGTTCTGATTAACCGATTTTACGTCATTTCGGCGGCACATTGCGAAGAAAGGGTTGATGTGTGAGTTCGTTACTCTGTTTCTTCATTGGACATTATACAGGGTGTGAAACAAATCATTAGATAAGACAAGACCTTATTTCGAAACGGATAAATCCGTTCAGGAGTTTTGGGAGGAAAATTTTATAGGAATTTTGAAACATGTAATTCTTTTAGATTTCCATAAGATTCCTAGATGCGGGAAAAAATTTGTGACGTACCAGACCACTATACCCATACGTTTTTTGAGGTCACTGAATCTGAATCTGGCGTCCGCTTAACAAAGTCAGCTCTTGTTCAATGTTATTTGAAGGTCAACTCTTATTTTTTTATGGTAACACGATTTCTGACCCCTGATTCTGAAAGAGCGAGGAATTTTACGTTCAAGGACGTGGTGGATTGTGTTGCCATCAAAAAACAACAACTAACCTTCAAATAACATTGGACAAATGACCACAACAACGTATGGGTATGGTGGTCTAGTCTATCACACGTTGAATACTTTTTGCCTTGTGGACTGTGTTATTCATTATTATAGCATTATTTCTATTACATATATGAGCAATCTCTTAACCATAATTTTTAGGTAAAATGAATCCTAAATTCATTTTTGTCGATATTTGTGAATGAAAAAATTGTTGCCGCAAAAAACCTTTAAAGCCTATAAAATTACCAAATTTGCAAAATCTTGTATTATGACAATAACGCTGATAATTTTGTTGACACTCTGTACAAATCTCCTTTTGTTCTGATACTCAATAATAAATAAGCATTTGTTGATTGGTTTCAGAGTCAGGTTAGGGGAACACGACGCAAATAGTGACGTCGATTGCGCGACGCCTCAGGATTGTGCTCCGCCACATCAAGATTTCAGAGTGAAAGGATATTATTTCGAGGATTATTGTCAGGTCATAAATACTAACGATCTAATGGTATTGGAGTTAGCAGAGCCGGTAAAATTTAACGGTAATTGAAATGTATGTGATAACACGGGTGTTTATCCGCGTTTTCTCATATGTAGCCCCCTTCCGCACAGCCTCTGGCTTCGGATTTGGAGGTTGTCTCATTTTACACAACAATTTATCTGTCAATTGTCATCTTCTATGTCATAGAGAGAGTTTTAATAGAAAGCTGATCTGTCTGTGTTGAAATAGCTAAAAAGGTACTTAATAGTTTGCTCTTTATAATTCACTTTCATTTAATTCCCATTCCAACAGTGTATGTACATACGGGTTGTTTCAATTATTAAAACTTCTGACCTGGAAAACATCGGTACTAAAAGAAAAACAAAAAACCTAAGGGATATGACAATCAAGTCATCACTGACGTTGTTCTTACAGAATTTAATGTGATAGAAAAGACAGAAGTTAATGAAGAATATATATATACAGGGTGTCTCAGGTTTAAATAGCAGGACTTCAGGAGGCTTTAGAAGACCTCATTTTAAGACTAAAAGTTCCTATATGTATGGGTCTTAAAACGCTTCGTTTCTGAGATACAGGGCGTTGGATTTTATTTTTGTTTTATTTATTTATTTTTTAACTAAATAACCGCTGACAAAAAAATCGTCATGTTGCGGTGAATGACTAAGTATTGGAGTGCAAACAATTTGACACCGAAAATCATCGCATCTTAATTCCAGTGGTGGAGATACAGGGGTATCTATTAATATTTTTATAAAAAAAAATATAGCCAAATTGAAATTTTGCAAATATTTTCAAAAAATATGAAAGAGCATGCAATTTTACCCAGAAAAGGCCCTCTTGTCCGAAGTCGATAGGACGTGGCGTTTTCAAGAAAAACTGAAAATACTGTTTAGAAGTCAAATCAAGAAAAACCGTAAATACTGTTTAGTAGTCAAATCACACTGGAAATGCCATTCTAATATTGACATTTGCGCTTATTACAGTTTCTAATTGTGTGTGTGTGTAGCATATTAAAAAAAAATCACAGACAATAACTGAATTCAAATGAGACGTTCTATCCAGCGTCAGTGTCAGTTATGTATCGAAGAAAATGGTTTAAATTTCGAACATTTACTTTGATTTAATATGATTTTCGTTATTTATTTTTTTATTTATTCCCGTTTTATTAATTAGAAACAGTTTTAACCTAATTTTTTAACTATTTAATTTAGTTGTAACACAATGTTTAAAAATTATGATTTGACTTCTAAACAGTATTTTCGGTTTTTCTTGAAAACGCCACGTCCTACTGACTTCGAACAAGAGGGCCTTTTCTGGGTAAAATTACATGCTCTTTCGTATTTTTCGAAAACATTTGCAAAATTTCAATTCGGCTATACTTTTTTTTATAAAAATATTAATAGGTACCCCTCTATCTCCACCACTGGAGCGATAGTCTTTCGCCGCAACATGATGATTTTTTTTGTTAGCGGTTATTTAGTTAAAAAATAAGTAAATAAATCAAAAATAAAATTCAATGCCCTGTATCTCAGAAACGAAGCGTTTTAAGACCCATATATATATAGGAACTTTTAGTCTTAAAATGAGGTCTTCTAAAGCCTCTTGAAGTCCTGTTATTTAAACCTGAGACACCCTGTATAGGCCAAGCAAATAAAATTTTTACTCGAAAAAAGTCTTATCCGCGAGATTATTGTAAAACTGTCTATAGGAACATAATACAAGACATCTCTCATCTCGTGAGTCAAAATGTTAAACGAAATATTAATTAAAATTTCAATTTCGGAATTATTTTACTATTATTAAATAAATAAATGAAGCTATCGTAACAAATTACGATAAAAAACAAGTACCCACGTATTTTTAACTCTAGAGCACTTCTGTAGTTCTCCCTTTATGTCTGTTTAAGTTTGTTCCATAATCCAGTAGAGTTATGGTTTTTATAGTTGTCAAACAGATGAGGTTAGAAAATAGCCAACAGAAAAACAACGATTAGCACCAATTTTCAATTAAATTTTTCAAATTATCTCTCTCTAAAAACTTTATTATGCTTTAGAATTCGTCCAGCCAGTTTGTATTCCACGACACCCAATAAAACATGAAGACCTTGTAGGCGAATATCTTACGCTAGCAGGATGGGGCAGGAAAAGTGGGGTGGAGGCAATCAGGAGTAGGTATCTGAAGTATATTGTTCTTGAGGTGTTGAATACCACGATGTGTGAAAAGGTACATAAGCGATTTAAATACAAAGAACAGATTTGTTTGGAAGCTTCTGAAGAAGGTGAGTTAAAATTTCTAGTTTTGAAACAACGTGCACTAAATTTTGTTGCATCTGTTGCTCCGTGGTTGGTATTTTAAATTTTTAATAAAGCGTCAATCAAACTTTTAGGGCAAAATGTGTGCTATGGAGATTCCGGTGGTCCGGCTTTCAAGACAATGGAGGTGGACGGAGTGAGGAGGACGTATGCATTTGGTGTGGCTTCGTATGTTAGACCAAACTGTAAGACTGGCGTAGTATATACAAGTATTTTGTTCTATTTAAAAAATATTTTGGATTACGTTAAGAGGGATTAGTTCATTGGTCTAATTAAATAAAGGCAGACATGGTATATGTTTCCTTTTCACATTCACATCCTTTCCTTAAGTTCCGTTTCTTTTTTAATAGGATAGACATAAATTGAATTTGTTACAATTTTTTATCTGCTAAATAATAAGAGTAATAACATTTCATTATCAACATTTTTTTTATGTTACTGTTTATTACAAAACTATTTACTTAACTGTGATACTAAACCCTGACTTAATAACAGTTACATTGCAAATACGATAACGATAATAATAGTATAAAAGGAAAATTAAATAAAACTAGTAATTTTCTCATGGCACAATTTGATATATTTAATTTGGAGTAGGAATTTTTGAGCAAGTAATGAATTTATTGAAATGGATTTTACTAGAAAACAGCTCATGCTATTAAAATCTAACAATAGTACCTTTTTAACGCAAAATATGATAATTTCTCATATTTTCGGTTCAGAAAGTAGAGAAAATTGGGAAAAAAAATTGTAAAATTTGTATATTATACTGATTATTAAGCATATAAATAGTAATACAACCCCAAAATTTCGTGATTTAATTTTCAAATTTATGAAATAAAAGCCGTTTCCTAAGTTACCTCTTCAAGGGGCTGTATCTCCCCTAAGGACCGCCACTGACAAAAACTCTACTATTGTTTTCATCATATTTCGACATGTTTTACATCTCTCCAATTTTGAGTACTTATTTCGTTAACACCTTGTATGTACCGGGTGTCCCATTAAAGTCATCGACCGGCTGCATCTCGGAAACTATTTGTCCTATACATTTCGGGAAAAAAAATTGATGACTAATATCTCCACTAGAAATTCAATAAAATTATTTTTAGCTTCTAATTCTGGCCGCTAGAGGGCGTATTTCTAAAATTAAAATAAAAAACTGCTTTATTTTTAAAAAATCTAATGGAACGATAGATATAACTTTATGTTTTTGAGATCTTCTGCTCATTCTTCAAAATTTTTGTTGAAAAAACTTTGCTCCATCTTAAAAATAAAGGAGGGGGGGGGGGGATTATTTCCTATGACAAAAGTAAGATAACTCTGGATTACGTAAATACTGGATGTCGCAATAAATAACGCGTTTTTCTTTAATTCCTCAAAAAAATTCATTTTATCTAAACTTTTGTTAATAACTTCAGTTTGAAAGAAGATACAAAGTTCCGGCTTGCGGCATTTTTTTCATAATTTAAGTGTAAAACACCATAAAATAAATAATGTATCATTACATTTGATTTTTTTTTGAAAATCGATAAAACTCTTTCATTTGATTGATTGATTATGATTAAGCAATAAATTGCCTTTTCAACAAGCCCAACTTCATTGAAATCGGTTTACGTACTCCAGAGTTATCTTACTTTTTGTCATAGGAAATAATATCCACAACCCTTCCATTATTTTCTAAGATGGAACAAAATTTTTCCAACAAAAATTTTGAAGAATGAGCCGATCTCGGAAACATTAAGTTGTCTTTCCGTTTGATTTTTTTAAAATAAAGCAGTATTTTACTTTTATTTTAGAAATGCGTCCTCTAGCAACCAAAATTAGAAGCTAAAAATAATATTATTGAATTTCTAGTGGCCATATTAGTAAAAAAATTTTCCAGAAATCTATAAGACAAATGTTTCCGAGATACAGAAGGTCGATGACCTTAATGGGACACCCGGTATATATGCACTCGTAACATACTAGATTATGGCAAGAACAAGTCATTTGAATTTAAAAATCGATATTGGAATGTTTTGGGATAATTTCTAATATTTTCTGTAAAGTATTAGTTTTTGCTGGAACGGAAATAGAATTTATATAGTGTTGTATTTTATTGGGTTAATTTTGTATTAGTGTACACAAAAGGTAAGAACAAAAGACTTGGAACAGTTATCACTGCTGTAGAAAGGAACATTGCCAAGGTATACATTTTTAAGGAGCTCGTCCTTGGAGTAACTTTATTTCGTTATCAGCTTCTTTGTTTAAAGGAATGAACAACACAGTCGTTAACAGTAATAAAATTACTTAACTCAATTTCATAGATTTATTTGTGATTGTGGCAGGTAACGAAATTATGACAGACATTTTTGTATTGGTCATAAAAATATAAAACAATACTATGTAATTAAAAATGTAGAACTTGTTACTGAGAGTAAATTGAATTATTATTTGTAAATCTTTGATATTTATGTTCTAATATATTGACATGAATGATACACCTTCTAAATATTATACAAACGAGATGATCTGTTTTATTACATGCATTTTATCGGCCCTAATTTATACTGTTCATGGTAAGAAATAGTTGCTTTTTTTATATCTAGAACGCGAAATGGTACTTCTGCGTTCAAGAATGGAAGTTATTTTGCCGATCTCAGCGAGGCAAAATATCAATTCATGAACGCAAATGTACCTATCATAACTATCATAACGATAGTAACCTAATAAGCCATAAAAATTAGTTATTTTAAAAAAGTATTGTCAGAATTATAGTATATTGTAATTCATATTCTAAGAGTGTTTAATTCAAAATGAGCTCGGAAAGTGAAGGCGACCATTTACCAGGGGAAATATTGGAAGCGGCACAAAGTGCTGTTTACAACTCACTGCTTTAGACGTTCTTCCCCCACTCTGTTAGCCGACGCAGGGGCCGATATTACCACTTTAAACGATATGGGGGGGAGGCGTTCTAGTAGCGAAGACATATATAGAAGATTCTATACAAAATAAATCGCAAATAAATAAATTGTTACCATCAACTAGTCAATAATACAACGTGCGTAGTAAACTTAAACAATTACTTCTTTTGGTGATATCCATCCGATTTACTTTTTAAGTAGAGTATCAGTTTTTGACTTATTTCTATAATTATATGTACCGTACCTTTCTAGAAATAACCTTACCTATGACATATTAACATCTAATCAATACATACATCTACTATAAACGTCAAATTAATTCATCCAAAAAAACAATATTTTTTACTTTCGTTTTTGTCAATTTTAACAATATTTCGGAGTAATTTTTGCAATTTCGGATGTTTTTTTTTATCTGCCGATTACTGTTATAACAATGTTCAGTATATTTTAAAATTATTTAGTAAATACTGCTTAGAAATAGTTAACCCCTTTACCAACGTATTATTCTGGTTTTATAAAAAAAAAAAACTGGTAAATTTCTTATACTTAAGTATTGACCATCTATGACCACAGTTTTAAGGGGTAGACATATTTCTATTCAGTAGCTCGCCTATGATAGTTGTGGTGAAGATGACGATGACGACATGCTTGTAGCTTTTTTGCCTTAGGCGACTATACCAACCATTCCAGCTGGCAGTACCTACAAGAAGACTGTGGGAGATCCAGGTACGATAAGATATCGTCGCGAATCATTAAAGGGGACCAAGCCAGGTTAGGGGAGTTTCCCTGGATGGCTAGACTGGGAAGATACAATCGACGGGGCAACCTGGTTTTTTTCTGCGGAGCGGTTCTGATTAACCGATTTTACGTCATTTCGGCGGCACATTGCGAAGAAAGAGTTGATATGTGAGTTCGCTACTCTGGTTCTTCATTGGCCACCACACAGGGTGTGAAACAAAATTATTAGATAAGACAAGAGCTTATTTCGAAACGGATAAATCCGTTCAGGAGTTTTGGGCGGAAAATTTTATAGGATTTTTGAAACATGTAATTTTTATAGATTTCCATGAGATTCCCAGATGCGGAAAAAAAATTTATGTGTGACAGACCAGACCACGATGTCCGCTTAACACAGTCAGCTCTTGTTCAATGTTATTTGAAGGTCAACTCTTATTTTTTGGTGGTAATACAATTTCTGACCCCTGATTCTGAAACATTGAACAAATGACCCTAACAACGTATGGGTATGGTGGTCTAGTCTGTCACACGTTGAATACTTTTTGCCTTTGGGGGATGTGTTATTCGTTATTTCTATTAGATGAGCAATCTGTTAACCATAATTTTTATGTAGAATGATTCCTAAATTCATTTTTGCCGCTATTTTTGCATGAAAAAATTGTTGCCGCAAAAAATTTGCAAATTTGCAAAATCCTACATCATAGCAATGACGCCGATAATTTCGTTGACACTCTGTGCAAATCTCCTTTTGTTCTGATACTAAATAATAAATAAACCCATTTGTTGATTGGTTTCAGAGTCAGATTGGGGGAACACGACGCAAATAGTGCCATCGATTGCGCGACGCCTAGGGATTGTGCTCCGCCACATCAAGATTTCAAAGTGAAAGGATATTATTTCGAGGATTATTGTCGCGTCATAAATACTAACGATGTAATGGTATTGGAGTTAGCAAAGCCGGTAATATTTAACGGTAATTGAAATTTATGTCATAACATGGGTGTTTGTCCGCGTTTTTTGTCTTTGGATTTGGAGATTGTCTCATTTTTGTGGTGTATTTTATGTTTTTTTTAACAATTTATCTGTCAAATGTCATTTTCTATGTCACAGAGTTTTAATACAAAGCTTATCTGTCTATGTTGAAACAGCTAAAAAGGTACTTAATAGTTTGCTCTTCATAATTCACTTTTATTTAAATCCCATTCGAACGGTGTACATACAGTTTGTTTCAATTAAAATTTCCGACCTGGAAAATATCGGAATTAAAAAAAAACGTGATGCGTAGGTTTTGGTGTCTTGAAAGCTACCTCTGAGGCAGGTGCGTTTAAATGGTACCCTATGTTGAGAGAGAATTTTAAAGCTTTTTCAATTCTGCTCACGACGACATATTTACGACTATTAAATTTTGGTATGGATATGGCAAATCATCACTTACGTTGTTCTTGCAGAATTTAATGTAAAAGAAAAGACAGAAGTTAATGCTTTGTAACAAGTACCAATGTATTTTTAACTCTAGAGCACTTCTGTAGTTCTCCCTTTATGTCTGTTTAAGTTTGTACGATAATCCAGTAGAGTTATGGTTTTTATAGTTGTCAAACAGATGAGGCTAGAAAATAGCTAATAGAAGAACAACGATTAGCACCAATTTTCAATTAAAATTTTCAAATCATCAGGAATTCTCTGCAAAAAATATCCTGGACGTACCTTCTCCAAACGGAAACGTGATATCGACGCAGTCGTTTTCTTAAGATGGCAATAATTATTATCATTATACTCATTATACTGTCACAATAAAAAATGTATAGTAGATGCACTGAAAAAAAAATACTTTAGTGCTCAGACAAAATTCACAGTTAAAAATCAATTATTAAAAGTCTATTACTTTTTTCAATGTGTGACAATCCAGACCACCATACGTTTTTGGAGTCGCTGAAGCCGAATCGGAGATTGTATTATCATAAAAAACAGGAACTGACCTAAACACGAGCTGGCTTCTTCAAATGGGCACCGGATTCGGGTTCAGCGATTCCAAATAGTGTGGAAACAGTGTCACTGGAAGAAAGATAAAGTAACCCACAACTATCGATAAAGAAAAACAAAAAGAAAGTTGAATATTCCGACTGAAGTAAAGCGTCCTCTCTAAAAACTTTATTTTACTTTAGCATTTGTCCAGCCAGTGTGTATTCCACGACAGCCAATGAATCATGAAGACCTTGCAGGCGAATATCTTACGCTAGCAGGTTGGGGCAGTAAAAGTGGGGAGGAGACAATAAGGAGTAGATATCTGAAATATATTGTTCTTGAGGTGCTAAATCGCACGATGTGTGAAAAGGTACATAAGCGATTTGAATATAAAGAACAGATTTGTTTGGAAGCTTCTGAAGAAGGTGAGTTAAAATTTTTGGTTCTGAAACAACGTGCCCCAAATTTTGTTGCATCTGTTGCTCCGTGGTTGGTATTTTAAATTTTAATAACATTTAGGGCAAAATATGTGCTATGGAGATTCTGGTGGTCCGGCTTTCAAGACAATGGTGGTGAACGGGGTGAGGAGGACGTACGCATTTGGTGTGGCTTCGTATGTCAGACCAAACTGTAGGACTGGCGTGGTGTATGCAAGTATTTTGACCTTTATAAAAAATATTTTGGATTACATTAAGAAGAATTAGTTCATTGGTCCAATGAAATAAAAGTAGACATGGTATATTGTTTCCTTTTCACATTTACATCCCTCCCCTTAAGTTCCGTTTTTTTTAATAGAGTAGAAATACATTCAATTTGTTACAATTTTTAATCTGCTTACGTAAAATTATATCGTAATATTAAAATAAAATGTAGCAATAAATAAATAATATATTTTTATTTTAATTATTTTTAACGACCACATTACATACAAAAGAAATATATTTTATGACACTGTTACATTAAATGATCATTGTTAGGATTCAACAGTTGAAATAATCATTTACGCTATAAAAACATTTATCCAATAAAAAGTTTTTACTTAACTTGCGAAATTTATTGAAATTTAAACTGGTACAAAGTGGTTATACAGGGTGTTTCAGGATTAAGTCGACAAACTTTAAGGAGATATTCCTCATAGAAAAGTAAGAAAAAAATCAAGTATAATTTTTTTCCAAGTAATGCTTCATTTTCGAAATATAGGGCGTTAAAGATTTTTGAAAAAATCTTATAAGATACCATTTTTCCATAGAAATAGAAATCCCGCAAGCAACCGTGGCCGAGTTATGGGTACATTAAATTATAAAAAAAAAATTAATACGGCCCTACTGAAAATAAAAAATGATGCTGTGTTTAACAGTTTGTTATTGACAAAAAGTGTACATTCACTTTTTTTCCTAACTCATAGTTTCATAGCAAAATTGATTTTTCGGAAGGATGCTTCTGGATTCTGTCGATAAACTTTAAAATGAACCTCAACAAAAATTTTCGAGTGGGCTGCTGTCAAGCAATGTTAATTTGACGTTTTAAGTGTTATTTTGCGAAACGTTGCCCATTTCGGTAGAGGTCCTAGGCAGTGGTTAAACATTGGTCGTGGAGGACCTGCAGCGTGGCCCGCTCGTTCACCGGACTTGACATCGATGGATTATTTCGTTTGGGGTGCTGTTAAACAAAAAGTACGAGGTGCCAGTTGATACCCTAGAAGATCTAAGACAGCGAATAGTCCAAACGTGTCAAGAATTAACTCCAATTCAGTGTCGATCGGCCACTACTTCCATAATTAGAAGATGTCGTGCTTGTCTACAGTCCGGAGGCGCCCATTTTGAACAAAATATTTTTTAAACCATATCATTTTTTATTCACTTTTCGCTTTGTCTAGATATAATATTAATTGGTAATTTTTTGGTTGTTTTAATTTACAAATAAATTTTCATATATTGTTTGTCATCTTATTTTTTTAAAGTATACAACACAAGTAAATGAAATGATTACAAACCGCCTGAAAAAATTTAGGAGTATTGCAAGGGTCGTTACGTTGTCGCATTACGACATAGTTACATTAGATGTTAGGTACTTAAATATTCCAAAAAAAAAAAACAATATTTTTACTTTAGTTTTTGTCAATTTTAACAATATTTCGAAGTAATTTTTGCAATTTCGGATGTTTTTTTTATTTGCCGATTACTGTTATTACAATGTTCAGTATATTTTAAAATTATTTAGTAAATACTACTTAGAAATTACCTTTACCGGCGTATTATTCTGTTTATATACCGGGTGTATCTAAATAACACCGAAAAAATTCAAGGGGCGATTCTCCGATGAAAATTAATAGGGGTCTTTGGTATAAATTTTTTTGAAAAAACCCTTCCCTGAAAAGTTACGCCCCTCCTAAAATTACAAAAAAAAATTGTTTTTCTTTTTTATCTTCCACGTACATCAAGCTAAAGAAACCAAACTTGGTGAACATTATCTGTCAATAAAACTACACTTTTTGAATTTTTTTCAACCCTGAACTATTTTTGTAAGGGGTTGAAATAATCAACCCCTATGACATTTTTTCTTATAATTTTTTTTTCGATAACATTTTTTCCTTTTAAAAAATATGTCTAAAAAAACCCCATTCATTTACTAACTTTTTGATCTCTTCAAGTTTCTTCGAAAAGTTAAGGATTTATGACAAAAAAAATAAATGTATTGTAATGTATTTTTAAAAAGATGAGCTGTTTAACGCGAGTGTATTTTGCCGAAAGATCTAGTGGCCTGTTCTTTACAATGGAATCCGTAGAAACAAATGTCAATGTCATTTATTGTCATATTAAATAACATTTTATTAAAAAACACTCAATCAAATAGTTGATCTATGATTCTACTAGGCTAAGAAGTTTGGAACTTAGACTAAAAGTGAACAAATGATGAATAATGTTATAACAGTAACAAAAAATAAAAATCTGTCGGATATTGACAATACAATCTACAAAAAATGTTGAAAATGATTGCCTTCAGCTTCAATACAAGCATCTACTCTTGTTCTCATAGAATTGCGTACCAAAGACCCCTATTAATTTTCATCAGAGAATCGCACCTTGAATTTTTTCGGTGTTATTTAGATACACCCTGTATAAAAAACTGGTAAATCTCTTATAAATATTGACCATCTATGACCACAGCTTTAACGGGTAGACGTATTTCTATTCAGTAGCTCGCCTATGATAGTTGTGGTGAAGATGACGATGACGACATGCTTGTAGTTTTTTTTTTGCCTTAGGCGACTATACCAACCATTCCAGTTGGCAGTATCTACCAGAAGACTGTGGCAGATCCAGGTACGATGATAACATTTCATCGCGCATCAATAAAAGGGACCAAGCCAGGTTAGGGGAGTTTCCCTGGATGGCTAGATTGGGAAGATACAATCGACGGGGCAACCTGTTTTTTTTCTGCGGTTCTGATTAACCGATTTTATGTCATTTCGGCGGCACATTGCGAAGAAACGACATAAAATGTGATGATGTGTGAGTTCGCTACTCTGGTTCTTCATTGGCCACCACACAGGGTGTGAAACAAAATTATTAGATAAATATTGGATCTTTTCCAATATTTTTTTAAACGTTGCATATAAAAATTGATTATGCCATTCGATAGAGGGTAAAAAGTGCTCTTCTTTTTTCAATATCACCTCAAACAAGGCTGAAATGAGACAAAAACGAATTTTCAAAATGTCGTTATTATTCAAATATTTCGAAAACTAATCATGTTAGCCTTGATTTTTTAGAGGCATAATGTTGGTCCACTGATTACGCAACTTTGCCCCCATTTAAGCTACTTCGTAACTCTTACCGTTTCCAGGATCCCTGTAGAGAGAAGAGAATTTGTGACAGCCTGTATGTTATAATGTCATTAAAATACAGATAATGTAGATTACGAAGTATATTATTAAAAACTATTGTTATAAATGTTCACATAATAAGCGGGATATTCAAAACCAAAATCTTCTTAAATCGCATTTTGCAACAGTATGAACTTGATTCGTTTTCATTGGTGATCACCATTGTGGATTTGTATTTCTATGGTGACTACCCGTCAGTATTAGAATTTTTAATCCGTCTGACTTATCTGTCTGACATACAATTTGGCATTGTTTTGTACTAGTGCGAAATTTATTAAACTGATTTTGACCATTTGAATCCATTATCCATCTTATTTTGAAGGTAAGCAATTTACTAATAAAAATAAATGGTTCCCTATGTGTCAATTTTACATCAGCTTCTCCGCTTGCTCACGGCACCAGTTTCCTATAATTGAAAATTGCTAAATGATCCCTCACAAACCCTTTAGTACAAGTGTTTCTTTCTACAAATAATATGTTTTGTTCCTGGACACAGTAATGTATCTGGTACAGGTATTCGTGCCACTCAATGATAAATAATAAAATCATTTAACAAGTGGATGCAAGAAAGATCAACGAAAGAATGGTCACACGGCAGACTGACATGTCAGGTTACTCATAAAAATGTAGAAACAATTATTTATTTCGTACCGTACGGTAAATCATTGTTTATGTAATTAATTTTACTGCAGAAAACGTGTTATTACATTATCAGTATCAGTAAAAGGTACCGCATTTCTGTCTTACTGACGAACTACTCATGAAAACGTATTTTTAACTATTTTTATTAAGACAAAACAGAAGAACACATAACCTATTATTTGTTATTGTTTTTAACAGAGTCAACTAGAGGTAGATGTGGAAATTCTTCTTTGCTGTTGTTGCAGCGTCTGTAGGTATAAAGTTTTCTTCATCTTGTATCAATCAAACCACTTTGACTTTCCCTTCGATGGAAACTCAATATATTTTTCAGTCACCGAAGATCTTCAGCCACTATGTCATTAACCAATAGAACAGGCATAAGCGTTTGTAAAAAAAGCCCAAATAAAAGACGAAAGCAATGTCCTGTACACTTTTTCTAATTTTTATCTTTGTATTTCTTAAACGGCAAATGAAATATTTTTGTTCCAGTGAAAATGGCAAAGGCTTTCAGCAAATTTATACTACTTTTGTGGAAAAACTGGGTTAAAATGAAACGTCAACGTTGTGAAACGATAATGGACATCCTGGTTCCTGTGGTATATTGCACGTTGGCATTATTCTTGAGAAGCTTAAATAATCCTGTACAACGGAAAAACCTGGTTTACGATCAGTTCTGCACGTTGCCAGATGATTTTAACATTAAGGGTCAGTTATGCAGTGCAACTGAAGGGTAAGAGTAACATTATTTTTTACACTTTGCGGATACATGCATAAGGGAAAAACTAAAGACATAAGCTGAGATATTTTGTCTTTACACCGAATAAGTAATGTACCTATTTGTGATTATTTTTTACCTAATATGTAGAAATATGTAGTTACAAATGCCTAAAACAGTTTCTTATACAGGGTGATTCATTAACAATGGGAAAGTCGAAAGCTGAAGATACTACACGTGAAATGGTGACCATTTGGCGCAAACATGCCTTATCCGAAAGTTGATAGTTTCGGAAATACAGGATGTAGAAAGTTAAAATTTTAAATAGTTTTTTTGCGATTATTCTGAAAATATGTAGGTTAGGAACTTGAAAATTTGTGAAACTATATTCTTTTCGGGGACGAATAAGATACGTGTTGTAATATCAGCATTGCTCATAGAGGGCGCCACTTACGACCAATTTTACCGAAAATTTAGTTAATAACTTTTTACCCTGTATGTCTAAAATGAAACTTTATTCAAAAACTGAAAGACCAATCATTTTTTCCATTAATTGTGTATTCTTGTTTCATTTCGGTATCTCGATCCAATTCGATAAAAATCGATTTAACGAACACTATGTTTTGATAATACGAGAAATTAAAAGCGAAACAAACCAAGTGTTTCTTCGTGTTATTACAACAATTAATAATAAAACAAATCAAATTCGTAATAATGATTTAAAGTCAGTGTTCGAAGAATCCACCGTTGATATTTACACACTTCAAACGAACCAATAGATTCTTCCAAATAGAAAAATGAAGTGGATTGAAGTCCGGATTTCTGGGTGGCCAAGTAAAAATGCTTCCACGGCTTGAAGAAGTTCTACTTTATTTAAGAAGAGACATGTGGTTCATGCACGACGGAGCTCTGCCGCATTTTTCTTGGCCAGTGCGTATCTATCTAGATGCAGTTTTTCCAAATCGCTGGATTGGCCATGTAAGCATTTTTGCTTGGCCATCCAGGAGTCCAGACTTCAATCCTCTTGATTTTTCTTATTCGGTCTCGAATGAAAGACATAGTTTACAAAGAATCTATTGGCTCGTGGGAAGAGTTGTGGCAAAGAATACAAATCGCTGCCAACGAAGTTAGACGCAATCCCAATATGTTGTTTCAAACTCAAAGATCTCTCAGAAAACGTGTAAAGTGTATCAGTGTCAACGATGGATTCTTCGAACAATTACTTTAAATCATAATTACGTGTTTTGTTTGTATTATTGTTAATTGTTGTAATAACACGAAGAAACACTTGGTTTGTTTCGCTTTTAATTTCCCATATTATCAAAACATATCGAGATACCGAAATGAAACAAGAGTACATAATTAATGGAAAAATGATAACTCTTTCAGGTTTTGAATCAAGTTTCATGTTAAATATACAAAGTAAAAAGTTATTAACTAAATTTTCGGTAAAATTGGTCGTAAGTGGCGCCCTCTATGAGCAATGCTGAAATTACAACACGCATCTTATTCGTCGCCTAAAAAAATATAGTTTCACAAATTTTCAAGTTCCTAACTTACATATTTTCAGAATAATAGCAAAAAAGCGATTTAAAATTTGGACTTTCAACACCCTGTATTTCCGAAATTATCAACTTTCGGATAAGGTATGTTTGCGCCAATGATCACCATTTCACGTGTAGTATCTTCAGCTTTCGACTTTCCCATTGTTAATGAATCACCCTGTATAATTTTTAGTGCGCTGTAATTTGTATTAAAAATATTGACATCAGTCATGTCATAACTAGGTATTTAAAAATTAAGACAGTTTTTTGACAAATATATTTGGTGTTCTATAATTTACATCACAACTAGATGGCGTTGTTTAATAATTTTACACCAAAAAACGGTAATAAATCCTGGGCCCAAAACTACGGGTTGTTAAGGCAAAGAGTGCCGAGTTAAAAATCCTTGTAGATGTAGATAAATGAAATTAAATTAATATTTTTATAATTTACATAAAAGTCAATCAGTGACGGAGGTACTGAGAGGTACTGACGAAACTAATCGCAGAATTTCGACGATTTAATTATTTTGGGTATTGAATAAGTGGATTTAATTTTATTTAATTTTTCAAAAATAGAATAATAATGATATCAACAACCTGAACTGGATTTTCTATCTCAATCCTTATACAGAGTGTTACTTTAAGTGGGTGTCAGTATTTTAGGGATACCAATACGTGTTCCGTTGAATACGAATCTGAAATAATAATTTTTTTTTGCCAAACAAATTGAAGAGTTATAATTAAGTTTTGAAAATGTACTTTAATCCTTGACGTTGCCAGATGGTTTTAAATCAATCTAGGTATATTTTGGGCAGTGACCATAGACCAATGGTCTGTGGCCGATAATGAAAAATAATTTAATAAAACAGATTGCATTTCTATAACTTGACAGGATCACCATATTTTTTTGACTATGATCGAATCACTCAACATTGAACACAAACCATTCTCTCGTATCTAAAAAACAAAAATTTGAACATGATTTATTAAATATTTCCTAATATTGGTACAGAGATACGTTACTAATTATAAATACATATTTCTTTAAAGAGTTAAAGAGAGTGTTGTCTGTTAGACAACAAAACTAATTAAAAATTATTTTGTGAAGATTCATTCATATTACAACCAGTGGCGGCTCGTGACATTGTGAATAGGTGAGTCTCGTGGCTTTTTCACTAGGTGGACAAGAGAGAAGAAAAAGCGCCGCAGGCAAAAATTTTTAATTTTCAATGTCAAACGACTAAATGCATCTGGAAATTTTTAATTACATTTACAATATTATAGGAAAACTGATATTCACGAGCAGGATTTTCATTCATATTTTATAAAAAAATAATACGCAACTGTTTGGATATTTTATTAATCCGCTCTCAAATAATAAATAGGAATAAATTTCCACGTCATTTTTTATTACGGCGATCTTCGCCAATAGCCTTACTATAACTGTTAATTAAAAAATTATATTATATTTCCACGTCATTTTTTATTACGGCGATCTTCGCCAATAGCCTTACTATAACTACTAATTAAAAAATTATATTATTAATAATAATATTCAGAACTTCAAAAATTGTATTTACAATAAAATTAAGTAACAGAAAAAAAACAAAGTGATATATTTACCTAAAAATTAACAAAATTGTTCCTACTTGGTTTATGAATATTAAAAAATATGAAAAAATATAAAAACAAATTGCCGTAAGGTAGCCAGCCAACAATTTACATATAAAACAACGCCGCCACTTTTAACAAAATACTTTAAAGACATAGTGAATGTTTTTATAAAACAGGTTTATTCGTCCGTCTTTTAAATTTGCAAAACTTGTAATATCTTCATAAAATTAAGGATCAGCACTAAGACTTTGCAATAGTTCTTCTTCTATCGTCATCACTGATAAGTTGTTTAAGCGCTCTTGTGTCTCAATGCGCTTAAGACACAAAAAGTACCTTTCTACCGAGACACTTGTTGTAGGAATTGTTAAGACTGGGTAAAACAATTTGTACATTTCGGAAAATATAATTTTAAATTCCTTGTATAATATTTTTTGCAAGCCAACGTTTTACAATTTTTTTCTTTCAAACATTTCAGCACAAAATTATACCGGCATTGAAAACCCGANGATATTATTAATAATAATATTAGAACTTTAAAAATCGTATTTACAATAAAAAAAAATTCAGAAAAACAAACAAAGTGATATATTTACCTAATAATTAACAAAATTGTTCCTACTTGGTTTATGAATTTAAAAAAATACGAACAAATACAAAAATAAATTTTCATAAGGTAGTCAGCCAACTTATCTATTTACATATAAAACAAGGCCGCCAGGTTTTCGTTTGTCCCTCCTTTTAACAAAATATTTTAAAAACATAGTGAATGTCTTCTTTTATGTAAGTATATTGCAAATTTACTGATAACGTCTTCATAAAATTGAGGATCGGCACTAAGACTTTGCAATAGTTCTCTGTCTATCGTTATTACTGATAAGTTGTTTAAGCACTCTTGTGTCATCGTATTTCTTAAGTAGGTACGTAAGTCTTAATGCGCTTAAGACACAAAAAGTTTCTTTCTGCCGAGACACTTGTTGCAGGAATTGTTAAAACTGGGCAAAACAATTTTTATGTTTCCGAAAATACCATTTTAAACGCCGATAGATTCATTCTTAGCTACTTATGTAGGTATTTGATAATATAATAAGTATCTACTAAATTACGTTAAATTTAGTCTTACTTTGATTCAATACCGTTTCATAGTTTATCTTAATTAAAAGAATTAAACTTTAGTTTTTGTGGGATGATAGAGCTCGTGGTGAACTCAATAAAAGTAACGGCGGCGAGTGGTGTGGAAAATGGTTATTTAATAACCGTCCAGAGGCGGGGTAAGAAAATTACGAAAAAAGGGATAAAAAAATAAGTTTTCAAGATGGAATTTGAAAAAATAAACTATTGATACGTGTTTCTAAAGGTCAAAGGAAGCCTCTGTAAAAATATGATCTCCCCTCAAAGTTACATAATTTTTTATTAATTAATCCATGTAAGCATTAATTTCTGGTTCATTTTAGGACATACGAAAAGCTTGGTTTGGATTATTACAAGTAAGTATTATATAATTCCTGTACTATCGCTATAAATATTAAACGAATGTTATTGCAAGGAATATTATAACCGCGACTAGTATAGATATCATTGAAAAATAACCAATTGTACTACACCATTCTTTGTTATATTTTAATATCAATAGTACCCCCCCCCCCCCAAAAAAAAGGAAATATAAAAAATATACACAAACTGGCGTATATTTTTAATTCCTTCAACACTTGCTTCTTAATTAATTAATCCTATTTTTATTGTTCGCGATTTCTATTTACCACACATCACCATCGACACACGTACTGTAATGTCAGCGAGGGTCAACCTAAACGAATACAAAGTGATCACTTAAAAAAAATTCTTAGAACTTTTATATCAGCTTTTCCAGTATTACCTACTTAGCAAAGAAAACAAATAGAATTAATATTTTCATACTCATGTTCGACATTAATAGTATCACGACTATTTTCTATATTTTTATGAATTTTTTTTTTTTCGTAGAACCCAATGAAGTATATGTATAATATATTATACGTACGTACGTAACTTCAGAATAACCCGCTTATGTTGTTCCACTCTGACATTGCAGTATGTACAGTTATTCATGAATCACCATGTTTAATTTTATCTAGCAACTTTAAACTGGTTTACTCTCCAAAAAGTCCAGCCACAGAAGAGATCGTAAAGATATTCTCTGAAATGTTCAAAACTGTCGAAGGGCTAGAAGATTCGGAAGCACTAGAAACATTTTTTAAAAGCGAAGAAGTTTTCTCTGCCTTTGCAGCTATCCAATTCGACGACAGTTTTAAAAGTCGCACAGATGTTTCTAACATCAAAAATTTTGAGGTTTCTATAAGGTAAGGCAAACAACAATTGAAGGCAACAGAATGAAAATTCAATGAATTAATTTATTTTGTAAATGTTGTTTCTAAGAATAATAATAATAATAAGTTTATTTACAATACCACATAATACAAATAATATAAACAATTAAGATATAAGTAAATAAACTGGAAAGAATCACTGAAGCAGTTTGAGTAGTTTATTCGAAAAGTAAGGCGTTTTCGAATAATTACAAAGTTATAAACCAGTAGATAATTCATGGAGAAACCTTTCAATTTTTTTTACATTTCAGATAATTAGGTAAGAATTTCTATGTCAATGACTCTTTTTACTTTTGATTATCATACTGTATAAAAATTATATTAGAATTAAAAAAATCGAGATACAATTCTAAACGATGGTGATGGTAGAGTAAAATTTAGTTCCCCTAAAAAACGCAAAAGAATTTGTACAAAAATCAACATACCAGAATGAGAAAAAATGGATATTAGAAACATGATTTATAATTTTCACAAAATGGAAAAATGTCGAGTTACTCTGACAAGAAAATTCAAGTCAGAATACATTTTTTCGGGAAAACGTACCTCCCTGTACACGATTATTAAAAAACTTGGATTGGAAAAACAAACGACATGAACTCGCAAAATTATGAGAAGTGCCTTACAGAGAAGTTGGTTCCAAATCTCTCGATACTCTCTATTCGATACTGCGTAGAACATATCTAAAATTGCTGTATGTTATAATTAATATTTTTTTTCACAAAAACATTAGAAATCAAAAGCCAAATTTTAAGTTTAACAGGAAATCTTTTTGACAACTCTACACTGTAAAAAACTTAACCTGTAATTTTATGAAATGGAAAGAAAAAATTTAAATACATGAGTCTGTTTTGAGAAGAAACTGAAATACATACCTTCATAAAAATGTAAACGGCCTCTTATAATTGCCATTCCTATCTTCAAGGCAGACACATTAAAAAAATGTGCATACCAAAACCAAATTTGTACAGTTTTTGCCATAATTTAATAAAATGTCTTACTTTAACATGTTCAAGGATGTTTGTAACAAATGTATTTCGTTTAAGGTTTCCCAGTGATCTCAGAAGAACATATAATAATACAGATCTAGCTTCTGTAGAAAAAAATTGGAGAACAAATTTAGTTTTTCCCAATATTGAGCCACAAGGACCTCGATTGTTTGAAATCACTACTGGCGGTACTCCAAGTAAGAATCCGTTGTTATTAATAACCACATTATAGTTAATAAACCCAACAAATATCGGTAACATACTCGCAACAATTGCTAAATATCGTCCGCAAATATCCTTTGGTAATTTTATGTACAGGGTGTCCGGTATGTACCTAATAATTTCCACCAATTCTCCCTATAATCGTTTTATCTATTTTTGCTCCTACATGAGATATGAGGACCCAAAGTGCTACCTTAACGTTAAATTAACGTTTTGAATTGTAACTTTAAAACTAGCTTGTATATTCGAACACATAATTGTATAATTTAAATATTTTAAATTTTTGAAAACAATTTGTAAAATAAAATTTTGCGGTATGCCCTAAATTTAATTTTAATGTCAAAGTAAATTTAATACTACACAAAAAATTTTTTGTTTTAAATAATTATTGAAATGTTAATAAGAGGTGAGAGAATTTTAGACTATAGGAAAATTACATTTATCAAAGGTAATTATGCTTTTGAGGCCGTCGTAAATATCTTGATTTACCTCGCCGAGCTACCTCAGATTAAGTACAAAAGGGTGTTTGTACGGGGGCCAGAAGTCGAGATAATGAAGATTTTGAAAGTAAGAGCGCCTTTGATCGCGCAAATTCAGTTTTCGGAGCGGCCGAGTAGCGTTAACCCCACTCCGACGCCCGCTACAGTTGGCTCGCGTCGCGCTCGCGCTCGAATGATTGGGTTTGACGCACAATTAAAAATGCAGAAGTAGCTAAAATGAACCACAGTATTTTTTTATTGAAAATATAAGTCTTCAACTTCAATATCTGTAAGAATGGATGAATTTTTTGAAAAAAAAATTATCTGGGCTCCAGAAGGTCATAGAGCAACGTTTTTTTTAAATTCGCGTAAAAATTCCAGCAATCGATTCCTGTAATAGACATTATCGAGAAATGAAAATCGAAAAAGGTATTGAAGAAAAACGCGACCAAACATTCTTTACTCTTTTCAGTCATTTTTGGACACTTGAAATGAACAAAATCGTTATCACTCTTTTTTACAATGAAAGTACAACAGTTAAGGAAAAAAATGAGCGCTGATTCGTTTCTCTACGTCGGACAAGAAGAACCGATTTTCGAGATATTTGGCTTTGAAACTTCCAATGCTGTTGCATTAAATAACAATTAAGTACCTACAGGTATTATTAATTTAGCGGTAAAGTTTCTTAAGTAGAATTTGGACGAAAATCAAATAATTGTCATTTGTGTGCTAATTTCTTTTAAGTCTTATTCGTATCTTATTAAAATTACATCTTAGTTTACAAATTAAATTGTATACTCGTATACATAAATGTAAGATAGAATGCCGAGGTTTTCGTTTTTGGAGTTAAATGAAATCAGTTGTTTATGAAGAAACTATAAACACTTGAGAAGAACTTTAGTAGCAAGACAATCTTTTAATAAACGTGTTGATAAATGTATTGAAGTTAGAGGTGGATATATTAAGCAATTATTGTCAAAAAGGCATATTTTTTTACTAATGTTTACTATTTTACTGCTCATTACAATTTTTAATTCTAAATAAACCCTTGTTTTTGACATTTCTAAATTATTTAAATTATTTCAACTATTAGCATTGGAAGTTTCAAAGCCAAATATCTCGGAAACGGTGTGAGACAGCTACTTTCAGAAAGTCTACCTTTTTTGTGTAAAAATAGTTGGAAAATAAAAATTTGTAACCAAAGATGAGATACCTTAAAGCACAAAAAGTTATGTCGTTTTTAACACATTCAATCTACTGCAGCTAGCGCCCTCTATGAAGTTTAACCAAAATGTGAACAGATTTCAATTCCTCTACTCAACGAACTCCAATCCCCAAAATTTTGTGAGGATATTTGGATTTGTTAAGGAATAAATTAAAAAAAAAACTGAAATAATATTTTACATTTAACACTTTAACTATCAACTTTTGGACTAAGGTAAGTTCGGCTAAATCGCAATATTTTTACTTGGGGAATCTACCCATGAATTTTGGCCCATTACGTCGCGACCTCCCTGTATATGCTCTTTTATCCTAAATATATTCAAAATATGTATCTCGTAAATTTTTTTGTTCAAAATGAAGCCCTCTATCAACTGTTAAAGTTAATTCGTTAAAAAAAGGAACACTCTGTATAATGAAAGGTCGTTTAAAAAAAGACTAACACCCTATAATTTACAACTAAACGAATCATTTAATGAACTGAATATCTTTTATATCAGGAAGCTACACCCCGTAAAAAAAGTTTTTTTACTTGTTTCTTAGTTTGATATGTACCTACTGTAAATCTTTAAATTTTTCTTTCACATTTTTCAACATTCTGATTTACTTTCATCTGATATATATTTTCAGACTACCATGACGAGGGATTTTTGGCCATTCAGCACTTTCTTGCAATCGCCATAATATCCGCTAAGGAAAAAACTGATCCCAAAGAACTTTTGAGCAAAAATAAATTTCCGTTAATAAGCATGAGGCGGTATCCGCATCCAGATTTTGTAGAGGATAATATAGGATTTTATTTATCAAACGTTATAGCCTTCATATTGGTGCTGTGTTTTGTGCAACCCTTTACTAATATAATTAAATCAATTACCCTCGAAAAAGAAAAACAACTTAAAGTAAGTAAGTAAATAAGTTACATTATACAATACGCGCCTAAAGTATGGAATAAATTCAGTAAAATCGAAACAATTTTTTTTGGGAAAAATCCTCGAACAGGTCGATTTTTAATTTAAAAAATACATATTTTAGTATAAAAGGCGATTTTCAACCGTCATTTGTTTTCCAGTAATGACGTCATCAAATTTTTTTTTAAATAGCAACCCCCTATTTTTTTTTTGATTCTGAAAGATCGTTTCATTGTCGATCCGACAGTATTAAAATGTTGCCATCTTACATAGGAAAGTTTTCGAGTAAATGACGATTGAATGTTAGAAAAGGTAAATTTTATTCATTAAAAAAATAACAATAAAATCTCGAACAGGGCGCGCATAGTGCGGAGGTGCACCGTCTTGCTGAAACCATATGGTGTCATCAGGAATATCAGGGTCATTGTCGTAAGGAAAAATTACTGCAAGCTCTGGAACAAGGTCATTTTGTAAAAACTCTAAATATCTTTTTCCTGTAACGGTTGCTTCAATGAAGAAAGGCCCTACTATTCTGTTGTCAACTATTCCAGTCCACACATTTGATTTCTGCGGGTGTTGGGTATGTGTCTCTGTCATCCAATGAGGGTTTTCCCGACTCTAATACCTGCAAGTTTGACGGTTCACTGTACCATTGAGACAAAACGTGGCCTCGTCTGAAAAAACTATTTGCCGGTGTAAATCTCTATTTACTTGACATAAATCCATCATAATTTCACAAAAGTGTAAGCGGCGGGCGGGATCGTCTTCATTGAGTTCCTGCACAAGTTGAATTTTCTAGGGATGATATTTTTCCTTCCTAAGGATACCTAGCACTGTGGTCTGACTAATTTCATTGTTTAATGCAACCAATTCGTATTATGAGGATTATCTACCATACTTATCAAAATGTTCTGTGATCTTCACTAACGCTTGGACGTCCAGGTTTTGGAATATCTACAACATTGCCAGTTTATCTAAATTTAGATTATATCTTACTGACTGTTGATTGGCTTATACGGCGATCTGGATGTTTTTCATTAAATAAATCGCAAACTTCCTGCTGCGTTCTAGGCTTATCCCCGCATCCGATAAGAATTAAAATTTCAATTCTTTGTGTGATAGTTAAATATGCCATAATACTTTAAATTCAACAATAATTTTTATATCGCTTACAATACTTAGAAAGTGACACTTCGTAAAGATTTACACCTACATGATCCATAAAAAACTTCAGGCATTTCGAAAAACTAAATTTGATAACGTTTTTGCTTTATTTTAATTGATTTGGGTTTTCTAACATTCAATCGTCATTTACTCGAAAACTTTCCTATGTAGGGGGTTGCTATTTAAAAAAAATGTCGATGACGTTATTACTCGAAAACAAATGATGGTTGAAAATCGCCTTTTATGCTAAAATATGTATTTTTTAAATTAAAAATCGACTTGTTCGAGGATTTTTCCCCAAAAAAATTTGTTTCATTTTTACTAAATTTAATCCATACTTTAGACGCGTACTATATTATAATATTACTAGAAGTAATGATAATGATAATGACAAGGACATCGTCAATGACAACGATAACGATAATGATAATGATAATAAGCAATTAATATCAACTGATAATATCAACTATATTTAGATGTATCAATTTTAGTTTTTTTTTTGTATAATTATCCCATCGAGTAATTGTTTCCCACAATATCAGTAGTTAGAATTCTTATCTTGTGGATTAGGTATCTTTTTTCATACCTACATTCTTGGTACTGAAGAACATTATTTGACTTCATTTGATAAGATTATTAGAAGAACAAATATTTTAATTTGTTTGAATTAGTTTAGAATAAAGTAAAAGTTGCGAGAGCGAATATTAGAATATTATGTATGTTTCAAAATACAGGGTGTTTCGCATAAGGGATGATGCACCATTAAAATATGACAGAATTTTTTAACCCATTGGCGGACTTAAAAATAGTATTACTTAATTTTATGGAGGATTTAACACTAAAACTTTTCTTACTCTTGTTAGTTTTCAAAAAAACTGCCGTTTTCGACAAAAACACATATAACTAATAATACATATTGTGGCTGTATTATTTAAAATCATCGAAAATTCAAAAGTATCACTGAGACATTGATTTTTTTTTTAAATTTGAAACCCCACTTTTAAAACCTATAACTTCTCAGGGGTGCATCTTAGTATAAAGGTAAGTTGCGTTAAATCACCATATTTTGGGTTCCCTTATATGCGCCTGCTCTGTGTCGGTTCTCATGCGATATTCTTATCCTCTTGTGATGTTATTACTGAAAATGTGTTTCATTTAAAACTACCATTATGATTAATAAGTGTTTGTATTAATTGAACGTTAATATTTTCTAGGAATCAATGAAAATAATGGGCCTACCCAATTGGCTACATTGGGCTGCTTGGTATGTAAAATGTTTCATATGTCTTCTCTTGATAGCGATATTAGTGATATTAATACTGACAAGAAGGTGGTTCTCTGATACCTCAATTTTCCAGAACTCAAATATAATTCTATTACTATTATTGTACATATTTTTTCTTTCCTCATGTATAACATTATGTTTCGCCATCAGCGTCATATTTAGTAAAGGTAAGATATGAATTCAAAAACAAAATTCTATTCTAAGGTGTCTTTTCTTTCTAGCTAACACTGCTACAGTCGTAGGTGAACTAATTTTGCTAGCTTCCTTCGTACCCTACATAATAATTACTATGACAAAATCTAAACACCTACCTTTACTACCTAAACTGTTAATCAGTTTATTTCCCCTAAGTGCATTTGGTTTTGCAATAGATATTGTACTATTTTACGCAAGAATTGGAGGAGGTAAGTCAGGCTTAAACATATAGTTTATGAAAACAAAATTGTGGTTTGTATCTTGATCTAAATATCGGTTTATTTCCCCAAGACTGTCGGCTAAATAAAATATGGAGGTCATTTTACTCGGTCTTATTGTGAATAGTTGGTTTTAATTAAAAAAGAACTTTTTGTATCTTTTAGAACATCGTTCTAGTCAAACAAATCAAGTAATCTGCATCGTTACTAAAGCATGAAATAGTATTTGGAGTTTTTGTTAATAGTCCTAAGTCCACAGTTTTCAAGAAAACTAACACCTGTAAGGAAAAAATTATTACAATTGTTAATACTGAAATTTAATAAATGAAAAAGTGAGTGGCCAATAAATCATTCTTATTCCATAAATTGGTTTTCTAATTTTGTAAGACTACTGTAAGAAGCTTTATAACATTAAATTTAATGGGAAGTCCGAAAATATTAGCTCTAACTGTTCTTGCTTTCAAAATGATGAAAATGATGAATCGAAAATATGATTAAAAAAATACATTATCAGAATTTTAGTGTTAATTCAAAAGTTAATTAATATGTGATAAAAGTAACAAATTTTATCATTGGTTTTTATAATTTGTGTTACATAAAAGAGTAGAAAAAATATAGACATAATTTTTCATACATCTCAGTAATGCTTTTGAAAGCAAATCGAATATAATCCGAAATTTTCGTCGATATAAAAATGTGGAAAAAAAATCGGAAATTATTGTACAAATTAAGGGGCGATAGAATATCAAAGAATAATACTACATTTTCTATGGATCAACAGTCTATCGCCTTTTATCTCTAAGATAAGGGCCTCAAATGATTTTGTTTAATTTTTAATTAATTTTAATGATGATATATGATATTGAATTTTAATAAAGATAAGTCAGTTAATGATATTAGATTATGACCATTAGCTACACAATTAGAAATATTTTTTTATTTCCACAAACTCTTGAAATCTATGAAACATTATGGCCACTTTTTACAGAGACTTTCGCCATGAACTAAAATATTTGTTTCAAATTTACAATTCCGTGAAATCATCATAATTTTCTTCCCATTTTACCCCGTAATGAATTTTATGCTGAACGAACAGAGCCCTTTTAAGGTTTTCATAAGGACAAAAAATTGAATAACGTGCCAAAAGAATGGAAAATTGTAAAGGTAATGATGATTTCTCGGGGACAAACATTTAACTCTACAGTGAAATTCTTGCGAAAGTTATTGAAACAGTTTCCGAAATACATGCTGTTCAAATTTCACCACGAAAAAATATTTTCTGGCAGTAGAATTAAGTAAAAGTCAAAAGTGTTCCATAACGGCAAATTCGGTGAAAGCACTGTTACATAGAGATGGTTTCAGGTATTCATTGGGCGACAGTATTTCCGCCGTACAGACCATCTGAATCGTTATCACTGGGACTGATAATGATAATGTTCACTGTTGATACAGTCATTTATATGTTTATTGCCATATATGTGGAGGCAGTTTTTCCTGGGGAGTACGGGGTGCCCAAGCCATGGTATTTCTTGTGTACGTGTAGTTATTGGCACCTTCACAAACGTAAGTATATACATATTACGACCTTTACCGACACACAGCAGATTCAACGCCGCCATCAGCTGGAAGTTGATTAAAACAATAGAAAATCGTTTCACCAACAAGGAACATTGAATTTATAACCGCCCAAAACATAACCTATTCAAATTGATGTCTCAACTTTTAAAATCACACTATATATAACTTCATCTTGTAGGTAGTAAAAATTTAAGAAAATGTTTAAAAATGATTTGGTTTTTTAAATACATTATTTAAAGTATATTAAATGTGACCTAGTTGTCTTATTTCACATAATTTAAATTAAAATTGATTTTGAAGATAATGGTGAGTTCATCTCATCCGAAAAATTTAATATTTTAAAGAACCGACTTCAAGTGATAATAACTTTTTAGAGGATTCAGATGTGAGCTTAGTTGGAAACCGTGCCAACACCGGAGAATTTTTCGAATCTGAACCACAAAACTTGGCAGTCGGAATACAAATCAGAAACCTCAGAAAGGTGTTTCGTAAGAAGGCAGCCGTTGAAGATTTATTTTTAAATATGTACGAGAATCAAATAACAGTCTTGCTGGGACACAACGGTGCTGGCAAAACGACCACCATGTCTATGTTAAGCGGCATGATAACGCCCACTAGCGGCACTGCAAAAGTCAATGGGTTCGATATCCGAACAGAAATAGATGGCGTAAGACAAAGTCTGGGTCTTTGTCCACAGCACAACGTTGTCTTTGACGAATTGACTGTAGAGGAACATTTGTACTTCTTTAGTAAACTGAAGGGCCTTAGTAAAGATGAAATTAAAGCGGAAATCAACAAGTACATTAGTCGATTGGAGTTGGAACCTAAGGTAACAGATTTGTTTAGAACGACACATCAACTTTAAAAGTGAGATTTCACGTTTTAGAGAAAAGCCCGAGTTTCATCTCTGTCAGGTGGGATGAAGCGCAAGTTGTGCATCGGAGTAGCACTTTGTGGCAACTCAAAGGTATTGATGTTGGACGAACCCACGGCTGGTATGGATCCTTCAGCTAGGAGAGTTGTGTGGAATCTATTGTTGAGTGAAAAAGAGGGTAAGTTTTTCGTTCATATGCATACTTGCATAAGGCAAAGCGAGAAAAAATAAATTAATGGTTATAAATTTACTTCTCACATAGTCAAATTGACAAGGACTGATAGTATTTCTCACATGGTTATACAAACAGTTTCAAAAGCTTTTGTCAAATTTTATATTGTAAATGTCATATGTGTCTCGATTTTTGAATATCGGACGTACTCGTATACGTGATATCCTTCTACAAGTATTTGAAATAATACAATCTAGATTCAATCTAAATTAAAAACACTTATTAAGCCGGTTTGTGATTCTAGTATCGATATTGATTCTAGCTCTCAATTCTTTAATCTCATCATCTTCCTTGAAACTGGGATGATATTTATTGACAATGTTTTTTGACTACATCTTTTTAAATTATTTGTATTGATTTTAACGTTATTGATTAACACATGTTTAATAACAAATATAGATCTCCAATATTCTAGACTGGAGTTTTAACTGTTGGCAACTTTAAATCTCTTTCATTTAACAAAGTGCTGTTAAGTTTTCCAAGGGAGGTCCCCTTATTGATGTCTATAATATTTCTTAGGCAACTATTGCACACAATAAAAACGGGACGAGTACCAAAGAATTTCTAGTCTTTAGAATGGGAAAGTTTATCAAAGATATATAAAAATTTTAATATTAGAATTCTCAAAATTAGTGCTCGCGTAACATGGTAAGTGGGACCAGAGCATATTCTACCCCTTGTCAACAATTAAGAGACTACATACAAAACACACATACTAGCTAATAAAGGACCAGCAATATAACAATTTCGTTGTTTTCATGCTATTTGGGCGAGTTGTACAACAACCATAATATACTTTCATGAGCACGTGATTTTATGCTATAATTTCATTATTAAATTACATTTTTACGTTGTAATATGTAGGATCTAGTAAAAAAAACCTGTTTATTTTAGGACGCACAATGTTACTGACCACTCATTTTATGGACGAGGCAGATCTCTTGGGTGATAGGATAGCCATTATGGCGGCAGGAAAATTACAATGTTGCGGATCCAGTTTTTTCCTGAAAAAGAAATTTGGAGCGGGCTACAGCCTCATCATAGACAAATCTCGGGATTGCGATCCAGCCCAAGTTACAGCATTGTTGGGGAAATATGTACCGAACATAGAGGTATTCTTTATTTATTGATTTGTTGCCTTCAGAACAAAACTAAAAATGTAGATAACTAAATTTGTATACGTAGTACCTTCTACAAGTCTCAAAATATCCCCTTCTTTGTCCAGAATTTTGAAAGCCTCTTGTGCTCCTTCTTCTCCCTTTCGTAGATGGTACATATTTAGTTGTTTTCTTGTAGGTTCGAAGCAACGCAGGTTCCGAACTATCATATATTTTAGAGCAAGACTACAGTTCCAAATTCGAATCCATGCTAAAAGATTTGGAAAATAATTCAAAAAGATTGGGAATCCTGGGTTATGGTATATCCTTGACTACAATGGAGGACGTATTCATGAAGTGAGTATTTCGAAGACGATAATTATATAGAGTTTTCAATTCAGGATACTTGTAAGGAGAGTACAAATTAACTTTATCATTCTTCATGAATAAATTATATCCATTGTATCAGAAAATTAATATTTCTTCTTTATAAATGGAACATATTTTCGAAAATAATGTTACAAGGAGTGAATTCAATAATAGTTGATATTTTAGGGTTGGAAAGGAAGCAGTAATAAGATCAGACAGTAGTAGACAGAATCTGAACAAAGATCGAAGATGTAAGCAAATTTTTTTATCTCAATTTCTCTCTTTCAAAGGTTTTAATCTTTCAGCTATTATTACCTATTAATAACGTATTAAACAATCTAGCTTTAATAGTAATAAAGAGTTTTCTTCCTGTTTGTGCATTTTGCTTGTTGTGAGAAAATTTAAAAATTAATCAAATAATCAGTTACACCAAAAATAGGTTTTATAGACTAAAAGGAGTTCATTCAAAGATTTGGCTTTATAACACCATTTTTTTCTCCGTTTTCAATACCGTAAGTGATTTTTTTTATAGGTTTGGCAGTTTAAGACTGGTTTATATCACATCCTAATAAATTTATTTGCTGTTGTATAAAAACAGTTTTTGATAGAAATTGGCGGCAGAAACGGGATTTTGAGGATTATTAGTTTTAGAGGATACAAACAAACTTAGTGAAGACTTTCAGACCGTTCTTAACATCTCTCCATCCGTACACAAACGGCATCGTGAAGAGATTTAGTTCGACCCTGAAGAATCACCGTTAACGAACATCAAACTCTTTTTATATAGACCTGTCTACCAGCAGTCTATGAAACTACTGGAGGAACACCAATTAGCATAGTCTTCAGCAGAGAGTTGAGACTACAGTTTGACGTTATTTTTGGCGACCCCGAAAATCGGGCTCTCGTACTGGAAGACTACCCATTCGTATAACACGTAGATCACACTACTACTACCATCATTGACACATTCAAATAAGGAGGCACATTCATTTTTACACTAACCCATGTGGGAATTCCACGAAATGAAAAAGCAGACAGCAGCAAACAAAAACGAAACAGATCTTGGAATTCTAATCTGAGACAAAGATGTGAATGCTGAAATCAGAAGTGGCAAAATATGTGTAGCGATGGAGGAACTACTTACCTTAAGATCCATCCCAATGTTACAAAAATGGCAATCTCCATTAAAATTAACTAGAAGAGAACAACCAGTTAATCAACGCTGAAGAGTAGGACATACTCACCTGATATCAGTACATCTCCTAAGAGGTCAAAGGACTTCTTCACTATGCTCAAACTGTGAAGCAGAATTCACAGATACCTACTAATTTTTTCTCTTAAATCAATTTAGATCAGAATATTGACACCATTGCGCAGAAAGGAGTCATTCATACATGCAATATAACACGATCTTTTTTAAACCAACAATTAACTTCTGATGGACTTGGTTTTGGCCCATCCATCGGAGGGATACTCTCCTGAAGCCTGAGGAAAAAAATAATTTTTGTATTATTGATGTTACTAAGACTATAAAAGAACCCTTTAGTACTATAATCAACACATTTCCTTAACCATTGTATGTCATTGATAAATATTACTATCTCGGACCCGAATCTACGGAATTGAACAAATTCAAATATGACGAAAATAAAAAATATAAATCTATACACGAAAAACGGTACGAGATAGGACTGCCGTTTGTTAAAAAAGATTTCAATATTTACTGGAAGTATATTATTTTTCTATTTCAGTGATCACTCAAACGCGTCCTCATTTTACTGGCGGTTTTAACCTCGTGGGCAACCAGTTCCAAGCCATGTTCATGAAGAGGTACCTGACCACATGTCGGTCTTGGCGCCTGCTCCTGACCCAGATAATCATTGCAATTGTATTCATATTACCTGCCATGTACATTGGAAAAGAAGACGCTGGATCATTATCACCAGCTCATTTGGATTTAAGAGCATTTAGGAATCCGGTAGTATTGGTGGAAGATTTATCAAATTCCATATATCTAGAAACGTATTTGGATTATTTGAAGAGCAACAGTTATAGCTATAAGAATACAAAAAAAATATCGAAAAAAGTTTTGGATCTGGTAAGTTTTATAATAAAAGTGTAGTATAGTGAATGTACTGTATTGGAACATAGAACATCAACAAAAATTTTCAACAAAAATGATGTACTGATCTTCGCCATCCGAATTTTCTAAAAATTTGCAACATAGCATATAGCATAGCATCATTTTCATTTCAGAAATATTAAATTGGCACATTACTAGATAACCAACTCCATTAAAGACTTCATTGAAGGAAATCTAAAAAATCTAAGAAAAAAAAAACAAATAAAAATAATTGTTATAAGAATTGTATAACAATAGTAGTTGTATTTAATTTTAAGAAGTGAAAGTGAAGGTGCGAAAGACCCATACTCAAAAAACTTGTACGTAATCAAACCAGTCAAAATTTTGTATTGTTACCCAATTCAGAACAATCTGTATCGGGTCACAAAATTCACGCAAGATTTGAATTTTCCTGTTCTGAAAAAGGACAGCTTGACAGCTGTTATTAAAAGTGGAGCTCTACACGAAAATCCTGTTTTCATTGTTCGGCATCAATTCGGTGCCGTGGTCAAGAATTGCACATTTCGAGAAGCTCTACAGCGTATTTTCCCGAAAGATTTTCATCTTCATGCTTACAAAGTTCAATTGACTCGAGAACTGAAGCCTACTAATCACACACAGCAAAGAGAGTTCGTTGAATAGATTATGGAACAACAAGTGGATACCTAGTTATTTGTTCTAACAAAATCATTTTCAGCGATGTGGCTCATCTTGATAGCTTCGTTAATAGACAAAATTGTCGTATTTGGGGTTCAGGAAATACACGAGTGATTTATTGAGAAACAAATGCATCCACAACGTGTCACTGTTTGATGCGGATTTTGAGCTGGAGGCATTATCTGACCATTCTCTAAAAATGCGGCTGGTCAAGTGATAACAGTAAATGGTGCTCGCTATCGCGACATAATTCAGTTTTTTGCAAGATATGGATCTAGACGATATGTGGTTTCAATAAGACAGTGCTACATGCCCTACTACCCGACGAACAATTCCATTACTGCAGGAGTCATTTTCTGGTCGTGTAATTTCCCGTTTCGGTGATCAGAATTGGCCACCCAGATCATGCAATTTAACGCCCTTTGACTTTTTTCTTTGGATTTCTTGAAGTCTAAGGTTTATGCCAACAAGTCCACTACCAAAAATTCAGCCGCATTTATGCAAATCAGTCAAGGGAAATTTCGTCAAAAGAGTGCGTATGTGCCAGCAAGGCCGTATAGGCCATTTACCTGATATTATATTCCATATCTGTATACGTTATGAACCAATAAAAAAATTACAATTTTTAATTAAAAACCTTTATGTTTTCTATCAAAATTTATTGCTTGAATAATGGGACACCCTTTAGTTGCAAGCAAATATTTCATAACTAGTACATTTGTTATAGTTGTTTTACATTGACAATTTATTCATGAATAAATTGATGAAGTTCTTCATGAATTAATTCACGAACTTATGGGTAATCAGTGTGGTTTTACACTGCTACAGACTTTAAGTTTTTTGACGTATGAATCAGTTCTAACAATGAGTCAAAGAAGCAAACAAATTTCAAAAATGTCACCTTTCCACTCATAATTGTAGTGATACAACAGCGGTACCGTTCTGACATATATTATATAAATATTATTTTTTGTAAGTAAGAAATCAGTAAAAACAATGCGAAACTAGCACGACGCCACACAATTATTTACATATTCCAATAACATAACCTTATTACTGATTTGAGACTAGAAATCTGTTGGGTTGGTACTTCCGAACTTCACGAAGAAATTGACGAAAATTAGAACATGCTCTAATTCATCAAGAACTTGATGAATAAATTCATGAAGTTATTTGACAGCAGATTTGGTGCATTACACTTGTCCAATTTCTTGATGAAGCGACTTTATGAATTAATTGATCAATAAATTGTCAATGTAAAACAGCTTTAACAATTGTAGTGTTTGTGTTATAAGTATCTATAAAGCAACCTCTAAAATCAGTTTTGTTTTTTACAAGGGTCTTAGTATATTTATAATATGCTTAAATTATATCCAGAAATTTCACACCAAAGGTACAAATAGATTTAAAAATCAAACCTGAAATTATAAAGTTGAATCGTTGAAATCAAAATGTAAAGAAAGCATTGAGCATGCTGATTTGTTACTGCTGTCATGTTGATTGTAATTGTTTAGTCAATGTGAACCTTTGTGTAATGTTTTACAATGTCTCCTTTCGCTAAAGAACATCAGTTAGTAATTCGAAAAGTAGTTAAAAATTGAATACACAAAAATACCAAAAAGTTTAAAACAAAGCGTATGGAAAATGTTCATCCAGTTTAAGTTAACAAATTATCAGCTGAATGTCTTGGAAACAACGGAATTTTTTGATAAAAATCATTCTTTAAATTCTAATTTTTTACAACCCGTATTTCAAAAAACAAATGAAAAGTGGCGTAAGGAAAATCCTATTAATTTCGCCGGAACAATATGTGGTTAATGGTTGGACCTACATTTTTGGTAACTCTTTTCCACGTAAAAAGTTGAAAATATTTCTAATGTCAATATCATATATGGTACAACATATAAAACTTTTTAGATCAAGGATTACCCTTTTGAAGTTCGGGCAAACTACATTGTGGCAGCTACTTTTGACAAGGAAGGAAATAAAGACCACATAACTGCTTGGTTCAATGATGCCTATCATTCTGCTGCCATCTCATTGGCACTTGTGTTAAACGCTGCATTCAAGAAAGCATTGGATTGTAAAGATTGTTCAATACAGTTCATAAATCATCCGATACCTTACGACCTCCATAAAAAAGTAAGACTTACATAATAAAGCCAATACTTTTATAATTATAATATTTTATAACCCCAGGAATGACCTATAGTCTGTTTAGAAATGAAAGAGAGTAATAAAAGCTCATTATGTATGCAAATCTTAAATAAATGTAGTACTGGTGCTTATATTCAATATTTTTATATTATGTATTATCGGTATAGATGAGGTGTACTTTTAAAAAAAGCTTTTTGTGACCGGGTTGTACTAAATTGTAGCAGGTAGCTAAAATTTAATCCCCGACAATCCGCTTCAATTTCTCGGTCCATTTCTCTTATAAGTAAACAATTTAAAAACAGCATTTCAAAACATGAGGCTACTTTAAGCATCATAACCGGGTTAAGAGGGTTTTTAGTAATTCAAATAAAATTATTCAATATTATTATCAAAATATTTATTTAAATTTAATGAATAGACTTTTATTCCACACAAAAATATATGTATTTTGAAAATTCAAATTATGGTGAGTAAATGTAGTGTTGTATAAATGTACAATAAAGAAAATAAAAAAGTAGGTATATTAAAATTCATCCTCTGAATATTCTGATGAATTATCTTCGTCTCCTAGATTGATAACGATAGGTTCCACAGTAACCTCAATTAAATTATCGAGTTCCCACATTTTCTCCTCTTCTTTTTGTACATGATGTATACACCTTGCCAGTTATCTGCAGTTACTCGTTCCAAGGAATTTTTTAACAAAATTTTCACGTCACTTAATTTAAACGTCGTGTTATTTCGCGCTACATCTCCTTTTACCTGCGCCCAGACTAATTCGATTGGGTTAAGTTCACAGTGATAAGGTGGTAACCGTAGTACCGTTATTTGGCGATTTGTTGCTATTTCATCGATAACATATTTTTTCTGATCTTTATTAAGATTGACAAGTGTCAAAAGTTCCTTTTTCACCATATTTGTTTCAAAAGAAATGTTTTTTCCGGATAACCAATGAATTATATCGGCTTTCCTCCAAGCAGTCGTAAGCGTCCGCTCGGTCTGCCGTGAATGGTAACTGGCATTAGCGATGACAATTACAGACCCCGGAGGAATAAGATCCAACATCTGTGTAAAATACTCTTCGAAATCATCTGCGTTCATGTCTTCGTGATAGTCACCTGTATTTTTAGATTCAAATAAAACTAAACCGCCATCTACAAAACCACTGGCACTACCTATATGGGTCACTATTAATCTTCGCCCTTTACCTGAAGGTGCCTTGAACCCTGTTGAAAGTCCATCCAAAATTGCTTGTCGAAAACTTTTTACATTTTTACCTTGCCATACTTTTATTACAGTATATCTATCCCTCGTTGACCCAAGTTTCGTCTAGATAATAAATATTCCTCCCTTCGTCACGGAATTTTCTAATTGATCTTAAGTAGGATCTTCGCCAACAAATAATTTCATCTTTATCGATAAGAACTGACCTCCTGTTCTGCTTTTCCCAGCAAAAATTCAACTCTCGTAAGACGGCCCATAATTTGCTTTACTGATTTTTGGCAAATCGTTGTCCTCTGAAAGTTCACTTAAAATTTTGTTTAGTGTTGGTATTTCTTTTTTAAAATAATTTTACTCTACTGCACTAGCACGTCTTCGTATATTCAGCTCTAAGACTGGATTGATCTGTCACAATACACTGGCTCCTGCCCTATGATGTATCCAGTAAAATATACTAATGTACATCCATTACCTGTTAGCATTAGTGTTACCTGATAATTACCTGAAACGAAATATTAGCACGCCCATGGCCGGTTCTTATCTCGGGGTTTTATTACTCTCTTTCATTTCCAAACAGAGTATAAGTGTTTAACGAGACTAATTTTTATAAACAATTGACTAAAATGTTGGTATGTCTAGATATTTACTAAAGAATCAGTTACTATGGGAACTTTATACTAGATGTTGGAAAGGGCATAGCAATGGGCTCATTCAACAATTTTTTTTTCCTTGCTTAACGGAAAGATATTGCAATTTTAAGGTTATCTGCAAAAAATTTGAATTTTATATCGCCTACAAGTCATCCAAAAAAGATCATAAACTGGCACTGAGTATCCGCTGAATCGGCGGGTGTGACGTCACCGCATAGGAAACCGATGCCGCATGCTTGCGTGTGTTGTCAGTCAGTCGGGTAGTCGGGTTTTAGTTGCCTGTTAAGTTTAGATTGAGTACATTAAGATACCGAATTTTGTTAGCAATATGGAAGAGCACAAATGTGAAGACATCGAATAAAATAATAATAATTAATAGTCTATTAGTCTCTACTTTGATTTGTTTTCTTTTTAATAACTTTTATTTGAAAAATGATTTATTATTGATTTTTTTGTGAATATTATACAAATACCTATAGGTACCAGGTATTTATATAAAAATACATAATAAATATTAAATATATTATTAATATATTAATAAGATATTAGGTAGATTTTATGTATTTTCCATGGGAATAAAAATAGTAATAAGAGTTTTGCATTTGAAATCTATGAAACCTGTGACAAAAACGGTTTCGTCCAATTAAACGCAAAATCCTCATTCTTATTGTACAAAAACATCAAAACTTTCGCTACAAACGTACTTTATAGAAGTTTTACACGTTATTGAAACGTACCTTTGAATTTTCATTCCTTTCATCTCAGCACTGATAAAGTCATGGTTTTTATTTAGAAAATCAACAACCATTAACAAATCTATTTTCGGCAAATTAAAAGAATCTGCTTTTACGAAATTTGTTTCATTTTTTAAATTTAACGCCAAAACATTCCAATCGAGATCGAAATAATATATCGATATTATTTCGATCGGTACTCTTGAAAATTTTACTATCGAAATAATATCGAAACCCCGCCCATTCGAATTGATATATAATATCGAGGAGTCTTGGCTAGCCGAAATTATTTGCTTTCTTCTTCTATCACATGTATTGACTATTGCTGTGTGTTTTCAACATTACAAATATGCACGTGTTTGCATTAAATAGTGCTTAAAAAAACATGAATTAATAAAAATAGCCTCTCGATCCGATTTTTTTCTTAAAAACGGTATTCTGCTATTCTATTTATAGCCCAGTCATTATAGACATGAAAGAGCCTGTTTCGGGAAAAAATACTATTAGAAGTTTCTCTGCGGAATATTGTTCGGAAACCTGTTATAAATAAAATATCAAAAAATCAACTCGAGGCTAATTGGGAAACTTTGTTTTAACAGTGGTCAAAGTTATGGAAAAGTGTTTTTTTGACTCACGTAAAAAAACTATTATTCATAGCGGGAAAAAGTTTATACAAAAAAGTTAGGTATTAAATAAGCCTATAAAACGAAAAAAGTCCGATTAAATTCTGATAACTTGTTTATGCACAAAAACTCAAAAATGGTCGAAAATTGACATTTTTTTCAATTGCTAATAATTAATGCAATTTTCATCGCAGAAACTTGTAATTCAGGATTTTTGAGTCTTTTTACACCCTTAATAAGTGATAAAAATTTCAGCCCAAAAGCTTCATTAGCTTGGCGTTGGCGGAATTTATTATCTAAGAAGATGCTATTTTCAATTCATTTTTCCCAAGCTCACAGGCGTTGTAGAGTTTCGATCATTAGTTGTTTTTGTACCTAAATAGTTGTATTGACATATGCATTTACTGAGAATTTAGTTTTTCAAATTTAATTTTTTTAAAAATGACTGAAAAAATGTTAATATAACCTTTTTTTCTCTATGAATAACAGTTTTTTACGCGAGTCAAAAAAACACTTTTCCATAATTTTGACCATTGTTTTAACACAGTTTCCCAACTAGTCTCGAGTTGATTTTTTGATATTTTGTTTATAACACGTTTCTGAACAATATTCCGCAGAGAAACTTCTAATAGTATTTTTTTCCGGAAAAAAAGCTATAATGACTGGCCTATTAATATTTTGTAAAAAAACTTGGGCTTGTTGTAAAGTAGAAGACTTCCGTTATACACTGAATTTTTTCTGAACCGATTCGACCAAGAAATGGCCAAGTAAACATTCGTTAAAGGCAGCGAGATTTTCGACTTTATAATTTTGCAATAGGCTGCCATTTTGAAATTGGGGGTCCGGATTGCGGGTATTTGTTGAGTACCCCAACAGTTAACTTCTTCTGTAGTTTCATACAATTTCAGCCAAATTCGTTCTTTTTATTTAATGCAGAAAATTTTGCACATTTTTTTTTCACCACTAATTTTGCAATGTAAAAAAAATTTTGCGAGCTTTCGTAAAAGCCTGTACTTGTCGAAAATTAAAAAAGAGCGATTTTTTTTTTCTTTTGTTATAAACAATATAATGCTCGACCTCTACAAATACACAAATTTAGGTTTTTAATCTGTGTATTTTCTACTTAATTTTAAGCCCATAAAATTCGACGTAGGCCCGATTTTTTAAACAGGTATATGTTTGATCTAATTCCCCGGATAATATTAGTTATAAATGATTTTATTTACAATAAGTCGTAAATATGTTAAGCAATGGAATTAATAAGGAACAAATATATATATTTTCAGGTGCTTCATCTCACTGGTGCATATAACACAAGGGTATTATTAATCATTATAGCAGCTTCCCTGGTATTCATATCTGCGATTTATGTAATTTTTATAATAAGAGAAAGGATGTCCAAGTTCAAACATCAACAGATGATTTCTGGAGCAAATGTGCTGGTATTCTGGTCAGCAACATTAATATGGGATTTCTTAACATTCACTTTGATTTGTTTAGTTATTTTGGTTACCGTTGCCTGTTTGCAAATTGAAGGACTGAAAACCCCTTCACAGTTAGGTATAAAAAAATTAATTCAACATTAAATAAACACCTAATGACGGCGACGAATTGTAACCACTAGAAGGAGCTTTGGATGTATTTGTTTGCGAATATACATAAACAAATCAGATATTCAGGAGATACAAATTTCTATTGGTCGAATTAATATTCCCGCCTACGTCCGCATTTCGATGATTGTCCATGACATCTGTCAAAGGAAAAGTGCGTAGCCGCTATTAACGTATTTGAGTTTATTTGTGTTTACTGTGGCATTTTCGTCTTATTGCTGTGTAGTTTTTATGTATGGACATTTATTTAGTGCTAAGACATGGTTAGAAAGTGTGTAATTTGTAAAGTTTTATTTAAAAAATGAGAGCAGCGGACTTTTCACAGGTAAGTAAACAAGCAACATGGGCGGCGTTTGAGGAATTACATAAGGGTGTTTTACATTTAGTACTTAATTATCAGTGTTAAAATACTGACTAAATCATTATCTAAATTATTAAAAAGATATATTTTTTAATTGTTCAACTTATTTTTTCCTGTTTCAGTAATATTATAAGTATGTTATGTGTAATACCTGTATTTTTTAGATTTCCTAAGAATTTGGAACGGAGAAACTTGTGGAAGCTCTCCCTAGGTGATGTCAATATTGTCGACAACATTTTTGTTTGTTCTGATCATTTTGTGATTAATGATTTTCTGACAAAGCCATCAGGTATAAAGTACTTGCTAGAGACAGCTATTCCAATAATAGGTTCTACTTATAGCAGGTAAAATAACTTTTATATTGATTAAAATATACAAGTAAAAAGCCTTTACCTAGTACCTCTTTACCTTTTTATTTAATTTTTATAGATCAAACAGTTCTAATAAGGAAAATATTTATCAATGATGTTCCTACTGGACAGTCACTGCACTTGCCGCAACAAAAACCAGAAAATATATCCACATGTTCATCGTCATCGACATTGAGTGCTCAATCAGGCTTGTTATTTACTACAAATAAGGCTGCAGATCTTTCTGAAATATATTTTTAATTTGATGACACATCACGAAAACATAGATCAACATTAACTGCATCAGAAATAGGAATGGATTCACCCAATCGTAATAAAATTATAAACGTGAAGTAAGTTATAAAAATATAATTAACAAATTATATATCCTTTGTATAGTATCTACAACTAATAATAATAATAATAATAATAATAATAATAATAATAATATCTCTACTCCTCATTCTAACTACGAGAATTAGCTCAGAAGTCGGAGACTTGTGCGGGAGAAGAGGCGGCATATTATTATTAGGCAGGCCGCATTTGCGCCCAGGAACGACTTATGTTGGTAGGCCCTAACCACCATTCAGTGCAGGAATGAGGGAAACCTGGTAATCATCATTTTTTGGGGGGGTGGTCAAATGCCAACAGGTGTCAATCTCTCACATTGACCCAAGCCAACATTTTTCCACCCTACTATATCTGCACAGAGGGTGGCAATGCTCCGTACAAGCATAGCTAATCTACGGTCTACCGGCCGCGGGATTAGAAACCCGGGCAGATCGACACATCGATTTAAGTACTGACGCCTTAAACCGTGCGGCTATCGACCGTGTAATACATAATACCCTATAATTTTGCTATCTGCTTACCTATCTAAAATTTTTTTTATTCAGTACATTTTAAAAAATACCAAGAAAATTCTACCTATTATTTTATATAAACACTGTTGTAAGTGTTTATATAAAATACATCTTGAATAGATAGTTCATAATTTTTAGGAAAAGGCCTTATTCACGATATTTTGGAGAATGCAATACTTCTGACATGGATAGTCCAAAAAGAGCAAGAGAAAATTAGAGTATTTGTAAGAAAAAAATAAAAATGCAAACAATAAACATCCGAAGTCTGCAGCAGGCAAAGAGTCGTCTAAAAGCCAGAATTTGTAGCCTTAATTCTCTTCTGAAATTTTTGAAAAAGAAATAGAAACAGAAACTGTTTAATGTATCATTCATGTAAGTTGAAAAATACTTATTCTTTCTGTGTCTGTAAACAATATGTATTTTTAGGAATCAGCACCTGGAATGTTAGGTGAATTCTGTCAAAGATCAAGAAAATGACAATCTCGTAAAAAGTATTCACCTGAACTTAGGTCGTTTGCCTTAATGTTAAGCTTTTATTCAACAGATGCTTATAATTATGCAAGAAGAAGTTTTAACATGGCGTTGTCACATACAAAAACAATTTCTAAGTGGTACAGATCTATAGATGGAACATCTGGATTTGCAAATGAAGCATTGGCTGCTGTTAAAATGAAAGTAAGAGAAACAAACAGTGAAATTTTGGGCAATTTGGTATTTGACGAAATGTCTATAATGCAAAGTGTTGACTGGAATGGGAAACGATTCACTGGATATGTTGATGTCGGCACTGAAGTATATGGGGATAATATTCCAGAAGCTACGGAAGCCCTTGTTTTTATGGTTGTAGCTATAAATAGTCAGTTTTTTAAAAAAATGTTTAGAATTTTTAAGTGAATTAGGTATCAAAATAGTTTCTGTTACTTTTGATGGTGCTCCTTCAAATATCAAATTACGGCTTTACCATAAATGTTAATGTTAATATTAATAAGTAGGTAGATTGTGAGTTTGTAGCATTTTAGGTTATTTGCTGACTTATTACTGTTTCAAATTGGTTTTCTAATAAAAACTAGAAAAATAAACCAAACATTTGTCTTTTTATGATTTCTATAAATCACTAGTGGGTTTTATAAATCATAGTAAGTTATGACTTATAACTCACTAGTGACTTATGTGACAGTACGCCACTGCCGTTGTGTCTCATTGTTTACATTTGACACTATCTATCTTTATTTATTAGGTAGTTCTCTGTTTAGATGTTTGCTATAGTGTTGCTAAAACACATATAAGAATACACAAAGCTCCTTCTAGTGGTTAGAATTATTTGTTGGTTTAAATGGCTTAGAAAATTGTTGGTTAAATAATAATGGGTAGTTTCAGTCGAAAAAGTTATGGCACAAATTCATTTGACACTATATCATAATTTAATATATGAACGGAATATTCTGAAAAAAGTCTTTTTAAACTAAGCGATTTTTTCCAAATTTCGTATACTTAAAAATAAACTACAACTAAAGAAAATAATGCTGGTAATTAAATTAATCACTGCTATTAGTTGATGCTTACTTACCCCTAAATTTGAGCCCACGGCTCAAGGTCAGAGTCCCAATTAGACTCTAATTCATGACAATGGTAGTTTGTATGGAATTTGCCATAAAAATGAATCAATGTTTGCCATAAAATGTGTTGATTTGACCTGCAGACACCCTAGGCCCAAGATCGAATACACATCTTTGAAATTCTTAATTTGACCTCCATTTAACCCTTAAGGTTAACCTCCTCTGAGTCAAAACCAAGGTCATTATCGTCATCATTAGAGTCATAATTTTAAGATTTCTTTTCTATTTCAGGTCATTTATTTACACTCATCATAGTGTTTGGCTTCGGATTCTTACCCGTTACGTACTTACTATCAAACTTATTTCAACATCCTACATCAGGATACATAAATTTGATAGCAATTAATTTAATGACAGGTAGGTATATTTATTTAGATTGGTGATTTAAAAAAAAAATCAGTTTGTTATATGAACTACAGTTTTGAACCAAAGGGTTTATCAAAAAACGGTAGTTAAAAGTTTTTTCGGCATACCTTTCAAGCGAAATTTTTTGCAATTTGATTACTATTCTTTGATTTAAAAAAAATGACAAGTTAACAGAACAAAATAATAATCACATCATATATTATGCGTTTATAGCATATGGTATAATTCGAGATAGCCTTAACATTAAAACGCATACATCACGAACGTTTGTCTACAGTAACAAATCAAAGAAACGAGACAGTTCATTATTTGCAATTTTATAAAAAAAATAGGTATCTAGCACTACGACCAAAACAGGCAAAGTCAACTCACCTATTCTTGGCAATGCGAGATGGAAATCTAACAAACCAGGCAGTGAGTAGAAATAATACCATAGGAAGTTGGCCCAGTGAAATTGCACAGTGGTTAAAATTACCGAATCCCTCAACTTATACCGGACACGCATTAAGGAGTTCTGCCATTATTCTGACAAACCAAAGAGTAGATATTTTAGGTCTTAAAAGGAACGGTGGGTGGCGTTCGCCCTCTGTAGCTGTCTCATGAAAAAGGATTACTTTACCCAATTGATTGTATAAGCTTTGTAAATAGTATACTCAATATTTACACCTGTGTTGAAAAACAACTGTAAATGATTTTTGAGTAATTTTTAAATTATGTACAGCGTATATCAGTACGTAATGGTAGTGTGTCAAGACTGTCAAGATTAGGATACATTGTGTATTATGATAATTGTTACATTCATTTTGTTTTGTTTTTTTTTCTTGTAGGACCAATAGCCGAATATGTTATTCAATCTGTAGCACTTTCAATGGAGAGGTTAGGAAATATTTTTCAGGGGATTTTTCTTATTATTCCACATTTTTGTGTTACGCATGGGCTGCAGGAAATCTATAAATTTCAAACTTATAGGAGGATATGCAAACAGTGTGTAACTGATTTCTGTAATCCAGAACTACTAAATTACTGTTCAGGTAAGTTAGTCAACATTATATAAAATTTTATGCAAGTACTTTCGCTTTCGGTTAAGCCATAATTAACTCAACAGGCGATTAGATTGTGAATATATTGTGATAAAATGAATGTAGGAATCTAAACACTAAAGGGAAAGGCAGGTTAAAAAATATCAAAATTAACTTTGTTTGGGGAGAACGTAAAACCAAATATACTACCTGTTTTAACAGAAGTCAACCAATGGGAGTGAAGGAGGCATTTGAAATTGAGATAGTACATAAAATAAAGTTGAATTTAGAATATGACATATAAAACAATCAGAGAGAGAGGATTTCAAACAAAAATGTAATTAAAACATCATATAATAGATTATATTCAAAATTTAAACTTGTGATTGGTAAAAATTTGCAGTACTAGGATTAAGAATAAGTAATAAAAAAAACATAGTGTGTATTCGCCGTAAGTTATCCATTGGAGGGGTAGCTAGGAGCTATAAAATGGCAGCGGTGAGAGAAAACGGAAAATTAAGATAGAATTGTCTGCAATTGAAAACATAATATTGAGTTTTTTATTGAAAATGAAGCTAGGATTAACTTTTGCAGCGATCAGTAGTAATGTACATAGGACTACAGTATCAAAAATATTTTTCTCTGTCTTTACAAAAATTAGCGAAGAGAACAGCTGTACTTTGGCCTGAAAAAGATATTGTTACAGGAACAATGCCAGAGTGCTTTTATCCAGACTATAGAGATACTAGAGTGATTATTGATTGCACTGAATTCAAGATTGAAATAACCATCAACTGTTGACCAACATGTTTTACTTATTCGCATTATAGAAAAGGTTTTACCGCCAAACTTCTAGTAGGTATAACACCAGGAGGCTTTATTAGCTTTAAATCAGTAATCGCTTTAGGCAGAAAAAGTAGTTTTCAAGTCATACTATTGAATCTGGGTTATTAGTTCTATTAGAAAATGATCTTAGCAGGAAAAGGATTTCCACAAATCAGCCGCACTCTTTATGAGAAAGTGTTATTTGTTGTGCCATTTTTAGAGAAAAAAGAAGAATTTACAAAAAAAAGATGAGACTGAAAGTATGTACAATATAGCAAGGGTACGAATTCATACAGAAATGATTATGCAACGATCGGATATATCAAATTTTAAGCAAAATTCCTCGGTTTCGTTGACGATATTGTACATGTCTGCTGTACTTTAGTGAATTTGCAGCCGCCTATAATAGCATAAAAGGATAACAGTAATAAATAAATAAAGGTTTTTATATTTTCACTTCTTATTTGCATTGACTTTATTAATAAATAATTTTCCTTTTGGAATTATTGCCGGTTGAAGCAGTATCTCATGACTAACTTTCTCAAACCCAATTTTTATTATAATTTCTACTTTGGGTGCAAAAAATATACAGGGTGTCTGGTAAGTATATGGCATACTCTCGGGGGTGTATAGAGGAGGTCAAAATATCTCTAGTTTGTCATAAAAAAAATTCTAAAGTGCCCCTTAGCGGAGATACAGAGCCCCAAAGAGGTACCCAGCGATTCACCTTTTCGGTTCTAACTTTCGAACCGACTTGTATAATTTAGTAAAATTTTAATATTTTATGTAGGCCATAAAATAATACCCAATAGATAGGTTGCTTTTAGAGGTACTTATTCACTAAATTCGCTAGTTTTACTGCCCACAGATCACCAAGATGTCAAAGACAATAATAAGACCCATTTTTAAGCATTACTCATATATCTACGACTGACTCCACAAACAGGGACTCTCCAACGAACACTCACCCCCTCAACAAGTCTTTCTCTATCCAACTTAGTTTTCAATAAACTACTTTATTATTATCGTTGAGAGAGCGTTTTATTCTTGCTGTACAGCGAAAGTAATCCTCAAGTGGTGACCCCGACATGACTTTAGACTATGAGGCACTCGCAGCATCGCAACAAAAAGACGTGTTGACGGGGTGAGTGTTCGTTGGAGAGTCCCTGTGTGTGGAGTCGGTCGTAGGTATATTAGTACGCATCTGGTCGCCGGCGCCAGTAGTCCGTCGTAGACCCTTCCTGAAACGCTGGTACGTCCGGCGGCTTAAAAATGGGTCACTTGCAACATGCGTAGATACGAAGCTTTGGTGACAATTACGACATCAACTTTGGTTTTTGTATTTACATTTCAAAATATCAGGTAAATCCAGTATTTCCATCAATTTGACAGTATAGTATATTGTGAAATCTATGAATTTTTCCTACCTTTATTTTCTTGGTCATGGTGATAGATGTCGCAATGCGTAACGCTCATAGCGAATAGGAAAAAGAAAAGTGTTGTGTTACCAAAGAGGCAGGAAAAAAATAATAAATAAATAATGGTGAATTTGTAAATTTTGAAGAAAAAGAAATTGTCAATACTTTAGTCAAGAGAAAAATATTAAGAAAAAACCTACCTATAGCAGGGTATGCGGTATGCTTGAAAAATAGTCACCTACACCATTTGATTGAATTTCCCGGAATAGAGAAGCACAAGTAAGTCTCAGCTAGCGAGTACACAAAATACCATCCTGTTATAGAAAATAAACCAAGCTTGTGCTTGTGGATAAACCGAAATAGCACAAGTCGCCAATGGGAATCGGAAGTACGGACCAGCAGAGAAGAAGTACACTGCACGGACACATAAGACAGATTTCAACCGAGGAACATTGGTGGAATACGAAGCTTACTGGCCTAGGACAGATTACTTAAGGTACCAACTCACAAATAACTAGAAATAAACGTACCTGTATTTTTTTTTAATTTATTACGGAATATCCGTTATTTGATTATTATTTTTAATATTTAAAATAAGAATTGGCGCATGATAGAGTAGATTAGAATAAGGTTTACTTCTGATATCAGACTCAGAAGTGTAATAATAAATTTTGCATTGAAAAAATTAATGAATAAAACAAATGTTAGCTAGTCACAAAAAATATATTTTATTTTCTTTAAACTACAGTTACATGATAACATTAAAATTAAATTGAAATCATTCTTCTCTGATGAATAAAGTAGTTTTGGTCAAGTAAATTTAAATACAAGTGCTTTTTCAATATCAATTGACCTAAGTCATTGATTAGTAAAAAAAAATTTGTAATATTAAACAGCCTTTCTCAGAACCCAACCCTGAGATAAGACTGCTCATGGTAAAAGTTTCATACTGTTTTAAAAAAATTGAACAAAGACAAATTATAAATATATGCTCAAATAAGAATAAAGAAGTTTTTGAGAAAAAGACGAAGAAGACCTTAAGCAAATAAAGGTAAGAAAAACTCATTACTTGCTAAACTATTACAATATATGAATGAAATGTAAGTATTCACCTGCAACTTGTTTAAGTCAGTTGATAGAGATTTGAGAGAGCTGATATTTAATATTATATTGCTCATTACTAATCATAGTCTAATATATAATCTATATAATCTATAATTTATATACATACAGGGTACAGGGTATCCGAGATACTTCGTATTGAAGTATATAACTAATTTTAAGCAAAAATGATTGTTTTCCATCTTCCCGAATTCCCAACGGTTCTTGAAATATCGGGGTTTGAGGCTGTCAGATCGTACGGATAGTTGATAAAGACTAATATTACGTTGTTTAAAATAATAATTACAAAAGGCGAATTCAACAAAAATACGTGTATACATAAGTTTGTGTTATTTGACTGTTATAATAATAACTAACAAATAAACATATCTATCCTAAGTGAAGTAATTATTTTTATTGTATCTGTTTTTCTAGATGTCGATAAAAGCTTTTTCATGTGGAAATCGCCAGGAATTGGTAGAAATATATGTTACCTATGTATGACGGGGTTGACTTTCTTCTTGATTATCATAATGATCGAGTCCAAACTGTTCTTGATGTTATTTTACCGCATAAAAGGGAAAAAACGTCACCACCTGCAAGGAGTAACGTTTACGGGAGAAGACGACGACGTAGCAGAAGAGAGAAGTAAGATCAAAAATGCTAGCAGGGAGGAACTTCTCAGCTACACTCTTATATTACGTGATCTCACAAAAGTCTATAAGAAGTTATTGGCCGTAAACTCTTTGTGTTTGGGAGTGCGAAACAATGAATGCTTCGGCTTGCTAGGAGTTAACGGTGCCGGCAAAACCACCACGTTCATGATGATGACCGGAGACACAAGAATCACTTATGGTGATGGTTTTGTGAATGGGTACAGTATAAAACGACAATTAAAAAGTGCCCAAAAGTGTATAGGATACTGTCCCCAATTCGATGCTCTTTTGGATGATCTGACTGCTCAAGAGACAATAGTAATATTTGCTTTGTTGAGAGGAATCAAATACAGCGCCTGCAGACCTTTAGCGGATACATTGGCGAGAGAGTTTGACTTCACACCACACTTGAAGAAACAAGTGAAGAAGCTCAGTGGAGGAAATAAGAAAAAATTGAGTACAGCCGTCGCCATCATAGGAAGTCCAACTGTGCTTTATTTTGACGAACCCACGACAGGTAAAGCGAAACATGAGAAAGTGGATATGTACCTAATGCAAATATTAACTAAACAACTAATTTTGAAGATACTGTAGGTTTTAATAATGATAAATCTCTCATTCTACTTTCTAGGACTAGACCCCTTGACAAGGCGGAATTTGTGGAATGCCCTTTGTAAAGTCCGTGACAGCGGCAAATGCTTGGTTCTCACTTCACATAGCATGGAAGAATGCGAAGCTCTGTGCACCAGATTAGCCATCATGGTGAATGGACAGTTCAAGTGTTTGGGTTCATCACAACATCTGAAGAGCAAGTTCGCGAAGGGCTACCAACTCATCATCAAACTAAAGAAGTCGACTGAAGCTCTGTCCTATGGTGATTCAGGGCCCATAGAAATGTTTATAACATCACAATTTCCCACGGCCATTCTCAAAGAAAAGCATGAGGAAATGCTTTTTTATTACATCAAAGATTTATCGATACCTCTGTCTCAGATGTTTGGTATTCTAGAGAGGGCGAAGAAAGGCGACTATAATCTAGAGGATTACTCCCTTGGACAGAGCAGCCTTGAACAGGTATATCCCCGACATCCAGAGCACTTTTATTATTTTAATAAGATATTATAGAGAAGAATGTACAAAGCCTTCATAAATGATTACAAACCACTGTGACCATTGGGCATAGGCAACCAATATTGCACGATTGTCACTGTCAGCAAAGAAAAAATCCTAAACCCCAGTGGAAGGGTTGTAGAGGTTACAGATTTGATTAAATATTTACATTAACATTACATAGTTATGTTCAAAATTGTGTTCTTTGCTAACCATGCACAAATTTTCCTGTGCATATTCTCATATACGGATTGCAGTTGTTATTTTGTTATATTTTTAATTTCTCGAATAATTGATGCTTCTTATTCTTCGACGTTGCGCATTACCGTTTTAAAAGTAGTACTCTCCTAAAAATTGAATTGTTGATCTTGCAGTAGGAATGTTCGGTTGCCCCAACTCGCTGAAAGTAACCTACTTGCAACTAATCATCTAATTGTACTAAAAATTACTCTAAAATAAGGATTCAATATCTTTTAGCATTTATAGTTTCGTAGAAGAAAAAGAGGCTACCCAATTATTTCTATTTTAACCGGGGACCTATTGAATAATAATAATATGGTTTTTTTTTCAGGTTTTCCTTACATTTAGTAAACAACAAGAACAATGACTTGGAATGAAGAAACCATACAACTGGATTTTACTTTCAGTCACTTATAACAACAAGATTTATTGTTATTGATAACAAGTCAAAAATAAAATATTTTTTTATCCACCAATATTGACTAAAAATTGTAGTTATCGTATCTTTTACTTGTTTTCACTAATTTTGTTGAAAAATAATTTGTTTTGTTCCTAATGGAGGAACACAAAGACAAATTCTCCTGCAGGTAGAAGAACATATTGTTCCACATATTGTTGGGGATAAATCTGGTATAACTACAAGGAGAATTGACAACTGCAACTAAAACAACGATACAAAAAGTACTTAAACAACAATAAATCTCATATCCTATGAAAAGACAGAACCCTGGATGGCTAGACTGGGAAGATACAATCGACGGGGCAACCTGGTTTTTTTCTGCGGAGCGGTTCTGATTAACCGATTTTACGTCATTTCTTCGACACATTGCGAAGAAAGGGTTGATGTGTGAGTTCGCTACTCTGGTTGTTCATTGGCCACCACACAGGGTGTGAAACAAAATTATTAGATAAGACAAGAGCTTATTTCGAAACGGATAAATCCGTTCAGGAGTTTTGGGCGGAAAATTTTATAGGATTTTTGAAACATGTAATTTTTATAGATTTCCATGAGATTCCCAGATGCGGAAAAAAAAATATGTGTGACAGACCAGACCACGATGTCCGCTTAACAAAGTCAGCTCTTGTTCAATGTTATTTGAAGGTCAACTCTTTTTTGGTGGTAATACAATTTCTGACCCCTGATTCTGAAACATTGAACAAATGACCCCAACAACGTATGGGTATAGTGGTCTAGTCTATGACATGTTGAATACTTTTTGCCTTTGAGGAAAGTGTTATTTGTTATTATAGCATTATTTCTATTAAATGAGCAATCTCTTAACCATAATTTTTATGTAGAATGATTCCTAAATTCATTTTTGTCGCTATTTTTGCATAAAAAAATTGTTGCCGCAAAAAATTTGCCAATTTGCAAAATCCTATATCATGACAATGACACTGATAATTTTGTTGACACTCTTTACAAATCTCCTTTTGTTCTGATACCTACTCAATAATAAATAAGCATTTGTTGATTGGTTTCAGAGTCAGGTTAGGGGAACACGACGCAAATAGTGCCATCGATTGCGCGACGCCTAGGGATTGTGCTCCGCCACATCAAGATTTCAAAGTGAAGTATGGATATGCCAACAAATCATCACTTACGTTGTTCTTGCAGAATTTAATGTAAAATAAAAGACAGAAGTTAATGCTTTGTAACAAGTACCAATGTATTTTTAACTCTAGAGCACTTCTGTAGTTCTCCCTTTATGTCTGTTTAAGTTTGTTCCATAATCTAGTAGAGTTATGGTTTTCTAACCAGATGAGGTTAGAAAATAGTTAACAGAGAAACAACGATTAGCACCAATTTTCAATTCAATTTTTCAAATCATCAGGAATTCTCTGCAAAAAAATATCCTGGACGTACCTTTTCCAAACGGAAACGTGATAGCGACGCAGTCGTTTTCTTAAGATGGCAATAATTATTATCATTATACTGTCACAATAAAAAATGTATAGTAGATACACTGAAAAAAAATACTTTTGTGCTCAGACAAAATTCACAGTTAAAAATCAATTATTAAGTCTATTACTTTTTTCAATGTGTGACAGTCCAAACCACCATACCACCATTTTGGGGTCGCTGAAACCGAAGATTGTATTATCATAAAAAACAGGCGCTGACCTAAACACGAGCTGGCTTCTTCAAATGGGCACCGGATTCGGGTTCAGCGATTCCAAATAGTGTGGAAACAGTGTCATTGGAAGAAAGATAAAGTAACCCACAACTATCGATAAAGAAAAACAAAAGGAAAGTTGAATATTCCGACTGAAGCAAAGCGTCCTCTCTAAAAACTTTATTTTACTTTAGCATTCGTCCAGCCAGTGTTTATTCCACGACAGCCAATGAATCATGAAGACCTTGCAGGCGAATATCTTACGCTAGCAGGATGGGGCAGTAAAAGTGGGGAGGAGACAATAAGGAGCAAGTATCTGAAGTATATTGTTCTTGAGGTGCTAAATCGCACGATGTGTGAAAAGGTACATAAGCAATTTGAATATAAAAAACAGATTTGTTTGGAAGCTTCTGAAGAAGGAGAGTTAAAATTTTTTGTTCTGAAACAGCGTGCACCAAATTTTGTTGCATCTGTTGCTCCGTGGTTGGTATTTTAAATTTTTAATAACTTTTAGGGCAAAATATGTGCTATGGAGATTCTGGTGGTCCGGCTTTCAAGACAATGGTGGTGGACGGGGTGAGAAGGACGTACGCATTTGGCGTGGCTTCGTATGTCAGACCAAACTGTAGGACTGGCGTAGTGTATGCAAGTATTTTGTCCTTTTTAAAAAATATTTTGGATTACGTTAAGAAGAATTAGTTCATTGGTCCGATTAAATAAAAGTAGACATGGTATATTGTTTCCTTTTCACATTTACATCCCTCCCCTTAAGTTCCGTTTTTTTTAATAGAGTAGAAATAGATTGAATTTGTTACAATTTTTAATCTGCTTACGTAAAATTATATCGTAATAATAAAATAAAATGTAGCAATAAATAAATAGTATATTTTTATTTTAATTATTTTTAACGACCACATTACATACAAAAGAAATATATTTGATGTCACTGTTACATTAAATGATCATTGTTAGGATTCAACAGTTGAAATAATCATTTACGCTATAAAAACATTTATCCAATAAAAAGTTTTTACTTGCGAAATTTATTGAAATTTAAACTAGTACAAAGTGGTTATACAGGGTGTTTCAGGATTAAGTCGACAAACTTTAAGGAGATATTCCTCATAGAAAAATAAGAAAAAAATCAAGTATAAGTTTTTTCCAAGAAACGCTTCATTTTCGAAATATGGGGCGTTAAAATTTTTTTTTTAAATTCAAATTTTTTAAATAACTTCTAAATGAAGAAGGCTATTTAAGCCAAATTTGGCATGACACGTCTTCTTATAAGATACCATTTTTCCATAGAAGTATAAATCCCGCAAGCAACCAGTGGCCGAGTTATGGGGACTCATTAAATTAAAAAAAAAAATTAATACGGCCCTCCTGAAAATAAAAAATGATGCTGTTTTTAACAGTTTGTTATTGACAAAAAGTGTACATTCACTTTTTTTTCCTAACTCATAGTTTCATGGCAAAATTGATTTTTCGGTAGGATGCTTCTGGATTCTGTCGATAAACTTTAAAATGAACCTCAACAAAAATTTTCGAGTAGGCTGCTATCGAGCAATGTTAATTTGACGTTTTAAGTGTTATTTTGCGAATTGTTGCCCATTTTGGTAGAGGTCCTAGGGAATGGTTAAATATTGGTCGTGGAGGAGCTGCAGCGTGGCCCGCTCGTTCACCGGACTTGACACCGATGGATTATTTCGTTTGGGGTGCTGTTAAACAAAAAGTTTACTAGGTGTCAGTTGATACCCTAGAAGATCTAAGACAGCGAATAGTCCAAGCGTGTCGAGAATTAACTCCAATTCACTGTCGATCGGCCACTACCTCCATAATTAGAAGATGCAGGGGCCGATACGGGGGTTCTAGTAGGGTAGCGGAGACACATAGAAGATTATATAAAAAATAATTCGCAAATAAATTAATACCATCTTCAGCAGAGCTTACGGAACTTGTCAATAATACAACGTGTGTAATAAACTTAAACAATTACTTCTTTTGGTGATATCCTTCCGATTTACTTTTTGAGGAGGGTACCAGTTTTTGTCTTATTTCTATAATTATACAGGCTGTTACAAATTCGCTTCTCACTACAGGAATCTCGGAAATGGTAAGAGGTACGAAGTAGCTTAAATGGGGGCAAAGTTGCGTAATCAGGGGACCAACATTATGCCTCTAAAAAATCATGATTAGTTTTCGAAATATTTGAAAAAAAATGAAACTTTGGAAATCAGTTTTTGTTTAATTTCAGCCTTATTTTAGGAGATATTGAAAAAAGAAGAACACTTTCTCATGGCCACTTTTTGCCCTCTTTCGAATGGCATAATAAATTTTTGTATGTAACGTTTCGTCTCTCCAGGACCATCATCAACTTCATTCTTTTAAATACGACCCTAGAAATTTTATTACATTTTTTGCAAGCCTTCATGACCCACAATACTGTACTGCTTCAGCCCGAACCAGATTCAGACGTTTTGTCTCGAAAAATTCATCATCAGTGTATTCGTTCCAAATTTATCTAAATTTTTTATTTAGATTTCTTTGTTTATTGAATTATCGTACACTGTAAGTGTCGTTAGACCCTGTGAAATCCATCTAGTTATTCAAACTATTACCACCAGGCATTAAAATAAAACATTATTAGAGTTTTATTCCTGTGTCCATAGTTATTTCTAGGCTTCTGGAGTGCTCAAAATTCAAACTAATTCCGATCTATTTTTTTCAGGATATTCATACAAATACATCTGACATGCTCTTTCAGAGTTGCAGTGACAGATATAATAAATTCCGATAATATTACGTTGATATTCAGTTTTAACCTTTGCCAAAACGAAAATGTTTTTGAACATTTACTGAAATTTTTTAAAGAATAATATTCAGTTGGCGTTTTGGTTGTTCATATGCATTTTTAAGAATTAATTTGTCATACTAAAATTAAAATTGTACAACTTTTTAAAAAATTTTACATACGACGGTACCTTGTGGCATTCATGCCACTCTTGAAAGTGGCTTTTAATAATATTTTCTACTCGTGTACAAAACGGCATAAACGAGAAAATTGTGGCAATTTTCTATAATTTTTCTACTTTATCGACCTGAATCATATTAAAATTCAAATTAATTTACAACATGAAAATCCAATGTAGACTTATGCCTACATTTATATGACTTTATAATGTAGTTTCCTACGTGCATGCAAAATGGCATAAGCGAGAAAGACGTAAAAATTTTCATGAATTTTCCTACAACTTTGAGACTTATGCCTTCATATTGAACCAATAGAGGAGTGATGCCTACTTGACACAGTACATTATTTATAGTAAGTATCATAAATTTTCAACGGCATAAATGAGAAAGTTATAGAATGAAAATAAAAATTTTCCGCAGCTTTTCCAAAGATCTATTTTCTTTAGTCATTAGTAGGACTTATGCCAATGTTTTTTATGAGCTTTTCGAATATAATAATGTCATATTTCTAATTGGCATTAATGAGAAATTGGTAGATAAATAAAGATGTTTTTCCACATTTTCTTACAAAGCTTTCCATATTTAGGTCTCTTGCGACACTTGTGCCAAAAAAATTTCGTGATAAAATCGATACTTTTCTTCAACTTACGAACATGGCATAAGTGAGAAATACATCGTTGTACACATTATTTTTTTGAAAAGGAAAATTTAATTTTCACGAAGGTGTCCCGCAGCCCATCTTTTAAATTTAGTTTATTGTACTTGTCTCTCGGTTACCTTTCAGTACTCTCAGAGGCATAAACGAGAAAGACGTCGTCGAACTTCAGTCTAATATCTCCCGGTCTATTATGTATGACCAAGTGATGGTAATAGTTAATAATAATAAATGTTATAATATAGCGCGTGGTAAAATAGTTTAAATAACTAGATGGATTTCACAGTGTCTAACGACACACAGCATACGATAATTCAATAAACAAGGAAATCTAAATAAAAAATTTAGATAAAATTGTAACTAATACACTGAAGATGAATTGTTCGAGATAAAACGTCTGAATCTGGTTAGGGCTGACGCAGTATAGTATTGCGGCTCATGAAGGTTTGCAAAAAATGTAATAAAATTTCGAGGGCCGTATTTAAAAAAATGAAATTGATGATGGTCCTGGACAGACGAAACGTTACATATAAAAATTGATTATGCCTTTGGATAGAGGGCAAAAAGTGGCCATGAGAAAGTGTCCTTCGTTTTTCAATATCTTCTCAAACAAGGCTGAAATGAAACAAAAACGGATTTCCAAAATTTCGGTTTTTTTCAAATATTCCGAAAACTAATCATGTTAGCCCTGATTTTTTAGAGGCATATTGTTGGTCCCCTGATTACGCAACTTTGCCCCCATTTAAGTTACTTCGTATCTCTTACCGTTTCCGAGATCCCTGTAGTGAGAAGCGAATTTGTAACAGCCTGTATGTACTCGTGTCTAGAAATAACCTTACCTATGACATATTAGCATCTAATCAATACATGATAAACGTCAAATTAATTCATCCAAAAAAACAATATTTTTTAGTTTCGTTTTTGTCAATTGTAACAATATTTCGAAGTCATTTTTGCGATTTCGGATGTTTTTGTTTATTTGCCGATTACTGTTATTACAATGTTCAGCATATTTTAAAATTATTTAGTAAATACTACTAAGAAATAGTTAACCCCTTTACCAGAGTAATGGTTTTATAAAAAAAATCTGGTAAATTTCTTATAAGTATTGACCATCTATGACCACAGCTTTGAGGGGTAGACATATTTCTATTCAGCAGTTCACCTATGTAGTCCATTGAAATGAAGGCTGAACCTCCATTTTTTCCTCTGTCGATCAAACCTGGGCGCAAATATGTTTTCGACCCTCAGGAATCCGAATCCGCAAAAATTTTTGACCTAGGTGGTCAGGAAAGGGGTCAAAAGGTCAAAAAACCGTAAAAAATAAGGTTTTTCGCAAATATCTCGTAAACTACGGCAAGTAGCAAAAAAATAATTGCACCATCGTGTTCCCAGGGAAATTTTACATCGATTTTATGCTATTGCTTATTAAAATTAAATAAATTTATGTCATCTTTTGGACAATTACTAAGCACGAGAGGGGAAGTGTATATCTCCGGCGGTGGGGAGTAGTACAGCGCGCACCCTACATGTATCGGCTGACTCGCAGTCGACAGCTCTAGCAGGTGTGCCTGTTTGGAATATAATGCGATTTCAAATATAATTAGCCTGCAGTTGTAGTGGATTTTTTTT